GGGGGAGTCGTGGCGAGGGAGACAGGCCACAAAAGTGTCAAAGTGTCAACCTATCCGTCCCTCCGTCCCTCTCCCTCCCCCATTCTTCTTCCGAGCGGTCAGATTGAGCTTTTAGAGTGAAGAAGCGACGCTACCACTCGAGAATCTGGCGGCTACATGTACGCATTGCATTCCCACCTCTTAACATCCTCCACTCTCCGACTTTTTCCGCTCTCCAAACTCGACGGCGTCTTTGCTTGCACGTGCTTCTTCTTGGGCTGTCTCCTGCGACGGAGTTTTTAGGCGAAATAAGATATCACGTGAGCACCACTTGGAATAGTTATTCCCTCTGGCTTATTTTTTTTCTTCTTGGCGAGACCAGAAATACGTATAAAAGAGAAAGCAAAAATACAACGAAACTAAATACTAAAATACATTTCTACTCTGACTTTGGGATCAAGAGAAGCCCCTCCGCTTCAGTGTTCACTGCCTACTGTCAGGTCAACGCTTGGCGTGCCGTGCCGTTAATTAAGTGCTGACAGGTTAAATGCATGACGCCTACTAAACATATCACCAAATGTCCAGCGTTGACTAGAGCCGTCTGGCGAAAGATTCCCCTCCCTCGCCGCCGTCGAAATGGAGGAGAAGCCTAGCCCGGGTGCATCCCCTGGTCAGGCGCTGATTTTCTTTCCCGGACCACAGAACATCTGGAATCGTATGAGTACGGACATCATGCCATCATCTCACGATACCTACACCGGCATCGTTGGTCTAGTAAAAGTATAAAAACATTTCCGCAACCGGCATCCATGGCTGACACCGGTCTAAACGCCAAAACCGCACCCCCTCACCATACCATTCTAGTCTCAACGCCGTACGTTGCATTGCATACATGTATCATATATCATACAAAGCCCGCCGACCAATATAATTAGGGTATCCCATAAGTCGCAAACACCGTCTCCATGTCCCCCCATTCCGGTGCCGCACCAGGATCGTTCCCAGTAGACTGAAAGCATAAACCACCGTCGTCAAGCTGGACCCCCATCGCCCCAAACGTGGACAGCGGCCACATATTTGTCGGCGTCTCCAAGTGGGCCGCCTCATTCGGTCCCGGCCGTACAACCATCGCCTGCTCGGGATGCAACGGCATAGCCACCGTGCCCGTGCCAGTGCCCGTGCCCGCCTGCGGATTGAAGCCCGGTACCCCAGGTGGTTGCCCATGTACGCCGACCGCGACGGTCTCGCCCGGAGCAGTGACGACCCCGCCGTTACCTCCTACCCAAGCCTGCTGCCCTTCGGCCTGCCCGGAATCGGCCCACCCGAGACGCTGCCGCCCCGTTTCGCTCGTGCACTCGGCAAAGGCGTCGACCACGTTCGCGAACCGCTTCATCGACCCGCTCTTCTCCGTCCGGTGGATGACGGCCTGCACGCGCAGCACGAGGTCCTTGACCAGGACCAGGACCTCCGCCTCGCGCGACCGCGACCGCGACCGCGGCGCCTGTGCTTCCTCCGGCCTGAGCGGCCGCCGCAGGAGCCGGAGAATGAGGACCATGGCAGCCGCGTAGGCGTAAAAGACGTCCAGGCCCGAGAGCCCGTTCACGAGCTGGAACGCGTCGAGAAGCAGCACCAGGTACGCCAGCTGGCAGGCGTGGTAGAGGCAAATGTCCGAGACGGGTGACATGGACGCCGCCCCGTTGCCGCCGTCGTCGTTCATCTTGTCGTCCTGCGCCGCCCTGGGTTTCTGCGCCGCCGCTATCTCCCGTAGCAGGACCGGTCGCGTGCATACTATGGCGATGTGATGGTACTGGATATGGAGCAGCAGCACAGCACGGAGCTGCGACCTGGTCTTCCACGAGAGCGACAGCTTGAGCTCGTCGAATCCCACCACCTCCGTGTCGTCGATGGTGCCGCAGATCTGTACCCCCGACTTGACGGATGGCAGGTTGAAGCTTGTGCGAACAACTTCTTGCTTCCACGTAGCGAGAGATTTCAAGATATCCTCAATGGTCGGCTTGGCCGGACCGAGTGGCGGCCCCGCGTCGAGCTTCCGTGGCCTGGCGTACATGAACCGCGTCTTGGCGAGTACCGCTTGCAGCTTGAGCGACAGGGATACCAGTTTCGCGTCCATGCCGCTCCCACCTTCGAGGAATCCTTCCCGGGGTGGGATGACCTCTACGTCCATCTCCTGCAGGCCGCTGGGGCGACCAAGACTGGAAGCCAGGAACTGTTCGAATGCATAGAGCGTACAAAAGACCCACTTCCGGACCTCGCGGTCTAGTGGCCGGAAGGCGGAGCTCATGTCGCTGCGGTGGAGGCCCAGTGCGAACGAGATGCGTGTAGCCGCACCCACGAGGTTCCACGCCGCATTTCGCTCACTATTGTTGTGGAGGAACAAGGAGAGCAGCAAGAGAACACGCACGTTGGACAGGGTGCACTTGGAAACGAAATGTGGCAGGAGGAGGCGCGCGGCGGCGATACATTCCCGGCGAAGCTTGTAATGATCGATCCCGGGGATGCGGGGGTTGGAAATGGAGCCGAAAACCATCATCATGTGTAGACAACCCACCCATCCCCAGTCGGGCAGGGGCCGACTGCCTTGGATCGCAGCGATCGGGGTGATGGGAGCCATTCTCAAGTACCGCCGCGCTTGGACGACGTAGAGCTCGTACTCGTTCTCAAAGGTAGGACGATGAAAGAGAGGGAAATCATCATGAACGTTCTTGAAATACGCATGAATGAGCATCTCGAGGATGTCGTCCGGCGGAAAGCCCCGCAGCATCTCATCGAGGTCGACGACCGGCATGCGAGTAAAGTCTCTGGCGATGGAGGATGCGAGGGCGCTAGGTGACAGTCCGTCGTCAGGTCCGTAACCGCCCGACGCCTGGGCAGGCGAGGCGGCGTTGAGACCGGGGGCCGTTCCTTGCACTCCCTGCGGAACATCGACCCCAGGGTCTTGCGGGTCGTCCGTCTCATCGGCCTCGAGGGCTTGAGCGCTGTGATCTTGGGTGAACTTGGACACACGCTCGGTATGAGCTTCCTCGGTGGCAACTTGCGTGGAGATGATGAGACGGCGTAGCTGGCTCAGGAAGTTGAGCGAACCTGAGGGGCCGACATAATGCTCGATACCTGATGGCCCGCGGATGAGAGAGATGTGGGGCTCATCGGGTTCAGGAGCGGCTGCATCCAACACGGAGTCGGCGCCAGAGCCACCGGCAACAGGAATAGCCGGTCCAGAGCCGGGAGAAGTGCGGTCGCCCGTCTCCCGGGAGTCGGAAGTTGTGGAGCTCGGGCGTGTGGGCCCGCTGCTCTCAGGGGCACGGACGAGTTCGTCAACGCCAAGCTGGTCGGAGTGAGCTAGGTCGGGCATAAGATATCCCATGCGTTGGCCTAGCTGGAGGAGGTCTGCGGCCGTGGAGGTAGGGTCGTTCGGAAAGGCGCCCTTGACAATGGCATCCAAGCATCGGTACCTGGGGTGGTGTTGGTGTCAGTGGTCGTTGATGAGGATGCAGTGGGGTGGGCACAAGCTTTGGTCTGCCTCCCTAGAAGTGGCCCAAGAGGGTGCCACAGAGGCAAAGGCGGGAAGCAGAAAAGAGCCGGAAAGGGGAGGGGGGGCAACGTACCGATCGCTGAGGTCGTCAACACTGCCGTAGAATCGTGTCTTCCTTGGGGCCGTGTAAGTGCAAGGGACATTATGTTCGCGACAGGTAACACAACCCTCGCTATTGGGGGAAGGTACACAACGGCATCGTCGCTGTTATTTCCGAGGGATACGAAGTCAGCAAGGGCTATAAGGTAGCAGCCAGCACGGACGAAAGTGGGAGACAGTGTGTAAGAGATCAGAAGAAAAGGCTGCGGAGACAAAAAAAAAAGAGGGGGAGGTTTTACCTTACGACACAGGTCACAGCTCTTCGCATTTCGTTTCCTGAGAGCATCAGGGATGCGACGTTGTTGTCTCTTGGCTGCGGCGGCGCTTTGGCTCATCTTGATGGCCGCGGCCGAGAAGCCATGGACGTAGACTTTCCAGCAAGAATGACTCCGCCTAGGCACGTCGGTAACCCACAAGGCCTAGTCGGCATCGGTTCATACAGCCCGCACGTGCGGACGCAAGAGCTCGGGCGTGGGACCTTCAAGGGTTGACGTGACCGCCGCGTATGGAGGCGGCGGACGACGACTGAAGCGGCGGCGTTCCGAAGGAGCAATCGTTCGATGTCTCCGTGGAAAGCTAGCAGCTCAATGAAGACGACAGCAAACCGGTAGACAAGGTATATACCAGATGGGAAGAGGTTCGGGGAAAGCTGTTGAAGCTCATGAGTCATGACCTTCAAGGAGATGGGTAATGCCAGGTGTGAAGTGGAAGAGCTCTTTGATGGGCCCGAGGGGGTCGTCGTTGAGCTGGATCCATGCTTCCACGAGTCATTGTACGCATGGAGTACACTGGTGAATTGGTGCGAGGGCGTCGGTGGTTAGCGTAAAGGCAAAAGCTACGTTGAGTGATCGTTAGGGCGGAAGGGTTTTGAAGGATGGACGGAAATAGAAGAAATGAGATCGAGGGGATGGAGTTGTGGGGAGGATGCACGGACCACTTTAAGACACGAAAGATCGTCATCTGTCATGTGACCATGACAACATCACGATTACACAGCAGTTCAAGGTGCGACCGTGCGACGTACTTCGTATTACGAGGAGGGGTAGGTAGTTCGAAGGGGAGAAGTACGAATACCTACTTTGTAGGTAGCTAGTCCTGGAAGAGAGACGAGATGTTGAGGAATCGGTACTATGTTCGCTCTAATATTCAGACTCTAGCATCAGGTCACGGTAACTTGGTAGCCCACTACGGTGGTGCCTATCACAAAATCACAGCGACAGCAAAGTACGGGCTCGCGGAGTACCGTTACGGATAGGAAGCTCGTGTTGCACGAGAAGCTTGCTCCGTATTACGGCATTCCCCTATTCTAGGTACCTACAATTCCCCTATTCCTCATATTCCCCTACGTCCCAATAAAGACACAGTCGAGCTTCATCCTTCACTTCAATTCACTCCTCCGGCACACTGCACACAAGAAGCAAAAAGCAAAAGCCAATACAGACAGCCCACAATGGCCAGCAACAGCGACTCTTCCCTCCTCACCCTCCCAGACGGCCGCTCCCTGGAATACCGCCTCTCCGCCCCCCCCTCCGGTCCCGTAATCCTCCTCCCCAACTTCCTCGGCGCCCCCTTCCAGGCCTGGGACCCCTTCCTCCCGTCCCTCCACGCCCGCAACTTCCGCACCCTGAACTTCAACCAACCAGGCCACGGCGCCTCCACCACCCCCGCCGACCTGACCTCCACCACCTTCCCCTCCATCGCCGACGACGTCTCCCACCTCCTCTCCCACCTCGGCATCGAGACCCTGTACGCCTGGATCGGCCTCTCCATGGGCGCCGCCCTCTCCTTCTTCTTCGTGACCCGCCACCCGGACCGCGTGGGGAAGCTCATCGCCTGCGACACCCTCTCCTCGTCCCCCCGCAACGCCGGCACGGACGACATCTTCGCCAACCGTGTCAAGGCCGCCCGCGACGCCGGCTCCCTCAGCGCCACCGTCGAATCCACCCTGCAGCGCTGGTTCGGCGACGCCTGGATCGCCGCCCACCCGGACGAGACCGCCCGCCTGCGTGCCCTCATGGCCACCACTACGCTCGACGGCTTCGAGACGTGCTGTAACGCCCTGCGGAGCGACACGTTCGACGTCCGGCCTCTGTTCCGCAAGGTCGGGGCTTCGGTCGAGGAGGCGCTGCTGGTGGTTGGCGAGAATGACGGCGATTTGCCCCAGAGTATGGCTACCATGAGGGATGAAGTCCAGGAAGGATTCAAAGAGGCTGGGAAGGACAGGGAAGTTGAGCTGAAGCTCATCCGGAATGCCGGCCACGTCTCTTTCATTGATGGGTTTGAACAGTTCTCAAACCATGTGCTTGCTTTCTTGTAGATGAAAACAGCATTCGTGATTTGGTCGGGTCCGTGAATGGTATGTATGGTATGTATGGCACGGCCAATAATTCTGCCTCGCAATGTCAAGACTACTCCCGCTCATTCCCTAGTCCTGTATCTGGACCACAAGTTAATTCGCCTGGTTCTGGTCCTATTCCTATCAAGGTCCCTGCCCCTGTCCCTGTCCCTGTCCCTGTCCCTGTTCCTGTTCCTGTTCCTATACCCGTCTTGAATTCCTCCCTACTGCCCATCATGTCCGTCGTGAAAATTGGGCAATGTACAGTGAACGCCCGATACCCGGGACAAACTGCAAATTCAAACTGCGCTATGAAAGCCCGCCGATGTCCCGGCGGCCTACACCATCACCGTGGGGGAGCATTTAGTTCCGATTCATTCTAGTGATTGATCATCCGTCCTTTTGAAATACCAAAGATAGAGCCATCCGTAAATCTCCCCTACTGAATGCCGAGACCGAGGCGACGACGCTCCTCTAGTTGGTCGCCGCCCACTCGGATCCTTTTCGTTGGACTGGCCTGGTCCGGCCGTAGCTCCTCGGGTGGCGGGAGGCCGCCGCTGAACTTGCGTTTCTCCGCTCCGCTCTTCGAGTGGCCCGAGAGAAGCCTGGCCTGCAGCCTGGCACTCTTTTCGACCGGCGCCGGCGTCGCGTCCGGGGATCCGGCCGAGCTGGCCACCTCGAAGCTCTGCCGCGGATCGCGTCGCAGCATCTCCGACGCCGCCTGACTCGCCTGACTCATCGTCACATCATCGTCCTCCCCGTCTTTGTCGTTGTTGGGGAGCGGGCGGCGTGGCCCGCGCGAGCCGTGCGGTCCTCCCCGAGACAAGACTGCAGACCCCCCAACAACAGACTCGAGGGCTCGGCGTGCTAGGTCTTCGTTATCCTCGGTGGCGGAGGTGGTGCTTTCTCGGCTCTTGCGACGTCGGAACCTTGGGCTCTCTGGGATGAAATCATCGCCGGCTCGACGGCGAGGGGGTTCGGTCTGGGGAACGAGGTCGACGGACGGGAGCAGCACGGAGTGACTTCCTCGCGGCTTTGAGTCCGGTGTCATGGGCAGAGAGGACAACGACTGTGCATTGCGAGTGTGCCTGGAGATGTTTCGAGGCGGAGGAGGCCGGCTGGCCGTGACCGGGGTCGAGGGCGCGCTGTGGTTGTCCTGGTTGATAGCTTGGAGCAACGCGACCATGCGTTCCTGGCCGTGTCCGGCGTCGACGCGGGCGTTTCGGTGGCTCCCGCGAGGGGTCTGGCGCCGATTACCCCGGGCGGGCTGTTGGGGCGTCGAAACGGTCTGTTGCTTGGGCGTCAGGGCGTGATGGAAGAGGCCGCCGGGGCTACGGAGCATCTGGAAATGTTCGCGGTTCTCGTGTATCCGCGTCAGCGCCATGTCGAGCTTCTCCCGTAGATTGCAGACGTGGTCCTCTTTTTCGACCAGAAGCATCTTGGCGCTCTTGAGGCGTTGTTTCAAACCGCGATTTTCTTGCACTGCCTGCTCATATAATTTCTTCATCTGGAGGCATTCGAGTTGGGCGGTATGGATGGCAGCGCTCAGCTCGCGGCGAGCCTGTCGGGAGCATTCGGTATTTTGCAGTGCCTCGACTTCACGACGCGTCATCTCATGCTCGACCTCGGCTCGCTTTGCATCTTCGTTCGCTTGGAGGCTCAGGAGATTGTACTGTAGCTTGTGATGGGCAGCCTCCATTTTCAACTTGGCGTGTTCGCCGACGCACGCCTGCACCATAGCGCGGAGTTCGTCGGCAGTAGCTTCGAGGACCTGTGGAGGGGAGGGAGGCACGTAGCCGGCAGCGACGCCCCATCCCAGTCGAGCATTGGCTGGAGCGGTGCTGAGAGCGGTGTCGGGAGGCGAGAAGAGGGTAGAGCGCTGAGAGTCGACGAAGCCGGTGGGCAAGGCACCATTCCTGACATGGGTCGGCACTTGTGAAGAAGGTGGCGGTGTGAGTGAAGAGGGAACGACAGTAGCACAGCTTAGTCTGTCATCATTGACCTCCGTCTTGAACGACGCGTTGGGGTCGATGGGTGAAGGAGGAACTTCCGTGGATGGGACGGTGACTTGAGACGAAAGAATAGCGAGACCATCCGAGTCGGGGGTGACGGGGTCGGGTTCACTCATGGGAAATTTGTTATTGTTGTTCCCATGGCCGTTGATGTTGTGGGCGTTGTGGGTGTTCTGGCTGTCGTCGGCGATGAGGTTAGCCTGCTGCTGCTGCTGCTGGGCAGCGACCTCGGCGTCAGCGACCATGATGTTTGCCGCACGACGAGTCGAAAGAAGAAAGATGTCGAACGAGTGGTTCGTAACGAGTTGGGACAGTCGTGTGCAAGGTCGACACGACTGTGACGCGGTCGCTGGGACGACGATAATAAGCAACGAGTCGTTGATTGGAGTTGCGGAGTGGTGACCGGGGGCGTAAGGAAGATCGATTGAGCTCGTTTCAGCGACGGGAGAGAGCGACAATTGGATATATGCCTTTTTTGTTTGGCACCAAGCTCGCTCTCTTCTCTGTCACAGGTTGACAGACAGCTGGGACAGAGAGTGAAGAGGAGGTCGGTGGTCTCGATATTTGTGATAGTTGCTGTGGAAGCAAACGGCCCGAGCGGGAGAGAAAGCCTGACTAAGGGTCTGCGAAATAGGCGGCTGCAAAAAAAAGGAAAAAAAAAAAGGAAAAAAAAAAAGAACGAGGCTTGTACCTAGAGCACGTGACTTGTGGACTTGCATGTTACCTTACGGTACGTACCTTAGGCTGGAATGCGTGTCGCCTGAATTCGGCGCTAGACTGGGGACGGGCATAGGGCCAGTGTCTACTTAATGCTTTGATTGGATATCTCGCCAGCCTACCAAACGAGGCATACAACGTACCAAACAGCCAACCTTCCCACCCCACGCACCGCAACCGCACACGTCTCAGCAAGAACAAAAAGAAATCAACCGTCTTCGGGAGCAACCGGACACCGTTTGCGCTGCGTCCAGTCGGCAGTCCCCGTCCCCAGTTCCCGTCCCGTTATCCTGGATTCTGGCATTTCATGTTTTCCGTTTTCACGTTTTCAGGGCACATTTGTCTTCAATATTGATCTCCTTTAATGGCTCCACCCAGACGGAACCATCCGCGATGCCGCGTGCAAGGAATGAAGCCGTGCAATCACTCGACATCTCGAATTCCATCATTGAACCTTCATGTTTCTTTTTCTCGCTTGTCTGCGATCAATTCAAGCTTCTAGCAATATCGGCCTTTCATTCTCCCGCCACTCGTCTGTCTTACGAATCCGTCCGCAGGTGGACGGCTCAGTGGCATGTCCCATCAGTGCCATCACCAACCTCTAGACCCACCCCTCACATTCGCCGTGGCACTCTGGGCACCACTGAGGCTCCCTGGTCGCAGATGTCGTGTCCGTGACTGTTGGCCCAGGACTTTATCGACTTCTCTGTCACCCCCCAATCGCTCCTGTTGTAAACAGGCACATGCTGCGGCCCCCCTATCACTGCCACATTAGGAGACCGGTGGGCAATGAGGCATGTTAGGCTGGCTGCTGTGTGACAAGCACCGATAAACCAGCCGCTGTTACACAGTTACACACCTTACCTGAAAAGAGGGGTTTGTCATTTCTGAGTCCTATTCGGCTCTATGCGCAGGAGTCAGGACAGCCTCCTTTAAGATGGGATTTAACCCCCAGTCCACGATGTCCATTCACTAAATGGAAAGGGGTCGCTCGCATATTTCCCAGATTCTGGACATCCCCAGCTCACATGCGTACGCCGTACGCCTCTTCCTGTTTCGACGCCTAACATCTCAACAAAACATTGTTAGCTCTCCCCATTCTCAGTCTCAAAGGGCTCCGAAATCTCAGCATGCCAGGTCGGGTACCCGTGTCTTCTCCATCACCGCCTCTGGCAGGCTCCATCTGGTTTCTCCCCCGCAGGGACGAGGTGTCCGACAGCGATGCCCCGTTCAATCCTCGCCTCCCACCTTCGGAGGCTTTTAACCATCCCGTCGTAGTACTTTCCAGGAGCAATGAGATCAATGGCCACGTCGACATCCTCAAAGTTCGTCAGAAAGTCTCCAGATTCATGTCAGAAGTGTGACAAGTCTTCTAACACCATGGGCCCCATCATCAAATAGATCACTTCCTTTGGGGGAAGCACCCTTTCGGATCGATTTCCTCGCTCCTTCAAACGTCGCCGCCAGTTCCTCCCGATCCACCCATCCGACCCCCATCCTGACTCGGGAATCTTCTTGTCGCTCGCCGAGGGGAAGATGGATAAACGGTCATACATCAACATCTCCGACGTCTTCAGGGTTCCGTTCCAAATTCTCCGCCGCGTCAGGAATGGGACGAGACCCCGCCTGACGTCCAGCTCCTACGACAAATTGGCAAGCATCAGGCGTAAATACCGGTATGACACGTCCAATCTGGTCACGGCGACAACCTCTTTACCCAATGACATGGACGAGACGCCGTATCCTGAGTTGGCCCTCCTGAATGCGCCCCTGATTTCTTCATATGGAACGCTATCCGGACAACCATCATCCCCTTTGCAATCCTGGTCCGGACGAACATTCCAATCCGCGGAACCCGGCCCATATTACCCTTCCTCGCCAGCCTTCCAACAACCTCGACCTCTCGTCGGACAAGAGTCTTATACTCTCCCTATCCGAGACCTCCCAATTCATCGCAGACGACAAGAGGTTCCCATCCGGAGCATCATACAAGAATGGCTGCCAACCTGGGGCACGATCCTAACATGGGCCTCGATCGCATTATGCCTCTATGGCATATGTTATTTAACTTATCTTGCAGCTCAAGCTGGTATGGTCATGGTGGCATCCTTGGGCCACTGGCTAGGTCCGTTGCCCGATAGGATTGCAGGAAAGATTTCAGATGTAGTTCAATTCGTGGGACAATGGCTCAGCAGAAAGATGAGGTTGGGTTTGGGTTAAATACTTCTTCGGTCTTCCGTCTGGCGTCGCCCGTCTGGGGAGTCGTGTCGGAGACTGACTATGACTCTGGTGCCGATCAAATCAGCCTCCGTTACATGACCAGATTCTTTTCTGATACGGGATTTCTATGAGCTGCAGGCTCGTTCTTCGTTTGATAGGCAGGGGTTTGGCTTTATGATCTGAGTCAATTTATTGCAAAGTCCAAGATTGCGATCCAATAGGGAGACCGTGAAAGTATCCGTGATGCTGGCGTCTATAGATAAGCACTCCACAGGCTGCTTGCGTACATTCAATACTGTTCGAATTATCTATACTTAATACGTATGCTCGTACAATCAGCAGTTCCCCTAATACTCTCGCCTTTTCCAAGACGACACTAAGCCCTATGCCACAGAAAGAAAACAACGTGCTTTGTTGATATTTCCACCCCGGCTTCTCCGAGTCCACACATGTCCCAGTTGTTACGTCGAAGGTGCGGTGACGGTGACTTCATCTCGTTTAGGAGAGGCATCCTGAGGGGGAGCAGAAGATCGATCTGCACTATTGGGACTGGTAAAAATGGCATCCTCCCCTGCGAAATGTACCGAACGGTGTCTGCCGCCATGATCCTGTGTTTTCCGCGCAGACTGAGCTAGACTAGGGCCGGGATCCATTATTGCAGGGGCTCCTTCGACAGCATCTCGCTGACCCCTAAGCTCTTGCTGCGGTCTCTGCGTCTCTCTCTGGTGTTCGACTTGCTCCGGTACGGTAGACAACGGGGGTTGGGTGGGGTTAGAATGAACTTGTTGAGGCGAGCCAGGCATCAAGGACACCGACGGCTCGGAGCTACGGATGGTATTGGGAGCTGCTCTCTCCGTATCGGTCTCGGGTTTGTTCTCAGAATTGGGCGGCAGGTTGTCTTCGCTGGGAAACACGATACGGTTGAGGAGGATAGCGGGGTGCCAGTGACTTCGTGGCTAGAAGAAAACAGGGTCAAAAAAGTTAGGACTCGAGACAAGCTATACGTTGATGGAGGATAAGAGTCCGACATTACCTTTCTCCTCTTTCCGGTGGCACGTCGCGCGAGAACTGCAAGTGGATGAGCGAAGAGGCAGTAGAGCAATAGCCAGATGCCCAGGAGAGAGACGATGATAGGTGCGAAAGTGAAGAGCGTGCCCCAGAAGGTCCCCAACACGGCCCAGCGGTAGACCGGGTAACCTTTCGGTTGGGGCCTCATAGACCGGGGCATCATGAGGTAGATGACGAGGAAGCAGGAGCACCAGACGACGCTGATGACTCCGAAAGCCGGTAGCGAAGCGACGATGGGAGACTATACCAGCCAGCTTTGTTTACTCCCACGATTGGGAGCCTTGTCTTTATCCTTGTTGTCATTGTTATCGTCCTCGTCTCTGTCCTCGACCTCATCGTCATCAGGATTGGCGTTAGCACTTCTGCGCCGGGATCTCTTGTCGTTCGGTCGAAAGATCTTGTTGTCAGACTCGGCATCTCGCCCGTCGATGTAGATACTCCCGAGTGTTTCATCGTCTGGTCGAGGGAGATGAGAGAGAGGAATGGCAGTCGGGACGGGAGCTGCCGCACAGAGACTTGTTGAGAGTGTAGACACCACTATTCTGGTGGTTCCCACACCATTCATGGGCGTGTCTATGGCATAAGGAAGGGGAGCCATGTTGCTTTCTCAGGTCGGCGAGTAGTTAATGATTAAGATGAGTGTTGTGTTGGTCTATGGTATGTTGTCCAAGGTACGTACGGTAAGCGGTAAGAGAAAGTCAAGACCTGGAGAGAGTGTCGATGGACCAATGGGTGGTGGGTAAGCAGTTCGGCCGTCCGGTAGACGGGAAAATCAGAAATGTCTTTGAGTTTCCGTCCAAATGACAAAGATGGTCGGCGAACAATGTTCTCCAAGTCCACGACGTACACGTGTACTACACAATAACCTTAGGTAATCAATTTACTCTTCAATATTGACCCCAATTTTGACAGTTCCAGCTAATGTACGCTGTATCTAACAATGATCTCATCACGTAAGCTAGCAATCCCAACGCCAAGAGAAGCACAAGACCTGCGACCCCCACTATACTTACAACGGTACGCGGGGTCGAGATTTTTCACAGGTTCAACCCCCAATTTACTGCTCCCGAACTTATATGCCGGACCACAACCCCAGACGCCCCCAACTCCGCACGGGATCGATGGTCGGAATCTGCGTTATGCGGGGTAGTTTTTTCGGACCTACCTTAATTTAGGTCGTGTAGCTTCTACCTTTTACCTCAATTCAGGGGATATCCAAGCTTCTGGGTCAAGACGGTGAAACGAATGAACCTCGGCAACAACAAAAGATACCACGTCGTCCTTATCACCATTGCTAATTTTCTTTTCTTTTCCCTCTTGAACGCAACAGCGACTTTACTTTGAAGTTTCCACCCTATCCGTCTGCCTCGCAAAACCGACGCGCTTTCTCTCGTGCCATGATATAGCTTGGAGCATTCGACGATTCCCTTCATTCGATCCGTTCCTAGCTCAGAAGATCAATACATCAGTCCCCTCGGCTCGTCCCAGCGGACAACGATCTAGACTTCAGCTATAAGAATCGCAGACATGGCGTTGGGTACGTCTGAACCCGAATCCAGGATTCCAGCCAAAGAAAAATTCGTACAACCTGCTGACCGGGACTCTACAGCAACGGCCGCAGCATTGGCCACAGGCCTGGCTTACCTCGATGCCAAATATCACCTCTCGAAAGACATGTCGGCCATGCGCGCCCACCGAGCCATTGTCAACTCCAGATCAGCCGCAGGTAAAAGCCCAGCCAGACCCCCGAGTCCTAGATACCCAGGCTTCCAGATTACCAGCCACTTCTCCCGTTTCGCGCCTCAAAAATAGGCACCGTCTACGTTACTTTTACTCACAGTCCACTAGTAAAGAACGACCGCGTCTCCCCCTACCACGCCTTCGCCGCCTCCGCCACCCGCAACCCGACCGCGGAAGCCATCTGGACCCGCACCGGCTCCTACACCTGGGCCGACGTCCTCACCCAATCCCACCGCTACGCCCACTTCTTCCTCGCCCGGGGCGTTCGGCGAGAGGAATTCGTCGCGCTGTGCATGCAAAACTCGGCCGACTACATCTTCGCATGGCTGGGTCTCCTCGCCATCGGCGCCGCTCCGGCCATGATCAATCACAACCTCGCCGACGAGGCGCTGCTCGGCTGTCTTCGGACGAGCAAAGCCAAAATCATCCTCGTCGATGGGAACGAGGAGCTCTTGAAGAGAGTGGCGGATGTGCAGGAGGGGTTCCAGAGTCAGGGGGTGACGACCCTCCACCTGCCAGATATCAGGGACGAACTTTCCCGGATGAGCTCGTCCGCTCCAGAAGATGCGCTTCGCAAGGGGCTGCGGCCGGGTGATCCCATGGCTCTGTTCTACACCAGGTAAATCAGCGATCGATTCCCCCTCCGGCTTGAACTATGGCAAAAGGAGCAACTCTACTAACCCGTGACCCGTCGGTCAGTGGTACGACTGGCATGCCAAAGGCTTGCATTCTGCCTATCGCAGCTTCGTTCTCTCTGATCCGATCGGTTCGTCGACCTTGTACCTCTGGATTCATATTCTCCCGAGTTGGAAGAACATACTGAACACCCTTCCGATAGAATGAGCTAGGTCTCCACCCCGTCAGTCCTAAGAATGAGCGATGCTACGTCTGCATGGTAAGTTATCTCTGCTCCTATCCCCCCTCAACTCACCATGACACCAACCAAAGCCGAAAGCGAAGTTCTGACCGGGGCCCAACCCTCAGCCATTTTATCACGGCACCGGAGGCATCACCATGCTGTCCCAAATCCTCTGCGGCTCGACCGTCTGCGTCGCCCCCAAATTCAGCGCCTCGAGTTTCTGGCCCGACATCCGCGCCTCCAAGGCCACCTGGTTCCTCTACGTCGGCGAAACCCTGCGGTACCTCCTCGCCGCCCCGCCGTCCCCGGACGACAAGGCGCACACGGCCCGCGCCGCCTACGGCAACGGCTGCCGCCCGGACGTGTGGACCCGCTTCCAGGCCCGCTTCGGCATCGACACCCTCGGCGAGTTCTACAACTCCACCGAGGGTCCCCTGGCCCTGCGGAACCTCGCGCGCGGGGAGTTCCTCGCCCACGCCGTCGGGCACCTCGGCTTGTTGATGCGCTGGCGGTATAGGGACCAGTACGTCTTCGCTGCCGTGGATCCCGACACGGGGGAGGTGTGGCGTGATGCGAAGACGGGGCTCGTGGTGCGGTCTCCGCATCAGGTTGGGGGTGAGGTGTTGGTCGTCATGCCCGGAGAGAGGCCCTTCCCTGGGTATTACGGGGACGAAAAGGCGACGGAGAAGAAATATATCCGAGACGTGCTTAAGAAGGGGGACTTGTATTACCGGACGGGCGACGCCATGAGGATGGATGCTGATGGGCGGTGGTTTTTCCTCGACCGGTCAGTTACCTTCCGTTCCTTTCGTTTTCTTTTCTCCCTTTTTTTCTTTTTTCTTTTGTCTTGTTTCCCGTCTTCTCCTTCATCGATCGTCATGACATCTCGGTACAGGGGAGCTCGGGTAAGCTGACCTTTCTCGCTACCTTAGACTGGGCGACACATTCCGCTGGAAAGGCGAAAACGTATCGACCGCCGAGGTGGCGCAAGTCCTGGGCGCCTACCCAGGGGTACACGAGGCAGTAGTCTACGGCGTCGAACTGCCGTGCCACGATGGCAAGGCAGGCGCCGCCGCCCTCCACCTCGACCCTTCTGCACGCGATAAGTTCGACTACGCAGGTCTTCTCAAGTACGTTACCCGTCCTGCCCTCTGCCCCTGACTTAACGTGCAGAGATGGCATTATTCTGACAGGTGACTTCAAGGCACGCTCGTTCCAAACTGCCCAAGTACGCAGTGCCCATCTTCCTCCGCATCCTCCAAAATCAGACGGCGTCGCACAATAACAAACAGAACAAGGCCCCGCTGAAGAGGGACGGCGTTGATCCAAGGAAGGTGCAGATCGACCAACTATTTTGGATTGAGAAGACGGGCAAGGGCCAGACGTATGTGCCGTTTAGGCAACAAGACTGGGATGGGTTGGTGGCAGGTAAAGCCAAGTTGTAATAGATCGTTTCGTCTTGGCTGTACGATAGTAGAAGTAGAGGTAGAGGTAGATAGTCTCTAGTTATACCGGTATAGATTTCAAATCTTGGGGATATTTAGGACTACCGATGGTCTCGTATCTCACTTGAGTCCCGTAGAATTTGATCAGTTATCTTTCACCGTTCTACCTTGGTTTCGTTATTTGTTCGATATGCCTTGGAATCAGTATCCTAGATTCGCATATGTGGGATATCTTTCGACCACTTTGCGTTTTTTCAAGTTGAACATCTTTAACCGGCCTCTCGGTCTTTTGCCGGTCTTTTACCCGTGTGGCCGAGTTCAGACATGTGAGTGGGTGCTGCTCAGAAGCAAAGACACAATATTATCGAGTACATGGAGAGATAGAAGCTTATAGTGTGCGTATTATTCATGTTAACAGGGGGATCATGCTGATATTCTACTCTGGATGAACCTCCATGTCGTCCAGGGTCCTGGCCGCTGCTGAACCTTGTTAATTAAGACATATAGGTAGTGTAGGCAGTGTATCTTTTGGTATGAACCGTACGATCATACTGCTGGTTAGTCATTAACCCGGAAAATACCCCGATGTTACAATAGGCGCGGGCCGAGACCGCGTGCACTAGTCTGTCAGATACCCGGGGAGTGGGGCCCGGCCGCCCGGACCCCCGACCTTCCGGTCTTCTTTGTCAACAGGTGAAACAATACGTCCTTGGGGAGCGAATCTAAGACATGGAACCTACAACTAGGACGAGAATCAGTTGCGAGTGTCTGGGAGCCTTTGCCACAAGTTTGAATGCCAGGGTCCGAAATGCAAAACCCATATAAACTTATAAAGTGTCCTACTACGAGTCTACGACCTCAGATTTGACCCTCCTCCCCCACAATATTAATGACAAATTATTGCAAGCCTAGTTTCCTTACCCATTATCCGGTAGATATTCATAATCGAGAATGGAACCTGTTCCTAAACGAGATGTTTGCTTCGTCCGTCCACCGCTCCTGCGAGTTGCGAGTGGGCCTGCCTGTCGCTGGCTACTAGATCACCGGAGTGGTGGTAGCAAAAGCATTGTTCTGCATGTCTGTATCACGCCCCCATCTACATGGCGTGGCTCGCATAAAGAGAGGGGCGGTGTAGTAGAGACAAAGGCCCAAAGACTTCCTGTTATTGACTCGGCTCTTCGCAGGCTCGCATGTGACTTGAAACACTTCTCCAGTCCTGCCTCTTTAGGGTCAGAGAAGCCATGATTCTCGACGAAGATGAAAAAAAGAAATGAAAAAAAAAAGAAACCAGTGAACGACAGAAGTTACTCGGTAAAAAGCTGCACGACTCACACCAAGCTAAGTGTATTTGTATTCTAGCGCCTTTTTCTCAACCCGGAACTGCGTGCAGCATAATGGGCCAGCCGAATCCTCCCCGTGCTGCCTTTCGATCCAACGAAGCTTTCGGGTCCGAACTTTCGGAGTTTCTCTTTTCCCTCTACCCCATTTTCTATCGGCCCCATAGATAACGGAGAAAAAAAAAGACAGGATTATGGAAAACATGGGGTTTTCTAACTAGAGCAGCATGCAGCATGCAGCGTGATACCGTCTCCTCGGGAGTCCGTTGAATGTATAGCCAAGTAGATGGTGAGCTCCCGCCCGAGCCCAGTGACGAGACTCTTATCTCCAACATGAATGTCTCATTTAAGCTCTCACTCGTGCACCAACCCGCAGTCTTTTGGGGTATGTATAATGTCTGTAGCCTTCGGTGTATGCAGGCATTTTCGGCGTTATTCCAACGTGCAGGATTCGGAGGCTGGAGCCTGGAGGCACCAAGCTTACAGTGTATGGCAAAATCTGGAGTCCAACAGATTCCCGATGCGGACCCGGCTGGCGCATTTTAGAACCCATAAAGGACGGATCGCCGATATAAGGGTGTAAATGAGGTTGTAGCTGCATGCAGGCGAGAGATATTCCCCCTAATCTGCTAACGATAGATACATGTACGCATCTGGGGACTCAACGGCTTGTGTGAAGATGGTTTAAAGGCTAGATGCCATATAAAGAGGAGTAGCCCAAAGCGCGGATGCCGCCTTTGCTCTATCTTCGGCCTATATTCTTCGCTCCGAGCAGAGAGTAATTATCAAATTTCTTTGAACCCCAGTCCCGACCCCTGAAACCTTGTGTTTGTATACATGTGTCCGAAACCATCATGGACTCAGTCTTGGATGTGAGCGTCAGCAGCCTCAAGCCGGTCATCATCTCCCCTATGGCCGTGCTTTATCTCGTCGGCATCTGGGTGGTTTACCGTATTCTGGTGACCCTATACAATATCTCACCCCTCCATCCTCTATATCGATTCCCCGGTCCCAAGATAGCGGCGGCCACGTATGCCCACGAGGCATACTATGACTGGATTCTTGTTGGGCAGTATAGCAACAGGATTCGCAAGATGCACGAAGCATATGGTGAGTTTTCAGTTTTGTAACTTTCGTTTCCCCCAACTTCGCGTGGCCCCCTTTGCAGCGACAAGTAGTTTTTGGTTTTCCAACTCTCAACTATCATACGATTCATACCGGACTGGGCATTCCCTGCAAAAAGGACAGGGTAACACTAACCAAGTCCTCATCAGGTCCCATTGTACGCATCAACCCGGACGAGCTTCACTGTTCCGACCCATACTTCACCAACGAGATATACGCCGGCTCAGGCCGCGTCCGGGACAAATGGGAGCACCAGCTCAACACAGGCGCCGCGGGTCCCGTCTCCGTCTCCGTCTTATCCACCGTCCACCACGAGCTGCACTGCCTCCGTAGAGGCGCCATATCACGCTTCTTCTCACGACAGCAGATGCTCAAGCTCGAGAGTGAAGTGCACGAATTTGCCCAGGTTTCCGTCGATAAGATGCTCCGGTACGCCGGGAAGGAGCCCTTGGACGTCACGGATGCCTTTAACTGCTTCACGGCCGACATCATCTCGCAATACGCCTTTGGCGAGCCCCTGGGTTTCGTCGCGCAGGAAGGCTGGACACCCAACTTTGCCACTTAGGTCAAGTCTCACCTGAAAAGCGCCTACATGCTGCGTCATAACACCTTGGTCCGAAAACTGGCCCATTTCCTGCCGCTGCTCTCTGACTACATGGGTGAGGATGTCAAGGCGGTTATGCGCCTGATGAACGTCACCATCCCACAATATATCAGGGCTTCGCTGGAAAACCCGGGGAATGGCAGGGTCTTCGCTGATCTGATGTCGTCCAAACACTTGCCCGAGGAAGAGAAGACTCTGTACCGGCTGTCGGGCGAGGGGTTTCTCTTTTTGTTTGCCGGTATCGAGACCACCACGGTATGTTCACGGTTTCTCTCATGCAGCGTATCCCCCCGTGTGTTGATGTAGCGAGAAGGACATATTTGGCTTCTCGAGGTATTTCTCACTATCCTCTGTCCTATCTCTCCTTTTTTCTTTTTGTTTCTTTTCATGTTCTTTTTCTTTTCTCTTTTTCCCTGGGCTTTTTCTAACTGACATATCGTCCCCTCAAGGGAATCCTCACCTGGCTCACCTACTACCTCCTTGCCCAACCCGAGACGTATGCGAAATTAATGGAGGACCTGCAAGGCCTGGACCCAACGCATCTCAAGTGGACCGAACTCGAGCAGCGTCCCTACCTATGGGCCGTTATCCACGAATCGTTGCGCATGATGCCCGGTGTCGCTCACCGTTCCGCCCGTATCGCCCGTGAGGAGGACCTGGTGTATAAGAGCAGAGACGGCAAGACCGAATGGGTCATCCCCCGAGGCACCCCCATTGGTATGACCCCGATGATCAACCACTGGAACACCGAGCTATTTCCCAACCCGGACGAGTTTATACCTGAGCGGTGGCTGGTGGACGGCAAGCCCAACTATAACTTGCAGAAGATGTTGATCTCGTTTGGAAAGGGAAGCCGGTCGTGCATTGGCGAGAAGTAAGTCAGGGCACACAAGTGCGTTTTCTGTTGTTTGCGGTTGGGCTGTGCTGGTTGTTAACAGATTTCGTGTGCTCTCTTCAGCTTGGCCTACTGTGAGGTCTATATCATGACCGCCCTCCTAGCATTTCGTATTCTTCCAAGGGCACAGCTTTACGAGACGACCATCGAGGATCTTACGTATGACCATGATCTCATCGTACTCCAGACCAAAAAGGGGTCGATTTCCGTCCGCATTGCCATTTCGTAATCGGCTTCGGCAGCCCGCTCGATGTCGCCGTTCAGTTATGGTACCGGTGTCCGTTGAATGGCGCCCGCATCAGCCGACTAGAACAGCCAGCGTTTCCACGTTCAACAGGGGTAAAAGACTATACAACGATATATAACTCCCAATCAACTTTTATCTATCTATGTAGTAGAATCCTCACAGTGCACAAAGCTCTACCCAACGCCCAGGAATGGAACAACTCACCCGAGTGAGAGCGGAAAGCATATTGCATGTCCTACTCGTGAGAACGCACCGTCCATAAATCATGGCTGAAGAACGCACGGAAGAAAAGCTCACCACTAGCACAAGCATATATACACCTCATGGATTCCCATCATCTCTCTCGTCATCTTTTGCATCGTCCACTCGTGTGCTGTTGGCCGGAGGGTAGTGCGCAAGGGATAGAATACATACAGCAACCATTGCGAGGCCCTAGGTCACCGTCAGCCATTTTCGAGGCTGAAGAGTCCACAGAGGGAAAGGAGGAGATTATTCTATACTTACCCCGTTGCAAAAGAATGTCAGGTTAGCGCGCCCAATGGTGGATAACGAGGCATAAATAAGGCCAAAGAGACCCTGAGTAGTCAATGTAGCAGCGCTCTCCACGAGGGTAATGGCACTCAATGCATCCTGGCGGAGGTAGGAAGGACACATCTCGGTGATGACACCCTTGGCAGCAGGAGCGGAACCCGAGGCAAAGGGGAGGAGGAAGGCAGCTGAAAGAGAGCGTGAGTCCTAGAAGCACGCACGGGAAACACAAAAGATAAGAGGAGACAAGAAATGCTGTGCACAGTGCACTCACCAAGGTACATATGCCACCCTTCAGTAGCCCAAGCCGAGATGGAGGTGACGATCCCATCGACCAGCAAGCTCCAGCGCAAGAACGACAGATCAAACATACTATCTTCGTCGTCTTCCTCGGGTGGAGGTTTCGTGGGCTCTTCCGAATTCACCAACCCGGGGACCGGTTCCCACTCGTCCGGGTTCGTCGGCAGAATTTCCCCTTCTTCCCGTCTCAGGGGTTCCCCACCGAGGTCGGCACGACTGGCGGTAGGACCAGCCGCAGAGGATGCGAACCACCTCCGCCCGACATCGATGAGCTTGGGGAAGATGAACATCAAGAAGACACCGCGTATCAGGGAATTGCCTGACATTAGGATGCCGTTTTCGGTGGTGCCGAACTGGAATCTCGATGTCGCGTACATCTGGATCAAGATGGGGGCATATCCTGTGGCGAACTAACACAAAATTGTAAGCGGATAGTCTGTATCGTACAGTTTGTCTGCTCGTCTCGTGCTCTTTACTTACCACTCCGAAGAAAACACCAAGAGCGAGGAAGACGAGACCGTAATGCCTCACCACCCTGCCGGATTCCAAGCGGAAGCGGGGTGGTATGAACACCTTTATAGGGGAGAGGAACCCGGTCGGCGCCCTATGAGAGTCGTTGGCCGATTCTTCTTTGCTGGCGGGAGGCGTCGGCATGAAGATGGTACCGTAGAGGGTTCCAACGATGAAGCAACCCACGGCCGTCACGAAGGGAATCTGAATCCCAGCATCTCCCAAGATACCCCCAACTATACCAGAGAAGTCAGCAAGGGGGTGAAAGAGGCAAATGGAACATGAAATTATAGGACGAGGACGATGGGAAATACGTACGGAGATAACCGCCAGCTGTGCCCATCATCAGTGCACCTTGAAGCTTCCCAAATACAGCCGTATGCCGTCTCCTCTCGACGACCTCAGCTACGGCCGTGTTCAACACAAGCCTACAATCGAATTGATCTCCAAGTCAGGCCAACCTGTCTGCCAGTCCAGTCACTCCAACCTCACCACCGCAGCGAAGTGGGAAAAGAGCACAGCGGAAAGTAAAACTCACATATACCCCCGCGGTCCGCCAACAACACCCACCAACTGCGTCGCCTGCATCAAGATGATCCCCTTCTTCCCCCCGACAGCGACAGCCACGATCTGGCACGCAACGCGCACGGCGAGCAGGCTGGTCTGGCTGACGAACGCCCAGCGCGGGCCGAGCCGACGGATCAAGGCGCCGCAGATGAACAGGTTGGCGATGCCGCAGACGGAGGTCGTCATGCCGAGGAAAGAAACCTGCGACGCCGTAGCGGCGTCGATTTCCCGGCGGGCGCAGCGGTCCGCTGGTGGGCTGGCGGCTTTGGCGCTGCCTCCGGCGTAGAAGGCGTCGCATGTCATGATTCGGAAGACGTAGATGATGCTGGGATGGAGTGGTTAGCAAAAGGCAAGCAAATGAATAATCATAATAATAATAAAATGACAAGGGTAAAAGTTCAGGGCGAGTCCATCGAAAGGAGTTGAGGTGGAAACAAACGCCCTGTCCATTGAGAATATGCACAGTGGACTGAAAGAGGGGAAACAGCAGTGCAGCACATACGGGACCTGAGTAAGGCCTAACGTCAAGGACACAAGAAACCCAGCCATAAGAATGCGGTTAGCAGGCGAGCAAATCGATGACCAGGCCTTGCTTTCTGCGTGAGACGATAACAAGCAACGGGGCTTGAGCGGCGACGACCCATCCCCTGGGGGCGGGGATCCCAGCAGCGGCGTTCTCTCAGTGGCGGTCATGGTTGATCGCTATCGGTCGGCTATAGGTGAGACACTCCTTTAGGGTCCGGTCGGTGAGAGGCAGCGCGCTACGGGAAATGGGATGAGAGGTGGGCATAGGCCTAAAAAGGGGCGGCGGTTGATGAGCGAAATCTGGTTGGGGATGGGAACTTGGGGACTGAGGGGCAACAGAAGAAAAAAGAAGGAAAAAGACGCCGAGTGTGGCGTTTCCGCCCCCTGACTCGCCGCCATCGGGTCCCGCCTCGGCCCGGTCTGCCGAGATTTTAGTTCCATCTCTCCGTCCCACGTTCACCGGTCACCACGTGGAAAAGCCGATCTGCAACGACATCATTATCTCATCTCACTTCCAATAATCTCATAAATTGCACATTATGTTATCTGACTTGACACCAAATGGCCCCATTAAACCCACTCCATTAATTATGTAATTTTGAGACATGATTAGTATGGGATATCAAGCCCCTGTCGCGAGAAGGTGAAGAAAAAAAAAAGAAGAAAAAATCCATTAGCCGTGGGCCATCATCGCCCAGGTCTAGTCGCAAAAGGGTATAAGTATACGGATATAAACATCATCTTTGCCTCGAGACAATGCGGTGGTCAGTGGAAAGCCGGAAGTGAAGAGAAGAAAAGGAAGAAAAAGACCAAAAAAACCCAAAAAAGGGGAGGAGGGGGCATGAAAACCAAAGCCCCCATCACATCTCATCGAACGGCTCTTCTTTCACCCCCAACGCTCAATCCACGTCCGAGTCGGAATACCCACCACTCTCCGCCTGGTTCTCCTTCCAGCTCGCCATCTCCGCCACGGGCACACGACCCCTAAGCCACCGCAACGTGGCATCCGTCCCCCGCTCAAGAACACTCCACCGCGGAACCCTGAACCTGTTCCCCGCCACCTCGAGCCTTTTCAGCCCGCCGCTGCCGCCAAGGAGCCCCAACTTGGGGTTCAAGTGCGTAATATCGTTGCTCCCCACGTCGACGACTTGCAAGCCTTTGATCGTGTCGGGGTCGAGGTCCATGATGTGGTTATTCGCCGCCAAAAGAACCACGAGCTGCGGGAACGCCGTCCGCAGGTCGCCGGGGAGTCCCGTGATGCGGTTCACCGACACGTCCAGCTTTTCCAGGCGAGGGGACCGCAGGTGCGTCGTCAGCGGCGTCAGGCTGGTGATGTGGTTGCCCATCAGGTTCAGCTCGCGGAGCGCCGGCAGCTCGAGCTCTTCCGTCAGGTACGTCTCGCCCACCAGCTTGTTGTGCGCCAGCGAGAGCGCCGACAACGTCTCGGCGAAGAAGGACAGGGAATCGGGTATCGCCGTGAAGAGGTTGTGGTGCAACTGCACCTCGTACACCTTGGTAGCCGCCGCCACCTTTGAGCACACCACGGGGTGTAGCGACGCCGAGCCCGTGTTGGATCGGTCCAATAGGCCACCCACTTTGACCGGCCACGTCTGGCTCGACACGGTGTGCGAACGGGACCGCGCGGGAGTGTGCGGTGCCGACGTTGGAGGCGTGGCAAAGTCGTCCATGTCCGACCTACTGTCCTGTTCGGCGTCATCGGCATCATCAGCAGTCGCCATAGCCGTAGAAGTAGGAGTGGGGCTGGGCGTGGGAGTGGGCGTGTTTCTGTCTTCGGGAATATCCCCCTCATCCCGTGCACTCTCCTGTGGCTTGTTTTCCGTCGACCCCCGAGCCGGTTCGCCCGCCACCTTCACATCTCGGACCAGTTCGGGGGCAATTGCCTGAGAAGTCGTCGTCGTCACGTCGCAGTAAGGGGGTGGCGGCTCCAACCGGGCGGACAGGATATCCTTCAGCTCTTCCGTCGTGGCAGACACCAGCTTCTTCTCACGCAGGGGGTTGCCGCTCAGCCGGATCATAGAGAGGCTATCCATCCTCGCAATCTCGGGCGGCACCGCCTTGATGTCGTTGGACGAGACGTCGATGTGTCTTAGCTTCTCGAGACTGAATAGTCCATCTGGAAACGACGAGATGCTGTTCTCGTCCGCCGTCAGTGTCACCAGATTCGTCCAGGAGCTAGCGTCCGGGAGAGCCTGCAGCCTATTCATGGAGAGGAAGAGTTGGTAGAGGGCAGGGAAGTCAACCGCCGACCCAGGGGCGACGAGATGGGTGATTTGGTTGCACGACACGTCCAGTGACTGAAGATTGGGGAGAACTCGCACGCCTTCCTCGATGAGCGTGCCCGTCAGCTTATTGTTCTTCGCCCATAATTCGAAAAGAGGCATCTTGGATAGACTGGAGAAGGGCAGGCACTCGACGCTGTTGTCGCTGATGTTCAGGATGCGGAGGCGCTCTAGGTTCCCAATGTTGACCGGGAGGGACGACAAGTTGTTACCGTGAAGGTCGAGGATTTCGAGATGCCGCAGATTGGAAATGCAAGGATCGAGCGGTCCGTAGAGGAGGTTAGTGGGTAGCTTCAGGTCGCGAAGAGACGAAATCTGGGAGATGACTTCTAGGCAGTTGTTGGCTAAGCGATTGGAGGACTAATCCCAGACATTTGTTAGTCAACCTGGAGGAAAGTCTCTCTCTCTCTCTCTCTCTCTCGGCAAAGGGGGGGAGGAGACGAACGTACCAGATTAAGAGACGTGAGTAGGCGGAGTTGTCTCAAGCCCACGGGGAGAGAGATGAGCATATTGCCGTGCAAGTCTAGCGTTTCCAGCCCAGCAAAGATGTTGCCATTGCCGTCCTCATCCGCGCCCAGCTCCTCGGGCGTCACGTCCGGGAAGATGGCATCGTCTATCTCCTCAAACTCGTTGTCTGCCGCCACAAACTTGGTCACATCGACGCTCTCGGCCCAGCTCCCATCGTACGTGCCCGTCGTCTCGGCATCGTACATCTTCAGCACATCCAGTGGGACGGCCTTGAAACCCAGGGTGGCTATGTTCAACCGCCCCGAGGTACGCGCGTCGGCGAGCCGCTGGCGAAGGATCTTGTCCGTCGCCTTCTCGCTTCTCTTTATGTTAAACGGATCGTCGGTCACGGCAACCGGCAATCCAAAGTCGAAGCTATGGTCCGAGGGGACAATGGGGGACTTGGGCGGCTGCCAACGGTCTTCTTCTTGTACAGGCAAGGTCGAATCCGAGTCTAGTTCTAGTTGTGGGGCATTAGACAGTTGCCGGACGGCAGCACGTTTCGCTGCTTTTGCCTTGGCAATCTGATCCCGCAGCGCTGCTGACGATTTGAGGCTGGGGGTTTCTGGGGCTTCTGCTGCTTCTTCGGTCGGTTTCTTAATTGGGGTTTTTTTCGCAGGCGTCCGGGCATTCTTGAGACGCCTTGGTGGAGCTGCTGTCCGGGGCCTGGATACGACTTTCAAGGATGACTGTGTTGTCGGAGACTGGGCGGCAGCGCGGTCGATGGAAGGGAGAGACCGCTTCTTGAACAGTCCGTTCACAGAACCCCTGGCCCTCGAAGTCCGAGCGCCCACGGTGGCCGACACGACCTTGGACGGGGTCGCGATCCCGCTAGGTCGCATGACCGTCGCCGGACTAGGGCTTCGAGTATCGTCCCGTCTTGTGGTGGAGGCGGAAAACCTGGTGGAACTGGCGGTGGCAGGGCGGGGGCCGGCTTTGACCGAGGGCGTCCGGAGAGACGCAATTCCTGACGTCCGCCGCGAAGGCGTGCCCTCTATTGTGGCCATTGGACGCCGAAAGGTATTGGTAGATGCTCGGAAGGCAGATACACCGTCATCCGGACCTGAACTCGAGCCAGGACGGCTTCGACCACGGGAGGCCGGTCGCATAAACGATGACGCATCGGATGCATAACTCGAGCCCGGTCGGGATGCGTTGCTCTCGGCACGCGACCTGGGTCGTCTTGAACCGTCGGGATCAAAAAATGACGAACTTTTCTTGGACAATGCGGGAGAAGACGGTAACTGGGAGAGTGTTTCTATAGTGCGTTCGGCGAGCGAAGGTCGGGACTTGGCAGGTCGAGCAGGAAGCGTATCGTGTGCCACATCGATCTCGGCGGTACTGGGAAGAGGCTGGAACTCGATGGGAGACTGGCTAGAGACGCTGGTAGCCGATGATACGGGTCCTGTGGCGAGAAGTGGAGCCACTCCTGTAGCTACAGACGGACGCATGGGTATGGAAGCTGATCGCTGGGAGGGCCCCTTGTGCTGCTCGGTATCGGGATCGGTGCATGTAGTGGGATTAGAGGTAGGACCAGCCATCGATAGAGACGGCTTGCGGAAGGAAGTGGAAGAGGAAAAGGTCTTGCTCGTCGGTCCTAAGGAGCTCGATCTAGCGGTAGCCACGTTCGGTCCATCCCTTCTCAAGCTCGAGGCGCTGGGCACATTGCTGGTTGAGATTGTTGAGGGTGTGGAGGTTGTGGAGGTGTGCACAGTCGGTCTGGCCAATTGGTCTCGTGACGGTGTGGTCCGGAGGCGTTGCCGCGGAAGGGACCCAGAGATGCCATCCCTAGAAGGAGCATGTCGAAGAGACGTCGTCCTAGGTATCGAGGAGGATGTTGTAGAAGATGATGCCGTCGACCTGGGCTGAGGGAGGCGGGAGGGTCGAGGGATGCCGCTTTGGCGGGTCGCCTGGGGCTGAGTTTCGTCCATGAATTCACAATTTTTCCGACATCTGATACAAACTCAGAACTTGAACATGCATATGCCAACCTTCGGGAAGGGGATATTCGGGCGTGAAAAGGCGAGCACACATTCTGCAAGGGAGGGAAGATGGGAGTTCAAATGTAAACAAATGTTTTGGATGTTTGGGAGACACAGGGGATGGTGGTCCGAGCGCTCGGCACTTAGGGGCTTATCTTATCTTTATATTATCCTTATCTTATCTGACCCGAAGGGAGTTCCTTACCTGACGTACCGGTACCTTCTTCACCGACTTCTCTGATCGACATCGCTATGTAACGCGTCTTGTTTCTTTCCAGTTCTCGACCGTCACCCCGTCACCCAATACACCCCATATAAAGAGTTTTATTCCCAGGAATGCCCCGCCATGTGTTCTCAGCTTCTCCCTCTCAAATCTAGAGATGAAACCGGACTCAATACGCGGTTGCGATGGGAGATGGCTAAGTGGGAGCCAATACTGTACACGTCGTCCCTCGACTCCCGCCCAGTCTCCACATGGCAAACTCCAGAGTCGTCTTCCCGAGTGAAAGTGTAGTTGACAACAGGAGAATCAGCTGGCTCTTACGATATGCCTGTAGCCCCAGGTAATGGCCCCTCAAATGACAACGTGACAGGCTCGGCGGTGCTTGCATGATGCATCTCGCAGCCGCAAGAGTGGTGAGCCTTATGTCCGTTCGTGTGGAGGCGAAAATGATTGTCTTGCACGTCCTTGAAGCAATGTGAGAGGTCATAATTCAATGACACTCATCCGAGCGACCCAATGGACTGGTAACCGGGAGAAGGGGCAACAGCAAGTCAACACATCAGCATGGCAGAGTGAGAGTCGGCGTGTCAGGCTCGTAGCATGACCCCCGCTTCGGCTAGACGAAGCTACGATACCGAACATTGCATCGCGACTGGGTCAGAAGAAGCCATGCATATGTATACAAAGCATGTACTTCACAAAAACTTCCCTTCCAGGCCCTACTCGTGCGGTTATAAGAGTTATTAGGGACACGCCGGTGGACTCGATAATAAGCCTTTGTCTCGATACAGTTAGACAGCGATGGGTCTCGGTAACTAGTAATCGTGTCGGTCGCGCGTCGCGACCCAGCGAGCGGGATATGACGGCTTTGAAGACTCGTGATTGATTCTTCCTGACTTATGGATCCCCGAACTACTTCGTAGAACTGAGTGACCGAAATCGTTCTCGTGGAGAATGGTCTGCTACAGTATCTACTTAAACGTTGAGGTCCAGATGTTTTTGCAGGTGCATGATGTGGAAGGTAGGTACGAAGTACTTCGTACCTCGACGGGAACCGTTTGAGCTGCAGTTGTGGGGGCCCAGGGGGAGGTTTGGAGTTCTGGACCAATCGGAAGGGGACAAACGGTGGTTCTCGGTGAAGACAAACAAAGAACGTCGGAAGCAGGTCGAACGAAGTACCTTTTTGGGACTTGGGAACTTTATTCGATGAAACGAGTCCTTTCTGCACTGCTTGTAATTATACCAGACACACATCTAAAAACCTTAGGGCATGCATACCTCATAAACAGCAGCACTTATGGGCTGATGCGTATCATGGGACGCCAGAAACCAGCTCGAATTGACGTCGAGTTCATCCTCATTTAGTGACTGTAGTCGCTCGTGCTACGGACGTATTTATCACACTAGGTACCTTATCACACTGCCGATGGAGGTACGTACACAAACCTCTCCGATCAATTGCCGAGCTGTTGGAGATATTGAGGGGTTGAAAGTGGGGGTGCGTTTCTTCGGCCATCCGTCCCACCCACAATAAGCGCCTGGCCCAAACCCCTGGTCAACCCCAACATGACCCGCACTTTAATGGGTCGCTTTCCGGGGTTTCCACCAGTTAACGATGAGCCTATGTAAGTGCCCCGGACCGAGGTCCCTTCCGGTTTAGCTCCAGCACACCACCAACTCGCCCACGACTCTTTTCTCCTCTTCCATCATGTTTTCTCACGGCATATGCCATCCATATGATTACAACGTATGTTGACAGCCACCAAACCTTTCCTTTTATTATCCATACAAGATGCTTCCATCTTCCAACCAGCCCCTCCCCCGGCTTCTTTGACCACTCACCGAAGCCCAAGGCCGATGCTGCATGGCCGTTTCCCGCCACTAGCCACACCGTCGATCGGTTTTCGAACTCGTCGAATCGTCACAAGAACGCCAACGTTAGCCACGCGGACGGAGCATGTTCGCTTCAGTCATCACCCGCACTAAACCGGCATGAGCTAAACACCTCCGTAGTCCGTACTCCATTCCCCTCTTTCTCTCGATGGAGGATGAGTAACAACTTGTCCGTACCTTGGCCCCGATCAGGCATGGTGTAACGGTGTTCACCCCATGCATGCCCTGACCCTGCCCTGCGTTGCTTTGGCACAAAACCTCAGTCCAGTGGGCTCGATGCCCTCGTCTCCTTTGGTTCGGGGTAGGTAGTGCCGTCGTGCTACGTGTGCATGGTTCAGACCCTTGCCCCGAACTGACATGCGGGGACAAGACATGACCAGGCCCAGTTCCAGGTCGAATATAACAGTTGAAATACCTACCCTAGGCTACCTACATATAGAGCCCCATCAGCCGCTCTTTCGCATCTTCTGACTTCACTGGGACCACCCCTTTGCCCGGCTTACGTTGATTCTCTGGCGTTGGATTGATCATTGCCAATCTGTCCTGACAGGTTGGTTGTCTCGTCAATACGGCCAACAAGCCTGCCATTTGTTTTCAGGAATCAAAACTAGTCAACTAGGTTCACTGCCGTTCCTCACTCAAACCAGGCCTGCCCTGCCCTTTGAATCTCAACACCCGTCATGGGCGCCGCCGGCACGCAGGAAAACTCGGCCACCGGCGATCTTCGGATCGAGCGTGGGCCTGACCCGAACGCCAACCTTCAGGATGCGGCCGTCGATGACAAGGTCCTCAACCTGGGTGCTCAGGAGGGTAACGAGGCCGAACACAGCTTTGGCTTCATTCAGGGTTTCAAGACGTACAAGCGCGCCGCTTTTTGGTCCATTGGTATGTATTCCGCCGCCCTCGCCTCAGTGACCTCACCTGGCAATACCTTCCCCGTCTTGCCGCTTCTTTCAACCTTCCTGCGAGTTGGGCTAATTCAAACGTGTCTTTTCCCGCTCCATTGATTTTAGCCATCTCGACGACGATTGTCATGGAAGGCTATGACGTGACGCTCCTTGATTCCTTCATCGGGTACCCCCAGTTCCGGCTCAGGTACGGCGAGTACCTGAACGAGGAGAGCGGTTACCAGATCTCGGCCGACTGGCAGACGCAGTTTAGGGTCCTCGCCGCGGTGGCGAACATTATTGGTGCTCTGCTGAACGGATGGGGCACCGCCAGGTGGGGTCACAGGAAGGTGCTCATCGTCTCCCTCTTCTGGCTCAGCGCTTTCATCTTTGTCGTCTTCTTCGCACAGAACATCGAGACCCAGCTCGCCGGGCAGACGTTGTGCAATGTCCCCTGGGGCGTCTTTGCCACGACCGGACCCTCCTACGCCGCCGAGGTGACTCCTCTAGCCATTCGCCCTTATCTGACTGCTTATGTGAACCTGTGCGTGTTCGGTGCTCCCCTTCTCCTCCTCCCTTTCTTTGCAAATCACTGACCAGGCATTGCTCCGTGGAACAGCTGCTGGGCTACCGGCCAACTGATCTCGGCCGGTGTTCTGGCCGGCCTGGTCGACATGCCCAACGAATGGTCCTACCGCATCCCCTTCGCCCTGCAGTGGGTCTGGCCCATCCCGCTGGCCATCCTCGCCTACTTCGCCCCCGAGTCGCCCTGGTTCCTCGTCCGGACGAACCAACTCGACAAGGCGAAGAAGTCGCTGGAACGCCTCTCGGAGCCCTCGCACAACGTCAACCTCGACGCCACGCTGGCCATGATGGTACACACGGACAAGGTCGAGAAGGAGGAGCGCGCCAGCGTGTCGTACTGGGAATGCTTCCGCGGCACGAACCTCCGCCGCACCGAAATCGCCTGCATGGCCTTCATGTCGCAGATCACAAACGGCGGCGCCCTCTGCTACGGCGGTACCTTCTTCTTCCAGCAGACCGGCATCCCCGACAACACGGCCTACTACATCGGCCTCGGCGGCACGGGCATCGCCTTCATCGGCACGTGCATCTCGTGGCTCTACATCCACCGCTTCGGCCGACGCATCATCTGGCTCACGGGCTTCGCCAGCCTGACGGCCATTCTTTGGACGATTGGTGTCCTCGCCTCCGTGCCGCAGAACCAAGGCCTGGCGTGGGGCCAGTCGCTGCTCTGCGTCGTCTGGCTGGGCGCCTACTCCATGAGCGTCGGGCCCATTGTCTACACTATCGTGGCTGAGATTGGTTCGACCCGTCTACGCACCCACACGGTCGTACTGGCGCGCAGCTTCTACTACGTCGGTAACATTATCTGTGGGGGCACGTTGCAGCCCCGCATGCTCTCCCCCGGTGCTTGGAACTGGCGTGGCCGGACTGCCTTCTTCTGGGCCGTTCTCGCCACGTTCACCTTCGTTTGGGGGTATTTCCGCATGTTCGAGACCAAGGACCGTACTTTCGGCGATATGGACTATATGGTGAGCAGTACCACCCTGCCCACCCCTCGAAGACTGCACTGCTTTTTGTCAAGACCCCGGTATCTTTGCTAACGTGATGTCTATCATCTTCTCCGTTCTGCTCAGTTCCAAAAGAAGGTGCCAGCGCGCAAGTCGCGCACGTATGTCATCGACGAGGCGGACCAGTTCTTCCACGGCACCGACAACTCGACGACCCAGATCAACGAGAAGCAGCAGCAATGAGTGGGAACTGGGATATTTGGTGCATAGTGTTGGGGTTCGTTTCGAAATGCGTATTCGTTGGTCTCACGGCGAATATGTGTAATCTGGCTTGTCTCTTCGCAGGATGAGGAACCAGCGAGCGTCACCGTAAAAAAAAATACAGAAATATACCCCCGTGTGGAATGGGAATACAGGAATACCTTAGGCATCTTATTCATAAGGTACGCAGGAAGCTCAGAGCGGCCTCCGAGGTTCCGAGTATCCTGTTTATGTAATCATTAATCGCGCATACATCCAATCAAAGGCAAAAACAGCACGTGTGTCCGGAGCTCTATTTATCCGAGGAGTACTTCAATACTTTCGCTTCACGCTTTATTTATCCTGCCTGGGCCATCATCTTGGAACTTTCTTCTGCCGTCTTTATCCTAGACACGGCACCGTCCGCCATACCGGGATCCAGCAAGGGCTGCAAATACTCTGAAACAGTCGATGATGGTCGGCGTGCCGGGCCGGTCAAAAGGACTGCAACACGTACCGGAGGCGCAACATGAAGAAAGGCGTACGCCCTCGCCCGCCCTCCGTCTGGGGTCCCTGCTCTCTCATCTTCGCTTCTCCCCACCCTGCCCGGCTGAGAAACCCCACGAGTACCTAACGGCTTGGCTCGCTCGGCTTACGAACTCAAGCACATGAGCATTCTAGGATGGATGGCTCCTTGCGCCCTTTCCCATCAAGTCGCGGAAGGTGGAGTCCTGGATGATACGGCCACGCATCGCCCATTACCATATTACACCTTACGTCCTTACGTTTTCTTCTTTGCTCCGATATGCTCACAGTGAAAGGCAAGGACCGGGGCGGGGGTAAAGCTGAGAACAGCCTGGTATAGTCGTCACCATTTTCGTCATTCGCGGGACATGAAGCTGCTATAGGAAGCTGTTCCATATCTGGTCTTCGAATCATGCAACATCAATCACGCCTTGTCCCAAGGACGCCCGCCCATCAGAGCCAGCTTCTCATGCGCCCAAGTCCCATACAGAGGCCACCCCCCCTAGCCTTCCTTCGACGACGCGTCTGCCTCAATTCCAGCCAGGCCGCCAGCCGCGCCAACATCTTAACCGGTGTATCTCAGAGAGAAGACACCGCGCTCGATGCTGTTGAGAAGGATAAAGCCGGAGCGGAAGTACGGATACACGCTCCAGGTACCCACGAATTCGGTGCGCCCGCCCACGCTGTCGTCCTCGGGATGGCAGTCGAAGTAGCCGACCTCCCGAATACCCGCACCGGTGGGGTCGCGGCTCAGCGTCCGGACGTCGATGATGCGCAGCCCAGAGCCGTAGTTGGCCTGGTACGACAAACCGTTCAGCGTGTACTGGTTGTGGTCAATAGCGATGGCGGGGCTCTGGTAGTAACCGGTGAAAACGGGCCTCTGCAGGTTGGCGACGTCGACGATGTACGTCGTGGTACGCCTGTTCCGGGCCGGACCAGTACCTCGCTGCTCGTCCAGCTCATCGTCCAAGAGGAGGAACCGCATGGACCCGTCGGACAGCCAGCCCTGGTGCGTGTACGCGGCGCCGTTGTAGGTGGTGCTGCTGAGCGTGACGGGACGGGTCTTGCTCGTCACGTCGACAATGTCCAGCGTGTTCTCGTTGAAGTTGAAGCAGATCTGGCGGCCGGTGTACCGCGTGTCCGGGCCGGAATAGGTGACGCACTGCGCGTCGTGCACGTACCCGCCGGCCGACAGGCAGCCGGGCGAGGTGGGGCGCGCCGGGTTGCTGACGTCCACCATGTACAAGCCGCCGCGGCAGCTCGTGGCGCTCGTGGCGCCGACGGCGTAGATCATGTTCGCCTCCTCGTGGGCGACGATGTTGTGCGAGTTGCCGAAGCCGGAGAAGTGGGCCGTCAGGTCCGTCGAGGTGCTGAACACCCGAGGGGACGACGGGTTGATCGTGAGCAGCCTCTTCATGTCGAAGACCTGCAGGCCGTGGCGGGACGACTCGGCGCCGACGTATAGGTAATCACCGATCGTCTTCATATCGCGCCAGGAGGACGACGTGGTCTGGGTAGGCAGGCGGCCGAGGTACACGAGCGATCCGTCGCGGAGGACTTCGACGAAAGCCGTACCGTCAGTCTGACCCACGGCGCCGAATTCACGGCCGGTCGCGGACGTCCAGCCCCCTGGGAGGACAGGTTAGCTTTCCTCTCCTCTTCGCCAGGTTGGAGAGACCAAGAAGGGGGGGGGGGGGGAGGGAGCGGTGGCTGGTGGGCCAACTCGTTTTTAAACTGGTTCACTTTCACTTACAGATATCGTTGCCACGGCGGGTCGACGAGCCCATGTCCTGGTGCCGGAGGAAGTCGGCCATATCGACGTTGGAGCACCGGTACTCCCCGGCCCTTCCATTGACGCAGGCCGCAGAGGCCATCAGAGGCTCGTAGCGGTCCACGTCGAACGCGCCGGCCTCGCTCTCGGCGGTCCACGTCTCGAGCTTCAGCTTCCTCAGGCTTTCCATGGCCGACTCGGCCGAGACAGTGCCCGCCAGGGCGGCTGCCGCCAGAAGAGAGAGCGTCACCTTCATCTTTGTTGGTCAAGAAGAGCAAGGCCAGAATCCAGAACAGCGAAAAGAAGGCGAGACGGAAAGAAGTATCCGGAGGACCCTGGAGGAGATTTTCCCTTTTCTTCCAGGACGAGGATGCCATTCTTCTCTTATATATTCATCTGCGCGCAATGTAGAAATCCCGGCTCTCGTACTGGACGTCGTAGTCTGCGCCTGGTCCTCTCTACCTCGTCCTTTCTGCCCTCTTCCCTTCCCTTCCCTTCCCCTCCTCGACTTTAACCTAAACCCCCACATGCCTAGCATGCCGAGGAAAGACGTGTTCGGTGGTGATGCAGAAAAAGGAAGGTTCAAATTGAACGAGCCGTCACCCTCTCTTAGGGGGGGGCATTCACGTCGAAGATAATATCAGTGTAAGAAGACCGTAGGCCTCCTCCCAGAAACACTGCAAGACGTGCGTACATCCGACAGAACCCGCATTCACGGTGAGCGATTCAGGAAGCCGACAAAGTGGGTGTAACCCAGGCGTTCAATAAGAAACCACAAGTAAGACGAGAGTGTAACCCTGGGGGTTCCCATATGCACGGCGATAAGGTGCGTCACATGCGCGGCAGTTGAAAGCTAAACGACCAGATGGGAACCCGATGGAACCCAGATGGGACCCGGCACTCGCGGAGATCAAGTCCAGATCTAGAAGGTCGACGGGGTGAGGCTTGGGTCGTCGCTTGGCCTGTCCTCTCCCTCTCATTGGACCCCAAGACCCCCCAACTAACCACTTGCGGGAGGATCGCATGATTCGCATCTTTCCGTCCTCACGGCACAACCATCTTGGAGAGAAGATGAGGTCAGGGGTGCAAGAATCTGACAAAAATCCCCTGCAATCGACACGCAACACTGCCTCGAATGCTTTAGTACTTTACTCTGCATGTGGTCGTCGCATATACCTCGTTCGCTATTCGTTCATGTCGATCTTATGCTTCACCAATGTTACATCGGGAAGAGGCAGTGAGACGTCATTGACCATAGAGAAGTCGACTTCTTATCTCTTCCGAGGGGTTTCTTAGGAGCCATCCTACGTGTGGCATCTTTTTAACGCAAGTGGCTCCTGTCGAGCAGAGGAGGGTAATGGGTATCATGCGGGCAAAGAGTCCGGAGTAGAAGGCTTCTTTCGTGTCCATCTCTGCATTCTGGAAGAATCCTGTCTGGGCTCGTCTTCTCGTGCCTCGGTGGTAAACTGTACCAGTTGATGTGAGGAGTACCCGTGTGCAGTAGCAGCCCAGTACACTGCTGGTATGTTTACTATCATCTTGAGACCTCACACCTATCCCAGTGAAGTGGTTTGATCGACATGATCGACATGATCGACACTTGAACTTCGCATAATATAAAGGCCATCAGTCTCTCTGCTGGCAGATTATACGCTGCTCTGGGCTTGGTCTCGACTATTCTTGCATATCATTCGGTATCATACTCCTGGAAGATCTATCCTTTACTCTGTTAAACCAAAAGTCCACGAAGCTTCCCACGTATAAGTCTCACCAGGCCCAGTAATCTGGGCATCCCGTCTTCCCCACTGCGGGCTATGACGAAGCGAAAAGAAGAGAAGAAGAAAAAAGTCAGAAAATGCCATGTCAGTACGTCTAGGGCAGGGCCAAGAAAAGACTCACTTGTTGATACCATTCGTGAAATCCTGCGGCTCAATAGCAACACCCGAACTCCTCCCGACACTGCTCACCCCCTCCCGGCCCTGGGTCGATTTCAACGGCGTAGTCCCGTCGCTCCAGCCCATGGTATAGATCTGGACGCCGGGCTGGTCCGTCCGAAGTTCGGCCTTGATACCGTTCCAGGGGCTCGCGAGCGTCAGCACCGGCGACTCAGACGCAGAGCCGTGGGTCGCGACGTCCTCGAAGAGCCAGAAGTGGTTGTAGCCCTCTGTTCCGCCGGCGTTGGTGGCAAAGTCGGGCGAGTCGCGCGCGTGGCTTAGGCGACGCGGGGACGTGAAGTCCATGACGGCCGTCGAGCCGCCGGCGGGGCCTGCGACGGGGGAAATCTCGCCGGTGGGTAGGCCGTGGGGGTCGAGAGGGAGGTAGCGCTTGGCATGGGGCATGTGAAGGGTGTGCTCCAACACGGTGTCGGTGTCTGGGTTGCGGTAGGCTTCGAGGTTGAAGTAGGTGTGTTGGGTAAGCATGAGGGCTGGAAAGGGGGAGGATGATGGTCAGCAGTCAGTAGTATAGTGTCATTTTCGTGTTGTGCTTTCGATCCTCCCGTTCTCTTGTCCTCTCATCCATCCAAGTCCAGGTTTTATTTTGGTTGGACTTGCGAAAGTGAAGTGAAGCAAAAAAGAAAAAAAGAAAAAAGGAAAAAAAGAAAAAGAACGAAAGAACGTACGGGTTTTGGCCTCGGGCGAAACAGCTTCCATCTTGATATCCCAACGTCCACCATCACTAACGCTATAAGTGACCTTGCAGTCTACTCTGCCCGGGAATCCCTGCGAGGCGCCCTCCGGATCGGAGATGAAGAAAGTGATGGCAGAGGCACTGACGTCGAGGACGTCCCAGAAGCGCCAGGACCAGTTGTTCCCTCCGCTGTGGAGGGTGTTCCCAGGGCCGTCATTTTTCTCGGTTCGATAGGTCTTGCCGTCGATGGTGTATTCGGCGCCGCCGATCCGGTTGACGTAGCGGCCCGGGATGGCGTTGTATACGGGGTGACCGGGGTCAACAGCTGCCAATGACGATCAACTCCAGTTCAGTAGGCCGTCTTTTCGCGCACACTTTTGTTTTCTTCTATGAAGAATGGATTGAGGAAAACGCTGAAACGCACGGTAGAAGGATGCGTCGTCGTAGCCAAGCACGACATCGACTTCGTTGCCGTGCTTGTCCTTGACGAAGAGGTTCGTCAGGGTAGCCCCGTAAGGGATGAACTAGAAAGCCAGTCAGAGGTTGGTAGTTGGTCCTCATGATGAGCAGGCAACTTGGGAAGGGGGTTGAAGAAGCATGAGTTGAAGGTCTGGAGGGTGTTCGGTCATATTTTCGCGTACCTGAGCCCTAATGCCTTTGGCCGAAATGGTATATCGTCCATCTTCACCCGGCTTGGGGACGTTTGACGCCGTCGCCGGCACTGAGAGGGAATGGTGTCAGTTGGCATGCGGGGTGCTCGTCGAGATGATAATAAGACCAATAAGCACGGAGCTGCACCAAGAGATGTGCGCACCTTGGACTCTCGACGAATTCGATCCCATGATTCGAGTTTTTGATCTGCGTTATCTGTTGTGGTGAAATCGCGGGTTTGAGGACGGGAGTGCAGCGATTCCAGTGTGTTATCTTCCCGACTCGGAGAACTATGCATCCTTAAAGTCCGAGTTGCTGGGCTAGTGAGATATTTCTACAAATACCTAGGCCCCCTCCCCTCCTCAAATTATTCCTTGACAGGCAGAGCCGGCCCCGAGGTCTTGGTCTCGTTTCTCGCACGTTGGTCAGGACTCGGAATTCAGCCAGAATGGGGTGGGAAGATTGAAGGACATGGGACACTGGACCAACTGCATCGCAATTCATGAGCCCCGCTTCCATTGGGTTGGGATCCCTGTCTCTATCACGAGGTAACGGACAATCGGACCGTAGGCGACAGGGCGGCCCAGTCGGGAAGAGGCTGGCTGAAAAGCTTTAGTAAGCTCGCTGCTCCGAGACCCATAATAGAGCATTGTCAATGACATTTGATGTGTTGGCGATCCCAGTAGGCAATAAGGTCAACGCTGCGGTCAGCAAACGGCCAAACTCGAGACCCGAACTGGAATATAACGAGACCAAGAAGAGGATGTTTGTGACACCATCTTCAGAGTTGTATTCGTGGACCTATGTGGCCTTTTTGCACAAGCAATGGGCAATGGGATTCGGAACGGAGCGAAGAATTATGTTTGTTTTCTACTATCAGCATAGTAGGGTAGCATCGGTATCGCGAAGGTCCAGGTCCAAATCTAGGCCTGGCCCGCATCATCTTGGCGACGGACCTTCCACTCCCTGTCCCTCCCCATCGAATGGAAGTCGGAGACGTGCGTCTCGGTAGGGCCGTGCCGGTTCAGCGGCAAATCTTCGTGGCGTAGCGTCCCTCGATGAAGCGAGCTGGGGTTGTGTGGGGGTTTGCGTCTGGGGTACTCGACTGAGGATGCGTCTGCTGAGTCCGTGGAGTTGGCGCTCCGAGGAACATTCCGAGTAGAAGGAGAAGGGGGGCTGAAGATATGATTGATACGATATGCGTGATAAAGCTGGGACTGTTTGATGCTACATGATGAATCTGCCCAGCAAGATGGACTTTATATGCCTGAGATCCTCTCGTCGCTGTATCTGCGCAATTCTGCGATCTGCAGTTGCGAGTTCGAATCAGGAGGCGTGCGTGTGAAGCAGAAATAGGATATCAGGGGCTGTGTCAGGGTGAAAATTTCCCTGGAAATCATGAAGTCATGATCGGTCCATCAGAACACAGTCCATTTGGGCCTGCGTTTCAGTGGGCTTACCCATTTGAGCCCATGGGTCCAAAGTGATGCGGTTTAGCAAGAGAGGGATGAGTGGCGGACGCAGTTGTAACGGTTAGAAGAGAAAAAGAACAGAAAAGGGAAAAAGGAAAAGAAATCTTACTTCTTACCTGGAAGAAAAAAGAAAAAAGAAAAAAAAGGGAGATGACGACTTGACTTGGGCAGCTACGCCAGATGGAGGCAGGTGACATCGACACTCCTGCTTACTAAGGTCATGTCTTTGTCCTGTTCTCGCGTCGCACAATGTTGCCCATCCACACCACACACCACACACCACACTCCACACTGACTTGTGACGACATGCCATCCAAGGCCGCTTCCTGCATTCAAACCCTTGCTTTATACATATATTGAGTTGACAATTTCGAAATTCCAAACCTCTTCTCCAATAATTTGTGCGTCGCCAGCCACTCGTCACATACCTGCTCTGTACCAAAGCCGCCAAGACCCCTCCTCCCCCTGTTCCCCTGTCCCTCGTGTCCACACAGACTCGACCTCGACCCGCCCTGCCCTGGAGTCTTGGACTTCTTTTTTTACCTGAAAGGACAAAGTAGGCAGTTAATATTCCTAACGATCAACATGGACCCATCCTCGACTTCCCATCCTGACCCGGCGCCTGGGTGCGAGGCTGTCGCGCCGGCCGCCCACGCCAGCGTTCCTGGTCCGGCCGGCATCACTGGCAAGATCCTGTCTATCGAGAAGAGCGGCCTCCTCCTTCAGCATGTCCCCCTGGACCGGATCGACGCCACACAACGACTAGGCGATGTCCTCTACACACTGCAACAGCTCTGGTTTACTGGTTCAGACGATGTCGATGTCCTCGCACAGAAGCTTGGTGATGCCAGTCGTAACGGTTTGTCCCTACCCTTCTCCTACCTACCTTACATAAATAGAAGTTTCTGTGCCAATGGTGAACACTAATTAACTGACCGCTTGGCATCATCAAGTCTCATGGAGGCTGCCCCTGGGAGATGCCGGCGTCTTAAACTTCTTTCTCGACATGCTCTCTCTCAACCCCGTTCATCATCCGCTCAAACTTCATGCCCTCCGTGTCGTGGGGAACGCGTGCGCCGACACTGGTTCGTGGTCCTCATAGATTCAACCCCCAAGCCCTTCGTCCACATCCAAGGTCCATTTCTCACCTTGGTTAGATGAAAATCGCGCCCGTGTTGTGGAATCTGGCCGTCTTCCATCCCTCGTGACCCAGCTTGCCGACGATGTAGTCCTCCCCTTCGTCGTCCAGGTCCTCCACAACATCATCGTCGACTATGAGCCCGCCCAGTTGGCCGCCTCGCAAGCCGGCCTGAGCCCTCATCTGGTCGACCTCCTGTCCAGCCCTCGCCTCATCGGTTGCTATTCTCTCATTAGCACCATTGGCACCATTCTCGAGCTCCTCGTTGCACAGCGTGCGTTTCTGTGCCTCATCCTAACCCTCGGCCCCCCCCCCCCCCCTTTTTCTTTTCTCCTCCCTTGTCTGTTCCTCCCCTCGCTCATCTAACCTCGTGTTCTGCATCAGAGCCCGAGCCTATGGTTGCCAGCCCGCAAACCCCTTCCGTCCTCCTCAATCTGGCCGTCGATTCGTCCGTCGTCGATGATCCTGCCGATACTGTCCTCCTCATCTCCGTCGCCCTATCCTACCTCTCATTCGAGAACCTTCAATCTACCTTCGTCGCGTCCGGCGGCGTCCCAACCATCCTCTCCGCCTTCCAACGTTTCACAACCCTCCTCGACTCTGCTGCTGCCGCCGTCGCCCAAGGAGACGACGCCAAAAATGACCTCGGCTCCCAGTTCCGACAGGCCGGTTCGACCTTCATGCAACTCCTCGCCGACATCTGTTACTTGCCCTCTTTCACCTCCACCCACCCTCTCGGCAGCCCCGTCTTCGAAACCCTCACCTCCTGGCTCGACCCGTCCTCCCACCCCTCTCTCCAAGCCGCCGCATGCCTTTGCATCGGCAACCTAGCTCGCTCCGATGAGACCTCCATCGCCCTCGTCCAGACCCACGCCACCCACCTCCCCGTCATTGCCATAGTCGCATCTCAACTCCAAAGCCTCCCTCAACCTCCCCCCGACCCTCTTCTTCTGCACTCCTCCTTATCCCTGCTCAAAAACCTTGCCATCCCACCCGCCACCAAACCTCTTCTCTCCTCCCTGCTTTCCCCTCAACTTCTCCCCTCCCTCTGGTCCCTCGACCCTAATACCTCCCTCCAAATCCCACAACTCCAATTCGCCTCCGCCTCACTCGCCCGTCTGCTCCTAACATCATCCCCACCCAATGTCCGCCTCTTCATCAGCCGTACCCCGGACCCAAACCCCAAACCCCTCCCACCAACAGCCGATCAAGGAACGAAAGGCGAAGACGAAACCCCCCTCCACCGCCTCCTCGACCTCTTCACAAAGGCAGACCCAACCTCCGCAGCCCACACCAGGACCGAAGCCGCCCGCGCCCTCCTCGCCATCCTGAAAGCACTCCACACAACGCCGACGGGGGACCAACAGAGCGACAACAACAACAACAACGACAACGACGACGACGACGCCGACGACGCCGAACCGCTGCCATCGTCTCTCCGCGCAGACTTCTACGCCCGATACGCCAACGAAAGCCTACTCCCGATCCTCGCCTTCCTAGTCACCCAGGACAAGTTCCCCGCGCTGCGGAGCGAAGCCTGGTTCGTCATGGCGCTCATGGCGCGGTCCCTCGACGGAGCCGCCGCCGTGACCCGTCTCCTCAAGAGCTCGGAAGGCGCGTGGGACGCACTGCGCAACCGCGTGAGGGGGCGCCAGGACCACGTCGCGTCTACTGCTGACGACAGGACGGGGGAAGCATCGTCGTCTCTTTTCCCTGCGGAGGGGACCGTGACTATTGACGCGTCGTCGTCGGCTGAAGGACTTCCCGCGCAGCAGCAGCGCAAGAAGGACGGAGGGGATGTTACCCGTGCAGATCGGGAGAATGCCCTCGTGCTTGTTTCCGAACTGATGCGAATCGGAGGGGACGCGTTGCCTGCTGGTTGGAAAGCGAAGCTCGACGAAACCTTGAAGCAAGGGGAAGAATTGGTTGTTGGTGAGAGGGGAGGGATCTAGTCCTAGAAGGTCAACAACAGCAATGTCTAAGAAGCAGACCATTAATTTCTCAACAATAAAAACTTTCTTGTCCACTTTTCCAGCGCAGACTGTCACGCGAAATCATTCAATGGTCGTGTCATGTTGTCATTCAGACGATGCCTTTCCCATTGCACTCATCTGAAAATACATACGCCAGCCGAACGACGAATGCAGCTGCGGCATCTAGCGCTTTCTTTTTGTTCTTTGCTCTCCTCTTCGTACCAGTCCTTACGAACCTGTTCCTCATGCCTTCGCGTTGTCTCTACCATGGGAGGTTTTAATAAAATGTTTTTTTACCCCCCACACGCCAGGTCAAGGAAAAAAAAAAGGGATGAAGGAAGAGACTCCCGTGCGTTTCTCATCGTTTCCCACAACCTCCAACAAACATTCCTAAAAGCAGCCAGAGCCGTTGTGCAGCGTTGTTGTTTTGTGCGTCAAAAGAAACCGATACCAATGCTAACCCAGCCCCCACCCCAGCCCAGCCCGAACGACCAAAACGGACGAACCAAGGAAACGAGCAAAAACGCACAACACAAAACCAACTCCTTGTGAAAAAGGGGAGGAGCAGCTGTATGCGCGGTTGCTTTATTTCTTGGCAGCAGCCTCGGCCTCGGCCTTGTCCTTGGCCCGCTTCTCCCGCTTGCCGGCGTTGCGCTTGTCGCTGCGGGCCACGCGGAGAGCGCGGTAGGCACCGCCCTCGATGGGTGCGGGGAGGTCGCTCTTGCTGATCTCGGAGAAGCCGGCCGCGAGGGCTTCGATGGGGAGGGCCTTGGCGATGCTGGAGACGGTGGCGGTCTGGGTGAGATCGGCGGGGGAGTCGCCGTTCTTGGGCTTGCCGGCCTTGCGGGGGAACAGGATCAGGCGCTCCTGGTAGGCCTTCAGCCGGGCCACGTTGGCGGCGAGGCCCTCCTCGGAGAGGTTCTGGCGGCGGCCATCGACGGCAATGCCAATGGTCTGGGCGAAGCGGCGGGGGATACCGGCCTCCTGTGAAGGCGCATTAGCATGGTGAGCGTCATCCGGTTGGGATGTTTTGTTTGAGCCCTAATGAAGTGTCCATGTATGACGCAGAGTTGGAAAAGAAAAACGGCTGGGAGTGTGAATCCTGAAGTTTTCCTTCATTCCCGCTACAAGTCAAAATCGGCATCGTACCTTCAGTTCGGCCAGAGAGAAACCACGGCCGGCGCGCAGTTTCCGGTTGTACCTGATGGTAGGGCACCGGACAACGGGGCGGAGCCTGTCGACGGGACGGGGAGCGACCGCAGCAGCCTTAGCCTGGCGGGCATTGCGGCGACGAAGCTTCTTGCCGGCCTAGACTCCATATGCATCAGAACTCTCCCTTGTCCCATCAAAGATCATCCCGAATCGCTCGTACCTGGTCGAAGTGGGTTCGGACCCGGCGTTGCCAATCCTTGCGGAAGTCTACCAAGACGCAGTCAGTTGTCTGTTTATGGTCGCACGGCGGTGCCTATCGTCGCTTTCGTCGCCTTCGTCGCCACGTTGTATAATTCGTTCGAAGGCAGAGGAGGGGGGAAGTTGTGGCTCACGGTTGTTGGGGATTTGCTGATTGTGCTTGATCGCCTGGAGGAAACAGTAGAGTCAGTACGGGTCATACAGAGCACTGGAACGACAGTAATTTGACATACCATTGTGACTGTTTGCGACCAAGAGGCTCTTGTCCGGGTATCTGGGGTGCTGGGCTGTCGAGTGAAGTTTGCAAGTCGGAGATGCACTTGGGCAAGACCAAGGGAAGTTTTCCAGGGCACAAACCCTCAATCGTCCGGTACGTACCGATTGGCGATTTGAAGGCAAGCCGTGGGGTGGGGCCCGTGATAAAATGTTTGTGGGCAGGGCAGGTTTGTGTTCGGTAAGGTCACATGACCTTATGACAGAACGAGGCCAAAATGTCACGCCAAAAAAATGAGGTACGTACCAATAGCTGATTGTGTCCCCTTGGGGGACCCACACCTTAGTAGTATAAAATAGAGAGCACCTCCCCAGCAATTTGGACTTTTCCTCTTTTCTCTTCTTCATACTTACCTTGTTCGATTCCAGGGCGCTCAAGCATGCTCTGGAGTAAAGAGGAGAACCTGCATTGCACATCGCGGAGTTAGCCTCTTTCGATTGTCCTTCGGGGCCATCGCGGGCGCAATTTTTGATTTTCGACTCGCGAGAGCTTCATTTTCATTATGATGGCGCCTTGAGCAGCGTAGTCATGAAGAAGATGGTGTCAACGGTTGCGACGTTGCAGTATCGTAAAACACTTTCAGTCCTCGTTATCCCACCCTCGTCATATCTTACGCAGATCTTACATAACGGGGATACAATCTCTTCTTCAACAAGCCCAACTCATGACCCTCCCATGGCACAAGGACCCCTTTTCTATCATAATTTCAGTGTTACTGCTTTTTTTGTGCATCCGTCTGCCTGTCACTTGCACCAAAAACTGGAAAATCGTCCACAAGTTGTTGAAGTTGTCGAACGGGGCCTAAAAGTAGCCTTGCGTAGAGTAGTTACTTCTTGAACATCGCAACGCCATAAATGCGAATAGTTCCGTAAGATACTTCCCGTCTGCCATCATCCAAGGCAATTTTTCCATTATCAGTCGTAATATTTTTTAAGCTAGGTATTCATTCCACGTTCCACCTCGCGTCCACAACATATCGGTAATGCCTTGAGGACTCCCTCCGTATCCCAGAAGGCTTTTCTAGTCGCTCCGCTCATTGAACAGCGTCAACGTGTCTCCTGCAAGACACAGGACATGAGACGCCCAAGTAAAAATGTAATTAGCGCTGACCTTTGAAATCATCAACTTGAAAGACATAACAGTAGTCGTAACGTGAAACAGACTCATCGTCTCATTCGGAATGGATTTGTCTCTATATCGTAAACGAGCTTAGCAGCTTGCCATAGATAATTCCAAATCTCTACCTTAAAATCCAGACGGTCGATGAAGCTGGCAATCCAGCTGAAGTCACTTGGAACCAGGCCGTGACCCGCTCCGCGACGTCCGACCCACCAATGGAACCCGTCCCAAAAAATCTACCACGCGAAATGATCCGATCTGCATCCTCGAACTCATCGCACTCTGATAGAACGCTCGACCTCCCGTATCCCACCTCCCACCACGTGTATACCAAGCCTCTCTCCCTCCCATAGCCAACTCGGTGCCAAAGAAAAGATTCAAGAGCCAAGATGCCCCCAATGGCAGCGCGTCGTACGTTTCGAAGCGCAACGGAGGCGACGCGATTCACATCCACCACACCCCACGCCTCCTCGAAGAGCCCAGTTTCTCCTTCACCAGTTTCCTCAACTCGCTCGTCACAATCAGGAGCATCCAACTCACGACCCCCAACAGCAAAGCCGGCCTCGATCCGCGGAGGCGAGACCCCCGAGGAACGCGTCCGTCGGCTCCGCGCCGCCCACGAGGCTGCCCGCAAAGCCCAAGTCTCGGGCGTGGACAAGGCAATCGGCACAGGACGACGGTTCTTCGACTATGCGCACCGCTTCACCATTGCCGGCCTCCTCGGCTTCACCGGTATGTTCCGATGCCCTCATCACCTCCCCCATATCGCATCCCACTCAAGAGCGAACCAGCGCTGCGGAACTAACCATGATGACCCTCACTGCAAACAGCCATCGCCGGCCTCGTCTCCATCTACTCAGTCTACGACATGGTAACCTACAACCGCCAAAGACGGGGCGAGTTCCTCGAAGCCCAGAAACGCATCGAAGCCGACGAGCTCGCCTCCGCCCGCCTGGCCTTCATCAACGGCACCGCCACCGAAGACCAGATCCATCTCGTCGAGGAAGCGACCGCCCGCGCCGCCGAACAGGGCACCAAGCTCCCGCCCCTGCTGGCGCCTGCGTCCAAATACAAGTCGTCGTCTTCGTCCTCGTCCTCGTCGTCATCCTCTCCTTCCACTTCGAGCACCTCCGAGTCCGGCACACCATCGTTATCCGAAGGCCAGGTCGTCGCAGCGGCTACTACTACCAATGCCGAAACGGGAGCGGAGGGCAAGCAGAGCCGTAGCTGGTGGCCCTTCGGCCCCAGCTCATCATCTTCTTCTTCTTCTTCCACCAATGCGGCGGCGACAACAGCTCAGCAAACGCCGCTGAAGGATGCCGCGGCCGCGGCGTTTGAAAAGGAGAAGGAAAGGCAGCAGCATGGCGGCCCTCTGGACCGCATTGGTGTGGAGGCAACGGGAGAGACCAAGAAAAAGGGATGGTGGTAGTGTGACGATGGCTTGCACATGGGAGCCTATCCCGTGCTGTCAGAGGTCACCCACAAGGTGACCGCTACCCGCGAGGAGGAAACTGTGGACGATGATGATAATAGGAAAGGCTTCGAAAAGCAACAAAAGTGTACAATAGTTGTGGACTGGCTGCATGTGTTCCCTTGATACCTTATTTTTCTGTATACAGGGTACATGCCTACTAGCATTAGACGGCGTTTTTCGGCAGATTCTACCCAAATGCAAAAAAGTATCACCTTGTCTTAAGAGCAAATATGGCTACGATTCCAACGGGATGTCTCCATGTCAGTGAGTAGAAGAAGACAAGGCGCGAGGGAAAAAAGGAAAAGAAAAATGCTTTAGCTGTCTTTATGAGAAAGTGGTATCTAACCCTACCAACCTGGGTAGGCAATGCATGCCGTCCAAATACCAGACCAAAACAAACGCCAATACCAGCTGCGGCCGATATGAATTCAAGTTGCAACAGTCCTCACCAGGACTAGAAATATTCGAAGCAACGCTGTCTGTTGCTGTCCAACGCTTGCATGTTAGGATGCAATGCATCTCTTGGTCAAAGCTTTGGATGTCGCTGTGTGTAAATAAACGATATGCCTGTACGCCCCCCCTGCAACGAAAAATACCCTCCGTGCCGTGTAAACGCCATGTCTGTGAAGCCTGGGAACGAGGGAATCAGAACAAAAAAAAAAGGAAAAGGAACAAGGAAAAGAAAGAAATGGACATGGACAGCAAAAGAGGAGAGGAAGAGAAAACCGCAGAGCTGAACTGGAGACCATCTGTCAGCCTGATCATACAACGGGCGACCCCGTCAGCACCCGTCATAACAACAACTCTGCCTTCTGTGAGGTCGCCTTCCATGATTTTCTGCTTGCTCAAATATCTCTCGAAAGACTTGCTGTCTTCGGCGGAGTCTTTACGATGCGCACGTAGTTGCGTGTCCGTCAGCTGATCCCGCTGTAGCACCCCGCAGCCGGGTAAAGCCACCTTCGCCGTCGAACGGGCAGGCAAGTCCCGGCTGACCTTCGCAGCAGAGGTTGGTCGGCCGTCGGCACCATAGGAGCATCGCCATCACCAGCATCCTACGAGATGACGATGTGGTTGAAGTGGCCGGGGACTTTGAGGCGACACTTCTCGCAGTCGGCGCGGTAGCCCATGCTGAAACTCCTCTTCATGCCGGGCTGCCAGGTCCATGAATTGACGGTATGGAGGGACCGGACGTGGCCGCGGCTACGACCTGGGGAAGGCGTGGCGGGAACAGAAGTTGCCCCGGGTTCGGTGGGCACACCAAATTGGGAATCCTGGCCGTGCAGCAGCGAGGCCTCCATCATACCAGTATCGCCTTGGTCGGCATGGCCGGCGCTGACGTCATGGTCACCAGTACCCCAAGTTGCGGCACTGGCCCGGTCAGGGCAGGACTCGGCTTCGGAGGTGGGGGAGGGGATGCGGTGATGGACGGCAGCGGGCCAGGCGTCTTCTCCTTGCATAGTCCTCGGAACGGCTCGGTCTTGAGAAGCGTCTGACACATGGCCCATGTTGACGACGCCGTTGGTGTGAGAGATGGTCTGCACAGGATCCGACCAGCCACTCGGGTCTCGTACCTGGGGGGCGAAGTTGGGCTGGACGGGTGTGGGCGAGCGGCCGGTGAGATTATCAAGACTATGCCGGAGCGGGTTCGGGTTCGGGTTCAGGTTCGGCTCGAGGGAAAGGCCGTTTCTACCTGGTTGGGGGCTGTGTAGCGGCACGATGTTCTCGTCCATTGCCATATCCACATCACACCGGGGGGTGGTATCGGGGTTCGGTGATGACGACCACTGCGAGGCGGCGTCGGCATGATTGGAGGATCGGACAGGAAGATAGAGGCGCTTCTGTGGAAGGAGATTAGGATGCTGTCAGCATACGGGACGAAACCTTTTCAGTTCTGAGTTCTGGCGGGGAGAGAGTGGGATAAACGTACAGTCCTATGCTCGGCAACGCCGCAGCACTGATTGACAATTGCTTCCTCGTCGTCATCACGGAACCTCTTGCGAGCCATATCGGGAATATTTGATTGGGCAAACATGACGGTAAAAGTGGATAGGCGAAAGGTAGGCAGTAGGTAATAGGTATGTTGGACTGCTGAGATGATGGTAGGCAGATAGGCGGAGGCCGGAGGTTGTAGTGTGGTTCGGGTGGAGGAGACGCCGATGGGATGGAAGATGGTCAGGAGGACAGAATGTTCGGCGAAAAGTGTAACGAATGTCGCGGCACCAATGTTCAGAGGAAGAACAGTGGGTGACGAGATTTAAGTTCCAGACTTGCGATAGGGCTGATACAGAGTGGCGGTCGATCTGAATTGGAGGTGTTATCCCGTGGTGTTTCCCGTGCTGACTCGAAGCTTTTGGGACCAACGTGGGCGGGAAGATCTGGGAAGGAACCAGAGCCAGAAACGATGCACCAGGTGCCCGCGTAGGGTCAATGGTGGTTGCCGCTGACTTTTGATGAGCCCAGGGACGGTTAGGATGACCCAAGATAGTCGACGAGTAGGGGGTACGGCAGCGAATGTTAGGATAATGCTGAAGTTGGAAAGGTGAGAGGTGAGGCGGAGGAGGTGCGATGATAAGGTGAGGGAGAGGGGCAGCGTAGAGAAAGGTCCAATGAAGTGAGTTGAGGGGAACGTAAGGCTGTTCCGCGGATGGCTGGGAATACCTAGATGGGATGTAGCTCAGGTGTATCCGCATCCGCAGCTGCCTCAGATTGGATTGATGGGTATTACGGGAGGACCGGAGACCTCCTAGGGTGCCTCTACAAGCTATCTACCTTTGGGCCACTGTACCTGGGTACGGAATACGGATACATAAGGTACCTCACTCTGCAATTCTGAGACGTTCCAAAACACACACTCTCTCTATCATTTTTGTTTTCTCCTTTTTTCTTCTTTTTTTCTTGTTGATGATTGAATTTTCTCGGTCTTCCAGTTCCCCGGATCCAGCGGATTGGAACGACGCACCTGTGTCGCTGGGATACAATAGTTGCAGCCCGAATTTCTGGGAAGTGGGAGCCAGCGAGAGAAGTGGTGGGTGGGGAGGGGACGGTAGTGGGTGTTGTTGCCTGTCAGGGTTCAATCAAGCTCGTCCGTAGCACCACCTTAAGGAGTAACTTCGTATCAATAATCGATCGCAACGAGACTGGGAAGTCGTATCCGATATCGAGACCGAACCTTGCAACCTTCTTTGCATCGGTGATCGTACGGAGTACACGCGGGTTCAAGAAGCGCAACTCTGCGAAGACCTACGAATGAGTCGATGGTCTTACCCACCATGTTCGTCGTGCGCCTTACAACACCAGAACCAAAGAAATAAGAGAAGAAGAAGAAAAATCCCATGCGGCGGCCCTGGAAAGATTATTTCAACGGCGTCAAGTAGCGGTTAGTGGACGCTATACTTGGCATCAGTGCAAAACCCTCTCGGCGGTCTTGCCAGGGAAGCTGCACGATCTGCACCCTCCCTCGCTTCTCGGCGATCGATGGACCTCTGGACCTCTGTACAACGATTCTCCAACCGGCTGACGAGCAGCAAACACTGATGATGGTTTACTGGTTGGATGATATCGGTCCTCGCGAACGACTGCTTACCCCAAGATGAGACGGGTACGAGGGCAGTGGACACCCGGAGTTAGAATTGATTCATCCAAGTACGAGAATGCCGAGATCCTTAGCGGCCCGCGGAAGGACAACGGCCCAACGGACAACGGTCAACGGGTCAACGCCAGCGGCCGTTTGGGCGCTCGTCTTTTGTCCCTGTGAGAACCTCGTTGTCAACGGGAGTTTGATCAACCCTATCTATTCCTCCGTAGGTACCCGTACAACGGCCCCTGAGACATGCAGCCTTCCTCGTCTCCCACCGATGGTTGCTATCTATACATATACATTGTTCGCTCACACCGAAACTGTTAAAAGGGAGGTCGGACAACAGCGGCCGTGATGATCATGTATGTCACCGGAAGATGAGTATATCCTTCGTAAGGGCAAGATGACCACCTCAACCGTACTCAGTAAGGTCATGGTAGCAATGTTACCGTAAGCTACCTAAGCGTTGATGACTTTGACGAGTGACACTTGGCTTGATTCGAACAGCAGCTAAGCTTTTTTTTTTTACAACGTGAGAGAGTACGGATGAACGAGCCGGATTTGTCGAGCCCGGCAAGCCCGGCGTTTGACTTGCGATGGCCGAACTTCTAATACTACACTGACGCTGGCCTGCTTTATTGTCCGGCCCTTCTTGGCAGCCTGGCGTTCGTAGCAGTAGTGTACTACCGCCCGGGCCCGTTTTTCGTTATTTCGCGGTGTTTTTCGGGCGACTTCGTCGTATAGTCAGGACTTGAGGGCATTCGACGGGATCGTTGATCGATGCCCCGAAAACTTGCGGTCCTCGTGACGAAATCGCCAAGACGGGGGTGGGAAATCAGAAATCAGACCTGTGAAACGCTTCAGCAGGACCACATGTCCGTCTAAATTATGGTATTGACTGTTCTGCTGTGATGTTTTCATGCGTGATAAGATGGCATTACGGGAGTAAGGGCTCTGGCCAGTACGAAGTAGCGGGAAATGTGACTGGAAAATCGATGTCTCTGATCATCCATTAGTAGGTAGCATACACTCTTCAGCTAGGAATCACCTATCTACCTTACCTTACACTGATCAAGGAGTTCTTCTCTCAGCGACCTGGGAAATTCCCCCGCCATGGGTCCCAGAATGATTGGACATAAGGTACCTTACTTACTTTCCACGATACCTTGCTTAAGGTACCTCACACTACGTATCCTTGACAGTATTTCAGGCGTGGCCCAAGCTCCTCCGACCCCGTCGTAGCATAGCGGCGTACCTGGTTCCGAAATGGCGCCGGTCCCGGTCTCGGACTGTACGGTAGTGTGTAGAAAGACTTGAAGCATGGAAGTACATACAACGTAATTACTCTGAGCCTATAAATTGGGATGTCCTGACGTCGGTCAAAATGATCCCATCCTCGTCGAGTCTTATTGCGAGAGTAAGGTAATTACCTTACGGAGTACGGAGTAATTACAGAGGCTTGTGATAGTGGAATAAGGTAAGTAGGTACCTAAGTGGGATGACTGGAAGCCCTGAAGTAGGTACCTGAAGATATGAGTCATGAGCCTAAGAAAATCTGCCATGAACCAGGCAAACCACTGTCCCTCCCTTTTCCAAAACCCCAACCGGAAACAATCAAAAAAGACGTTTGGAAAGTTCCGTTCTTACCGTTTGTGGGACATACGACGTTGCTTTCTCAAAACCATTACTCCTTTCCACACAATTCGAGGATCGTCATCTCATCTAAGACCTTTTTTTGTCTTCCTGACGTTGTTGTAACACATATACGTCGAGCCGCCTAAGCATCGTCCTGCCCGATCATCGACTTTGCCCCGCCGTCCGCTGTCTGCTTTTTTTGGATCCCGCAAAGGAAACGCAGCGCCGCAGTTTTCCAAGTCGCTCTGCTCACGCCACAGGTCGGTTTGAACCCCCCATGCTTTTCCGTTGGGCCTTGGACGCCGGCACATGACCGACGCCGTTCTGCCATGTTACGGAGGACTGCACAACCGCCCAAATTAGTACCACTACCGAACCTCTACTTGGAGTCTTGGACCACTACCTCGACCACTACCTCGACCTCGACCTCGACCACCAAGCGAACCCCGAGTGTTGCTCGACCTTTTCTTTCACACCCCCCCTCCTTCGCCTCTCTCAACTTCGCTAACCCTATCCACGACTTTTCGGTCCAAACTCACACCTTCACCGTTGGGGTGTTTACCTTCTTTCCCTCGTCATTGAAGCTAACTTGGACACTCGCTCACTCATCCAGCAACCCAGACGGCAACACGCACTAAATCCTTTTTTTTCTCGCTCTCGCTCTATCTCCGTTCACCCCGTTTCCAAAAGATACTCGCCCAACCATGCCAGGCCTCGCCATGGACCCCGTGGCCACAGACGATGTCCGAGGTATGTCTCGTTCAACCCTACCTGCTCGCCGTCTATGCCCTGGGATTCCGACCTGAGCTTGGATGTCTGGGCTCTCTGGCCTCGACGGCATCTCAGCCCTTTAAACACCATGCCTACCTTGCCCATCATTTCCCTCTTTGCTGCTCATGTCTCATGCCCTCTCCTGTGCCCAAAAAATAACAACCTGCTTCCTCTCCTCTTCTCTCACTCTCGGATACTGGCAATCTTAGCTCGACAACTTGGTTCCTGTCACCACCGCTCCCACATTCCCTCCATCATGCCTTTGTGGTCCATGGGCAATTCGGGCGTCGTGCCCATGATGCTCTCACCTCCAACGTCCCCACCATTATCTGAGAAGGACTGCATGCTCACACCCCCTGAACCTCTAGTCCTCGGGCAGGACCCTCTGATCCCTCCTGCTCTTCTCATCTCGGAGATCCCCATGACCGATGACGCCTTGGAGACCGTACTCCGGGGTCGTCAGGAGGCCGCCTCCATCGTCATGGGCCACGACGACCGTCTTCTCGTCATCATCGGTCCTTGCTCCATTCACGACCCTCCCACGGCGCTTGAGTACTGCCAACGCCTCAAGGCCGTCGCCGACCGCCTGTCCGCCGATCTTTGCATCGTCATGCGCGCCTACCTAGAGAAGCCCCGGACCACTGTCGGCTGGAAAGGCCTCATCAACGACCCGGACATCGACTCCACCTTCCAGATCAACAAGGGCCTCCGCGTCTCGCGCCAGCTCTTCCGCGACCTGACCTCATCCGGCATGCCCATTGCCTCCGAGATGCTCGACACCATCTCCCCGCAGTTCCTCGCCGACTTCATCTCCGTCGGCGCCATTGGAGCCCGCACCACCGAGTCCCAGCTCCACCGCGAGCTCGCCTCGGGCCTGTCCTTCCCCGTCGGCTTCAAGAACGGCACCGACGGTAACCTGGGCGTTGCCATCGACGCCATCGGAGCCGCCGCCTCCCGCCACCACTTCATGGGCGTCACAAAGCAGGGGCTCGCCGCCATTACCCGCACCAAGGGCAATGAGCACGGCTTCGTCATTCTTCGCGGTGGTTCCAAGGGCCCCAACTACGACAAGGAGAACGTGCAAAAGGCCAAGGAGACCCTCATCAAGAAGGGTCAGAAGCTTGCCATCATGATTGACTGCTCTCATGGTATGTTTTGAAGGGAAAAAGAGAAGAAAAAAAAGAGAAATGAAAAGAAAAAAAAATGAAATGAAAAAAGAACCCCCTCCCAAGGCTCTGTCGCTGGACGCTGGGTTCTCTTCTCTTCCCTTCTGACACCCACACTAACTTCAATTCTTCACTTGCAGGCAATTCAAACAAGGACCACCGCAACCAGCCCAAGGTGGCCGCCTGCATCGGCGAGCAGCTTCGCGAGGGCGAGACCTCGATCATCGGCGTCATGATCGAGTCCAACATCAACGAGGGCAACCAAAAGGTTCCGGCCGAGGGCCCCGCCGCCCTGAAGAAGGGCGTCAGCATAACCGATGCCTGCATCGACTGGGAGTCCACCGTCACCGTCCTCGACGACCTAGCCGCTGCCGTTCGCGCCCGTCGCGAGCGCAATGGAGGCACCACCAGCGCGAACCCAGAGGATCACAAGGTGACCCGTCTCGAGGAGGAGTAGGTCAGGAAAACATGAGCTTTGAAGACGGTTTCTAAGAAGAACGGGAGTAAAAGAAAATACAAAAGGGGGGAAGAAATAAAGAGAGTGAGAGCAAGAAAAGTCGGGTCATGTTTTTGCGAGACGCCTGAACAAAACGCGCCACTGATTGATGGATTCATGAGAGGATGCAACAAAAACGGAAGAGGGGGGGGATTCACACATTTGCAGCGTCGCATATTCTAACTGGTTGAAAGGGGGTTTACATTAAAAAGTTCCTTTTCCTCTTTCGGCTAAACTATGCGGCATACAAAACACATAATATCAAGACGATGATAATGGTGGTTTCTGGTACTGGGATAACCGATGGGTTGATATATCGGGAGGAAGAAAGGTGAACTATCCGCGGGTTCTAGAGACGGGATAGCTTGCTGAACATACCTTACACGATTCCCTTCCCATCGTCTGCTCTTGATGTGATGTCAAGGATACATAATGCATAATGGAACCATAGGGCACACCTACACGCACCTATGGACAACATCTACCTCGTAACCAGCATCGTCACTAACAATAATCACGAACATCATGAAGTAGCTCGATTCAAAACCCTATAACGCCGGATATATAGCCCAAGCCCGACTCCATATCTGGGGACAAGAAAACAATGACGGCCGCCGTCCCAAATCATAGAAAGAACCGTATCAGCCTGGTTGCGCTCCCCCCCTCCCTAGAGGCGCATACCCCCGCAAGGACCTAAAAACGCCCATATGAGGTGCCTCTCTCGACTGGAAGACCCTCCGGGCAGCAGCCCAACCGAGCAGGCCGCCAGTAACGACGATGAACCCCCAGACAATGATGCGGTCTTTCCTGCTATCGCGCTGGAAACACGACGTCTGGACGTCCTCCTCGGTGGCGTCGGTGCAGATGGGAAGCTTCTGGGCAAGGCAGAACGCTTTGGTGCATTTCGTGCAGTCCGCGGGGGGGCCGCGACGGGCGATCTGGTGTCCCTCGGAGCGCCTGGTTCGCGTCTTCTCGTTCGTAGTTGCGTCGGGTTGGAAAGGGAAGTTGGGGAGCGGGGCGAAGATGGGCGCTGAGAAGAGGTCGCGGCGATGCAAGGATGATGGTGGTGATGATGACGATGACGAGGAGGAGGAGGGATATTTCGCTTGGCTGTCAAGAGGCACGACGGTGCTGTTTTTGAAGCAGGTGCATTTGCAGAATGTCGGGGTCGCTGCGCAGGTTCACTCTTGTTAGAAGAAGAAATACCAAAAGTACCGGCGATCAGACGGGGGGAGGGTTAACGTACAGGCCGATGCTAGGGTCACCAGGGCCGCCAGTAAAAGGACAAAGAAGAAAATTCGAAGCATCTTGTTTGATGATGACCCAGGCATTCTATTCCAATTACCAACGATAAGAGGATCGTCTCTAAAAGGTAGCTTCACCAGCTGTCCTCGTTGGTCCCGACTTGGTACGTGCATACGCTGTGGCGCATGTGTGGCTGAACTTGGTCTGGCTCGTTTGATTGGTCATTGGGGTGGAACCAGTGAGACAACACCAGACAACCAAAAAAAGTTCATCCTGGCCCGGAGCTTCTTCATTCCCCGGACCACCTACCCTACCCCCTTCAACAATCACCCGAACCTCCCACCGACGGAGCGCGACAATCCGTCACACAAATCCGCCCATCATGCGTCGCGCTCTAAGACTACGGCAGTCGAGGAATCTTCTTGCTGCCTCGGCGCCCAACCACGCCCACCCGCAGTCCTTCCCAACGACGACGACGCGGACCATCACGACGACAACCCCAAAATGCATACAACCCTCCCAACGCCTCTGGAAAGGTGAATCTGAATCTACTCCGACATCCACCACCACGACCGGCACAACCGGCACAACCACCGCCGAACCAGAGGACGCCCGCCCCACCTCCGACCTCGAAGCCTACGAAGCCGACCTGGCCGAGCTCGAATCCCACGCCCCCCAACCCCCTCCCAGCAATCCCACCCCCAACCCCCGTCGTCCCCCCTCCCGCATAAGGGCCTCCTACCGACGCACCCGAGCCCCGACCCCGGACGCAGCAGCCGTAGGCTACAAACCCGCCCTCAGCGCCGAGGGCCTGGAAGAAGTAGGCGGCCTCGAAGGCTGGTGGGACCAGCCGGGCCACTGGGGTCCCGAGAGCGAGTACGTCGGCTTCGCCCCGGCCCCGGCCGAGCGCGTCACCGACCCGCACGTCCTCGAGGCCCTCCTCCGCCAGGCCGTCCTGGAAAGCCTCGCGGTGCGGAGGGAGCGCGAGACGAAGCGCTTCGTCGAGGATTGGCCCGCCGCCGACCGCGCCGCCTTCGACCGCGCCATGGCCCTCCGCCTGAAGGTCGCCGAGGACGGCGTCGTCGCCCTCCGCGGCAACTCCAACCTCGTTGTCAAGTGGTTGAACGCGAGCAAGAAGGCGCAGAAGAAGCTTCGCACCGAGGAGGCGGCTGAAGCTGCCGCCCGTACCGGAGAGGGACAAGAACAACAGCCTGCCGCCGAGGATGGGGTTGCTGCCGAGCAAGTCGCTGTCGGAGAGGCCGCGGATAAGGATAAGGCTGAGGCAGCCGACGGATCCGCATACCACCATTCCATCATGTCGCCCGAGGAAGCAAAGGAGCTGGTCAATTCATGGGATCCGGTCTGGAAGAATATCGCCCTGTCCGATCCCGAGGTCAAGTTTGCTGTATGTTCAACCCAAATCCCCCCGGCGTCCCCTCTCCCATTATTACCCTTGTCTTCTCTTCCGCTTCCTCTTCGTCCGCTTTCCCTTTCGTTCTTCCCCTGGCCAATTCTTTCGCTAACTTGAAACCCCAAGATCCGCAAGCGTACCTTCCAGCTCACAGGGCACCTGCTCCCCGACGCCAAGCTCGCCCGCGTCGAAACCGTCAACCAGTTCCTCAACATTCTCGTTGGCCCCCCGCCTGCCAAGAAGCTGGTCGAGGCCATCGAGCGCAAGGGCGATTTGCTCGAGCTTCCCAACGTGCGCGTCTACTCGCGTCGCGTCACGCCCATCGACAAGGAGATCCAGGTTGGTCGGTGGAAGCTCATCAGAGAAGAACTGGAGAAGCGCGGATTGCCTCTTACGGGTCATAAGCATCTTGAGCCTCATCGTGAGGCCGCATGGGTCAAAGGTAGACCATGAGATGTGGCTTTGGAGGGTGCGCCCCGCTTACAGAAATCGGGGGGGTGAAGAGGTCGATTAGAGTCGATTGGCTCGTGTAGGCATACGTCCGTGTACACTTTGTATTATACTGCAATTTCATCGTTTTCCGTCACATCTGTGCAAAAGGACGCGGTGTGTGGGAAAGTTTATGTGTATTGCCTGGATTCTCGATGATATGCCGCTCCGTGATTGCCCTCCTCCCCTCACCTATCGTTGAGCCATACGGTATGGCGTTCCTGTGCGTCCACAGAAACAATGGATAATATTCCGCGTCGCCGCATCACCCATGAGTCGAGCCATTCATGCCAGGACTCGAGGGTCTCCGTCATTCGATGGCCCCTTACTCTTCTTCCTCATCCTGTTCCTTCTCCTGTTCCTCCTCCTGTTCCTCCTCCTGTTCCTCCTCGGCATCGTGAGAGTCTGCAATGTACAAGGTGTTGTTAGCATTCTGCTGCCATCTACTTCAAGACCAAGAGTGCAACAGTGCAAAGAAAACGTACCAAAAGAGAAAGAGCCGTCATTGTTGTGAATTCGCTCGGCAAGGTTGATATCAGCGGGAATGGGTTCGCCATCCACGTTGAACAGGGAGGCGCGGAGAACGGGAACTGAAGCATCGCCTTCAATCTCGAAAGAGATGTCCTCGGCCGAGTCGGCGAAGCCTGTTTATCAAGTCAGTCCCCCGGTTTACTGGTAATTAAATTTCCTTCCTCTCTCTTTGTCTCGTCCTTCCGCGTCCCTCTTGCCATCTACTTCCTAACAAGGGAGGGACCAAAGGCCTAGTACAAATGAAAGAACATGGAGGAAAGTGATGACTTGGGGGAGAGATAGTATGCAGGAGGAGGGGCAAAGCCGCAAAGGGAAAGAGATGAGAAAAGAAAAAGACTCACCGCTGCCACCCCACTCGAAGGAACCGTTGTTATTACCGATGATGTCGTTCAGGTCCAACTCGGCCTCGACTTGCTCCCCGTCAACGTTGGTGAGAAGGGCGTGGAGCATATGGCCATCCTCGACGCGAATATCCTCAGCGCTCTCGTGGAAGGGCATGTTGAGTGTCGTTGAAGAAGGTCGTCAGAGAAGTGGTTGGGGGGTTCGGTTTGAGTCAACACTACCTAGGTAGACTGGTTGTAAGAAGGAAAGTGATGAAAAGGTTTCAAAAGCCTCAAGTTTTTCAGGTTGTTCTATGGTGATGTCGAAAGGGAAATTTTGGAGGGAGGAGTTGCCGGGTTTTGTAGAGGCGGGGGGTAACCCGTAAAACGGGAAGGCAAGGCAAAGGCCTCCGCAGCAATGGGCTCGTGATATTGGCCCTTCCTTAAGTATACAGGAAGTCGAGCCTGCCTTACCTTACCTGTCTACCTTAAGGTTAAGGTATACAAATTACGTAGGTCGCTCTAATGTCCATCCCACCGTGCCTGGACCAAAGTGAGCAATTCCTTCCTCTTCCACAGTCAACTAAAGTCACCCGGTTGCCTCCCTTGGCAGGTTACCGTTCTGTGGAAGGGTCTACGGTAGGTACCTTAGGGAAAGTGCAGGGGGCCAGAAGGGCGGGTAAGGGAAGGCGTGATGCAGGTAAGGAGTTGACTTGAGTCACTTGGCGATGCTTCACGTCTGCACACGTCGCTGCCAAGAGCAGACTTCCACAACACTGGAGCCCCTGAGCTTCCACTTCCCCTCACTTCTAACGCTACTACGAGTCTACGTACATCATCCCAATCATCCCACCTCCCCGCCTGAGGTCTGTCCACGGAGGTCGGTATTTCCTTGGGCAGGGCAAGGGCGATGAGGGAGTAAGAATTAGCCCATACTGTAGTCTGTACGACGCACGTCGAAGGGAGTCCTGAGAAAGACATGAGAAGAACTTCATACTATGAGCCACGGAGTTCTAAAGTACTGAGTACTTGCCCAACGTTTGCCCCGCCTCGAACGTTCCAGTTGAACGAGAAGAAAGCGGAAGATCAAAACCTATTGCATGTGAGCTATGGTCACTTATGCACGAGATGACGCGGCCAAACCCGCTGTCATGTCGTACCGAGAGGGGGAGGGAGTCGGGAAGAAAAGGGTTATACACTGGGAAGAAGCGCTTCATTTATCTTCTGCAGCAGACATTGGCCGAGAATGCACGGCGGTAGTGGAGATATTGGCAGTGTCCACAACCGCGTGGTTTGTATGGTGTACGATGCACGTTCGAAAAAGCGAGTGATGAAGGATCCTCTGCTGCGACCGGCATCGGGTCTACACTACATGAGATGTATCGGTAGCAATAATAAATGATTGAGTAGGCGCGCGGCAAATCCACCCGCAGAACACTACGCAAGTTCCCTTGACACTTTGTGGTCTTCGCCTATCAAGTCGTATGTGTTTCTAAGACCGGCCCAGATATCGAAGTAGAAACTCTTTCACTACATGTAATAACAATAACCATGCGGTCTGCTGGCATAGACCGACGAGCTTCTGTATCTGTCTTGGCGGAGTGCGAGAAGAGCTACGCTTAGTCTTCCCTGGGAGTCAGTGAGTCACTTATTATGTGAAGAAGATCCCGCAAGGGGACAGAGAGTGAATAAACTGGCCGACAACGACAATGTATTCCATAAGGAGGGTATAAACCTGGCTACCTCAACTATGGGTAGTAACAGGCAAGAAAACGCACGCATCATCGCCCACTTCTTTCCATACTCCGAATTGATTCGTCTCAACTTAGCACACCTGATGCTCCTCCATGCCATCCCACCCGCGCCGTGATGCAGAACGAAAACTCATTAAACATGTGCCATGGTAGGCAATGAATCGGATGTTGGAAATTAAAATCCCTCGTCGGAGAGGCAGAGGGAGGGTGGAACGACAGAGAGAGAAAGAGGCCAGGCCGCCGTGTGATTTGGTGGGCACGGTTGGAATTTATTTGCAGCCCGAGCAAGAGCAGCTAGCGCCGCAGTTGCCTACATGAAAGACGAGAGGGTCAGCATTCCTACTTTGTCGATGTGGCGGCAGAACGGGAAAAGGGGAAGGGGGTTCGACTCACAGGAAGAAGCGCCGGAGCAGCCGCAGTCACCCTTCATTTTGATGGTGGTTGTTTTGGTAGTGGAAGGAGGTGTTTTTTTTTGGGGGTTGAAAAGCGTTGGATTTCTAGCAATGTTTTGTATTGGTATCGTCTAGGGAATCCGAGGAAAGTGAACGAGCAGAGAAAGAGAGAAGTGCCTGTCCTTTTATAAACACAGTTTCCCATCACCGCCACTAACCCTATCTATGACCAACCTGCCTAGCGTCGGTAAAACATATTCTCTTGGGGATGACATGACTGGAGGGGCTGAGGGGCAACAGTTACTTCGTGATTCCCAGCTAGATGCGATGCGGGTGAGGGAATTCTGCGGGTGAGCATGGGGAAGATGAGCCAATCAGACAGCGGTCAGGCGACTGGCTATGGCGTGGGGTTGCGCTGTTTGTGCCGACCTGACAACCACTCGATTGGGCCCCACCGGGATGAGTGTGGCAGCAGCGAAATGTGCAGGGCTATTCGAAGATACTAGCAACTTCCAGAATCACGAAGTATAAAGTAAGCATGTAAATACCTAAAGGTACCTACATGCGTCGAGTACCGGACCTAAGGTACGTCTCTGTGGCGAGGCGGTCCGTGCTCTATTTTGATGCACACTAAGGTACCTTAGTACGCGTGTACAGAGGAGTAGCGTTCTGGTACCTGGGTCGATCCGACGCATCGTCGCGAAGAATCATCGACCGAGCGCTCGGAAAAATGACTTCATTTATGAAGTGCCGCCCCAGAAACATCACAACTGATGGACAAAGCCAGAGTTTGTAAAGGTCATCTGGGTCATCTGATCATATTCCAGGTACGAGAGTCTTATTCATATGGATGCTAAAATCATATTGCCAAAATATGGTTTACGAAGTCCGAATACACAAGTAAGGTAGCCTGAGCCGGTACCTACCGTTGTCATATCACATCGTACGAAAGTCCGCGTCCATCTCTTTGCCCTTCCCCAATCGACGACAGTCAGCCCCCGGACCAATCCCCGGACCAGTCCCCGGATAGGAATAGCAACTTGGCTTGGCCGTCACACATATCCGCCACAAACCGCAATGGCCCAAGCCTGACAACCTGGTCCTCGCGAACCTCCACGGCCTCCCATCCCACGTCGACGTAATGAGATCCCTTGCTCGCCCAGCCATCTTCACCTACGCAGCATCCGGGCGTCATCATGGCCACAGGCGCCCCAATACCAGCACCCGGATCGGCGTGACTGTGACGCCCCTCCGTCATCATCGCGAAGCCCCTGTCGTTGCTTCTGACCACATCCTCCGCCTGACAGACCTCGCATATCCACGGTGCAGGCCCGAATGCGCATGTTGCCCTCTTCTGTCGCTGCCACTGACGCTGACGCTGCCGCTGCCGCTTCCCCCGTTCGACGGCCCTGTGAACCTGACCCGCGAGAGCCGATGCCTCTGGTAGGAGTACTGGAAGGACCTGCTGCTGCTGCTGTTTCGGCTGTTTCTGCTGTGGCAGTCGAGCTGCTCCATCTTGGGCGAAGTGCAAGACAAAATCTTCGTCGACACTCGCTGTCCTGTCCGCCCCCACGCACAAGCCAGGCAAAACCCAAGTCGAGAGCGGCTTCTTCCTCTTTGTCCGTGAGCCCATTTCTCCTTCGGCCCGGGCAGCACAGGCTCTGGCCCTCTTGGCTGCCCTTCCCGGCTGGATCCGTGTCGGTGGCGTGGGCGGTTTCGACTGGGTTGGTTTCATGAGGGTCGAGGGGTTCTCGAGTCGGGCGTGGGGGCGAGATGCAGGGTTCGGCACCTCGATCAACGCGGTGCTTGGATTCGTCGTCGTACTCGAATATACGTGATTCGCTATCGTGATGAAATGGTCCAGGCAGACGATAGTTTGGCGGGGGACTAATGCGAGATTCCGTTCCTGTCCAGGACCCAGCTTTGTCGTGTCCACAGCCATGCTTCTTCTACTCTCCCTCCCTCTCTCTCTCTTTCTCTCTCTTGGTTTTTTCTTCTCTCCTCTTTTTTTACCCTTCCTTTCTTTTTTTACCCCTTCTATATCTGTGCCACCCAAACGCAAGATGGACCGTCTCTGCTGCGTCGTCTGGTAGGATTATGCGTTTCTACTAGCAGTTAGTGGCGAAACGACAATATTTCTTCGTCTGTAACATCTCCAAGACTTGGGACAATGGCGGAGGTCTGGATTTTGTAGGGCTGCTGACCAGAGTCGGTCTTTGTGTCTCTGCTTTGTCCTGATTATTCTCCCGTCTTTCATGGTCTGCCCATTGTTGGTCTCGCTGATGTTGATACGAAAGTACGGAACAGTGGACAGAGGTTTCCATATATCCCGTGTCGAAGTCATGGTGTCTTTGTCTAAAGAGGGACTTGAAACAAAGCATACGATGACCGAGAGCTATGGGAGATGGGATGCCGTTCAGGTCTATTGTAACCAGGTTGAATATGATAGGGACCGATGACCGACACGGGTAAATGTCAGTTCCCTTTCTCAAGATCCAAGCGGCTTTGAAGTAATTAGTACCTCAAGTAGTCATGGAAATGAAGTCATATCAAGAAGTTTTCGATAATAATAACTATCACCCAGATTTTAAAGTAGACGATAGTCAGTGCCTCCTCCCCGGTGGTTCAGGGGACCGTCACAACTCACTCAAGGGGACCCACGTTTTGTCGCATGGAGGACGGACAGGCGACCGGCAGTGGAATTCAACAAACACATTTGCGTTATAACTCTATTATACCACGTGGACGGCCGTGCCGTGGTCTGTGGATGCCGGCCGTTGGGCTGTGCGCCTCTCGTCTCTCGTCTCTCGTCTCTCTCCGTGTGATTCGGTTGCCGAGGAACCGTCATTTTAATTTCCTTGGAAGCGCTTCGTAAACCACAATGAGATCCTTGCTCCTGGGGATATTCGTCAATCTAGGGTATAATCCATAACGAAGTACATACGTTCACTTGGTTTCCAGCTCGTCCTACCCAACGAAGTACGGATATTCTCTACCCAGTAGGTACCTACCTAGGTATCCGTAGGGATAAAGGACAAAAGGTTAGGTAGGTACTGTATCCGTACCAAGTACCTATGAGGCACAAAAGGGTACGTACACTGGTATATCTGTATATTTTAGCATAAGGGACGCAACTCTGTGCACGGTAAGTACCTCTACAAAGTTGACTTGTACCAAGGACTCTTGAGGTACTACTGTGTAATAATCAGGCACCCGTGATATGGTTGGATCCCTGCCCATTAGCGAATCTCCCTCGCCGATCTTCCCCGCCCCTCCCAACTACGAAGTGCGCTAGCCATCACCAAAGGGAGTCAAAGGCCTCAAGCATGCATTGTAAAGTGTGTCCTAAGATAACTGCGAACTTACGAAGGTTATGTACAAAGGAATTATTAGGTATGCGGTCTCCCACCCTCTTTATCCCGGTAGACCGAGGGACCAGAGGCTAATGATCCTAAACAAGAGACGGTTATAGGACGCTACCGTTAGATAGCCAAGTCGGCCGTCAATCCGTCTACCATCTACCGTCTACCGTCTACCGTTAACCATCGTTACGTCGTTGCAACCCTCTGCTGATCATCCAATATCCAGGGTCCACTGATCCCCTGGTCCCTGGTGGTGTCCGACCATCCCATCTCCCCCCTCCCCCCCGGTTCGCACAAACCTAGGCACAAAAGATCGTTTTCGGACACTGGGGATGTAGTCGGCAAGAGCAGAAATCAGAAAGAGACCAGAACGGGGAGACAAATCGAAAAGAAGAGAAAAACAATGATTCCAATCATTCGATGGAATACCATTGGCCAAGGCGGATGGGCAACCTTGGGCTCCAAGAGCGGGATGAGACATGCAGCTGGAACATCATCAACGGCGAGTACGAAATGCCGGAATACTCACCAACCCCTGGGCAGGTACGTCGCCGGTCCTGCGTCCATGACACTCGCAATTACCTCCTGCGACGATCTTCGAGTAGCCGCGAGAGGAGGAGGAAAGACACTCAGCTGCGAATAATCATCACCCACCATGCGCACAACAACGCACAACATACGGGACCCCTGATGAATTCCTCAGCCGCGAATAAAAGCAAGCAATGCCACCAGGCGGTCCGTTCCCTAGTGTACAACGTACTACACGTACTAATTATCCCTCCCACTCGCTTCCCCTTCGGTATCGGTGGGGTCTTCTTTCACCTATTTTTTCCTACTTCGTCCTAGTTGCGTTCTAGGCCCCTGTACGGATACGATTACTCGAGCTACGTTGTAGTTCTGCCGTCGCCAGCGACCTTGTCTCGGTCTATCCAAACTCTTACACAACTTTCCCCCTCGAACACGAACACCGTCTCGAGTTCGAGGAGAGAAATCGGCGGCATTAATTCATTCCGGTATTCGCAAATCATCGCCTTTCTCATCCCTTTGAGATACGACCTCAGAGCTCTGCCGTTGGATTCTGTGCCTCCCGTTTCTTTTGTACTTCGACGGCAACCACAACCAGACGACAACGAACTCCCGAACGGACCGTCTCCCTCCCGCGTTCCATTGCTCACAATCTCAAGTCGGTGGCTGGATAGTACTTGCCTTTCCTTCCAATCTTTCGTACCTCTGCACGCCTCCCCTCTCACTCAAATCGGTTGATCGATCCATCCATGGGACGTCGATGGTCTGGCGCGGCATGACAACGGCCAAACGCTCTGGCCCACTGCGGACTTTAGCTAGGCAACGTCGAGGCCGCCGCTTGCTGAGAAGCTTCTCTTCTTACGTCTAACCGCCGCGACAAGGAAATGAAATGGACATAATAGTAAGATGCGACCCCCCGTTGTCTCCCGCCGAAGGTGCCGGGGAGAAGAAAAAAGAAGAAAAAAGAAGAAAAAAAAAGAAAAAAGAAGAAAAAAGAAGAAAAAAGAAGAAAGAAGAAAGAAAAAAGAAAAAAGAAAGAAAAAAAATCCAGCCGACTCCTTTTGCGCCTCTATTTTGTACTTCTCTGTCTCTCTATCGCCGCGCTCATTCGGCTCATTCGACCTTCAATCCGGGCGAACAGACATTATATTGACCCAACTAACACTGCTCCTTCTCTCCAGATAATCCCAGAGCAAGACGATTCCCGCCTCGGCTCTGCCCGTGATGGCAGCGAGGGCGGCACCCTGAGCGCCGTCAGTGGGAATAACTCGGCCTCCTTATCCTCCCTGTTCGCCACCTTCGTCCCCATTCTCATCTACACCGTCGTATGTCTAAGCATCTTCTCGGTCTTTCGGACGAGGTTGCTGCGAGTCTACTCGCCCCGCGCCATCCTGCGCAACCTGCTTCCCGAGTATGTAACTCCCAACCAACACACACACACACACCTTTGATAGGGCGCCGAGCCCCTTCAACGAACGACGGGACAAGTCAGTCGACTGACAAAACCATCTGCCCCCCAGACAGCGAAGCACATTGTTACCCAAGGGATGGTTCGACTGGGTGTTGCCATTTTGGCGTGAAAGCGACGTCACCGTCCTGAACCGTTCCTCCATCGACGCCTACCTCTTCTTGCGCTACCTGAAACTGCTCTCGTTCATCTGCTTCGTCGGCTGCTGTATCATCTGGCCGGTATTGATGCCTATTCATGCGACCGGTTCTGGCGGGTTGACTCGGCTCGACAGCGCTACCATTGGCAACGTCACAGACCCAAACTTCTTCTTTGCTCACGTCGCCGTGGCCTGGGTCTTCTTCGGTATGTCCCCTTCTCTCTTACCTCGTCCTTTCTTTGTGTTTCCTGACAAACAGCAGGCTTCGTTCTTTTCGCCATCTATCGCGAGTCCATCTTCTACATCAACCTCCGCCACGCCTACCTGCTCCACCCTTACTACGCGAACCGCCTCTCCTCCCGTACCGTCCTCTTCCAGTGCGTCCCCGACCGCTACCTCGACGCCCGCCGCCTCCGCCAGGTCTTCGGCGAATCCGATGTCGCCAACGTCTGGATCCCTCGGGATACCAGCGAGCTAGCTCGGCTCGTGGACGAGCGGGACAAGACCGCCGTCCGTCTCGAAAACACCGAAATCCGCCTCATCAAGCTCGCCGACAAAGCCCGCCGTCGCGGCCAGCGCGCCGCCCCCCGTCTCCCCGAGCAACTCCTGCCACCACCCGATTCGCGCCATTATCCCGCTCCAGAACCTTCTTCTCCCCACGCCAGCAGCTCCTCGCCATCCCCGTCGTCCACGTTGTCTCCTTCTCCTTCCTCCTCCTCGTCCTCCTCGCGTGGCCATGACGTCGACGCCGACGCCGACCCGGAGAAGAACCCGGCCCTCCCGGATGTCAACGGTTCCGTCGCCGCACAATGGCTCCCGGCCTCCCACCGCCCCGCCCACCGACCCCTCGGCAACTTCCTCCGCCGGGTCGATACCATCAAGTGGACGCGCCAGCGCCTCAAGGCCCTGCACCCGCGCATCTACAAGCTCCGCCGCATGTTCCGCTCCGAGCACATCGACTCCAAGGACGCGAAGCCGCTGGGGTCCGTCTTCATCGAGTTCACCACCCAGTCGGCCGCCCAGCGCGCCCTGCAGACGCTCTCCCACGACAAGCCTCTGCACATGGCGCCCCGGCTCATCGGCATCCCGCCCGACGAGGTCGTTTGGCTGTCGCTGCGCATGGGGTGGTTCGAGAGGATGCTCAGGAAGTTCGCCGTGCGAGCGCTCGTCATGGTCGCCATCCTCTTCTGGTCGGTGCCGGCCGCTGCGGTCGGCATCGTGAGCAACATCAGGAACCTCAGCGAGATGTTCGTTTTCCTCCGGTGGCTCCAGCTCTTGCCGGCCCCGATCTTGGGTTTCCTGCAGGGGTTCCTCCCGCCGCTGGCCCTGTCGCTGCTGATGGCCATCGTGCCGGGGCTGATGCGGGGGTGCGCCCGCTTGGCCGGCGAGCTGTCCCTCGGCGAGATTGAGCTCTTCGTGCAGAACGCCTATTTCGGGTTCCAGGTGGTGCAGGTGTTTCTCATCACGACGCTGACGTCTGCGGCTTCGGCGGCCTTTACCGACGTCCTCCGGGACCCTTTGTCGGCCCGCGAACTGCTCTCCGAGAACCTGCCCAAGGCGAGCAACTTTTACCTCTCGTACATCCTCATCCAGTGTCTTGCCGTCGGCGCCACCACCCTTCTCCGCCTCTGGGACCTGATTCGGCACGGCATCGTGGTGCGATTCTTCCAGCGGCCGAGGGCCGTGTGGCGTATTTGGAAAGGGGTCCGGCCGGTGCACTGGGGCGGTTGGTTCCCCGTCTTTACCAACATGGGCGTCATCGGTGAGTTCCTGAGTTCTCCGGCCTCTTGGCCTCTTTTCCACTTGCCCGTCTACTACGGTCCTTGGCTGACTCCTCATAAGTCCTCAGCTATTGCTGCATCGCCCCCATTATCCTCGGGTTCGCGGCTGCCGGCATGTATGTCATGTACCTCGTGAACAAGTACAACATGCTCCTCGTAGACGACTCCTCCATCGACACGCGGGGGCTGGTGTACCCCCGCGCGCTGAGGCAACTCCTGATCGGCCTCTATCTGGCCGAGATCTGCATCATCGGCCTTTTCACCCTTCGGCTCGCTTTGATACCCATGGCCCTCATGATCATTCTGCTCGTTTTCACCGTCCTCTTCCATTTTTCTCTCCGCGACGCCCTCTCCCCGCTTTTGCAGAATCTGCCTCTCACTCTTGCGCTCGAAAACGAGGAACTCATGGCCAAGACGGCCGCCGGCAAGAAGGACGATGACTTGTCGGACGCAAAAGACGGAGACGAGGGCAACAAGGCGCAGAAGCAACAAACCAACGGGGACCCACCGCTCACGGGAACAAACAACGAACCAGCAGCTTCTGTGCCTCTCCCGCATGCCTACTTGGATGATGACCACGATGACGAGGAGGAGGGGTACTTCAGCGACGACGACGAGCACGACATGGTTCACGAAACCACCGGATCCCGTACCCACCCCGGCGCTGCGCCCCGCGCGAACCCTGGTCTCGAAGGTGGTCCGGCCCTGGCCCGCGTGGCGGCCCGCGCGAGCTGGGCCTTCTACGTCGGCAAATTCACGTCGGCCCTCCACTGGATCGGCCTGGGACCCGTGCTCTCGTTCCTGGACGGGGTCATCCGTCCGACGTACCGGCCCGACCCCCACCCGATTCTCCGGTTCCTGCACCCGTGCACGTTCGACTCGTTCGAGCACATCCGCGCGACGTGGGTGCCGCATGACCTTCCCGACCCGCGCGCCTCGTACCCCGCCGACTACGGGGCGCGGGCGTACCACCCGCCCGAGGTGTGGTCGCCTGCCCCGCGGATCTGGATACCGAGGGACGACGGCGGGGTGAGCGCGCAGGAGGTGTTGCACTGTAAGCGGTACGCGAAAGTCGTGGCTTCGGACGAGGGGGCGTGGTTGGACGAGAAGGGGACGGTGGTTTGTGAAGTTGAGAAGGCGCCTTTCTGGGAGGTTGAGGAGCAGGTGCTCTACTAGCCCGGTCTTGCTTTGTTGTGTTGGGTGAGACGGGGGCTGGTATGATATGTTTGGATGGATCATGTCTGCGCACCTCCTATACCTTGCTGGAGATGATGAATGTGGTTTTACTTGATGCTATAGTAATGCATTCATCAATATATGAGATACTGATGAGTCTCCGAGGCTTGACACTCTTGACCTCAATGAGCGCTTAACGTGCCTCTTCTTCATTGCATCAACTCATGACGCCTCGCCTTCCCTCATCCAACTTATAAACCACTTGCTCACTTGGATAATGAACATGGAAAGACCGAGATGGACAGAAATATAAAGTACATCTTATGTTCTTTCCCTCTCCAACTTTTTCCCAACCCTCGTAACACTCTTCTCTCTTTCCCACTTGCAAGTTGTGCTTCTATGGTTTCGGTTCCAAATAACTTCAACTACCACAGCATCAAATACCGATATCCTCCACATAGCCAAGTACAACGAGGAGAAGAATAAGAGATTCCTCTTTTTCTTTTTCTTTTCTCTTCTTTCTTACCTCCGTTTCTTCCCTCTTTGCCAACCAAGCCCTCGCAGCCCGAACCTCTTCGCCTGTTATCTTGTTCTCGTCCAGCATCCCTACACAATATCTTCACAGGAAACAATGGCGACCCCTCCGCAGATGCGAAAGCCTGCCATCACAGCCGGCGGTGCCTTTGGCAGCCTCATCTCGCCGGAGGAAAAACACCGCCGGGCGCGCGAGTCTCTGAAGAATATTCGCAAGGAAGCCACTTACACACCCCGTCTTTTGGCCGCCGTAACGGACCGTATCACCACCAACTCGTTCCGCCGACTGCTCTCCGACAATGCCATCTACACCCGCATTGCCAACGCTCTCAGGGACGAGAACATACCGGAGACAGACCGGCATCCTAGCATCGTCGACTTCCTCGCCCTCGAGGCCATCGTCCCGGTGAACTACAGTGGCTCGTACAACCGGCCGCTCAACTCGCTCTATGAGCGCTGTAATACCTTGTCGTGGGTCGAGGGCCAGCTGCTGGTCGAGAACCACGAGTACTTTGCGCACGAGCTTGCCGTCGCTAGGGGGCGTGTGGTTTCCCTGGTCGAAATCGGCGACGGCGAGAACGAGGGCAGGGGCGAGGGCGGCGGCGACAACAACGACAACAACAACAACAATAATAATAACAATAATAGTAGTAATAATCATAATGGTCGCAACAACGGTCACAATAACGGCCACAATAACGGCCACAATAACGGCAAGGACGCCATCACGCGTGACCTCAGTGAGGACGTCGTAACGGACATCAACACCAACTACTGGCGCCAGGAAAAGAACCACCACGCCCTCGTCGCCGCCTGCTTCTCCAAGATGGAGAAGCAAGAGGAGCTCACGGCTCGAGAGGTCGTCGGCGTTGTGGCCATCTTTCATGGCCAATACCCGGCTCCACTGGTCAAACATCTCATCTACCGCCAGAATTCGGCCTATCTCAAGTTTGGCAATCTCGATGACGCTGCACATGCCTTCGAGCATGATCCTGCATATGGCGAGGATTGCCGGAAGGCACAGGAATCCGCCCATCTTCTCCCTGCGGCTAATTCCCATGCGAGAGAATACGCGGAAGGTAACGACGCGGTCCAGGCTTCCGCTTGGAGGCAGAAAGCCCACGAATTGGCCGTCGAGCACAGTAAGGCATCGCAGCTCCTCCGCATCGTCCGCACCGGTCGGATAAAGAAGAGAGAAGCCCAGCTACGACGTCCCGAGACCCTCCGCGCCGCCGCTACCAGGCCGGCCAGTGATATCATGGGATTCATGGCTCCCGGCACCATGTATGCCTCTTCTCCTTTCTACCCACCCGCTCCTCCATCGTTACCGGGTGGCGCATCTTTCTTCCGCACTCCCCTCCCGACTATCGAGCCCGTCGCCCCTACCCCGCCCCGCAGGCGTCCGGGTCGACCGAGGAAGAACCCGGTCCCTGACGCCACGGCTCTCACTGGCGCCACCCCGGCTACCGCACGGCAGACGACACGGGCCCAGATGACACGGCCGTTCCGCCCTGTCCCTGCTCCGAGTACTCATCCCCCTGGCGCGTTATCCTTGTTCGTCGACGACTATCAACGGGAAAGCGCGGCCATTTACGGGACATCTCCTCGTTCGTTTGGACCGACTGGACCGGGTGAGAGCTTCGCAGCGGCTAGCTCCAGTCGGCCGCGGGGGGAGAGGAGTCCGCTTCTGGATGTTGTCCGCATTAAGCAGGAATATGAAGATGACTACAGTTTTCTCCTGCATTAAATGGATCGTCGTTGCGGGGAAGGGCAGGCGGAGTGTGCTTGGGCCAAAGCTTTGCGGCTCATATTCGTTTTCAGGGGATGGGTCAAAATAGGGGGCTCAACTTGTTCTTTGTGTGGCGGACGTGTTGGTTGTTGCCTCACGGTTTCCGATAAATGGGTCTAAAATAATTAGGTGGACGGGAATTTAAGCTACCTTACCGACCTTGAATTCAGAACGAAAAGTAGTAATACCGATGCTGTGGCGCATTTGTCATGATGTGATGGTGTTGTCTTTTCATGTCGTGATGTTCCAACTCCCTGGGCTTCTTTCAGGGGCCCCCAGGCCAGAATCAACACAGCGACAGATACAGCTACGAAGGATACGCACAGCACGAGGAATAAGGTACACTTTTCGAATACATCTGCCACAATGGAGAAGAAAAGTAAGTTCACATGAAAGGTTTCACTCGAAATCAATAACAGGATTACGATGACGCCACAAAAATATACTCTCAGAATCTATTATTTCTGGCTCGAATACTCCTGCAGCGGCTGTTCCACAGACCTCATCAACTGGAGAGGCAAACGCAAAGGCAAACACTGATCGAGCTTAATGGTCGGGAGGCGTGTAAAAGTCCAGCCAAACGCCACCACCAAACCTACTTAACCTAGAGGCTACTAGGTAGATCTTCGGTCTTCCTCAACAATAGCACAGGTATTTAAGAATGAAGAAATCTCCCTCTTTTGCTTGCCTCTCTTCATCATTGTATCATCTTTGCATCGGGGCATCTTTACCACTCAAAGAAAGAAAACAAGAAATCCGAAGAAAACGAACGAGACAACTTCGCCTTCGACCTTGGAAAGGAAACCTCACCTAAACGGCAACCATGCCAACCATGCCAGCCATGCCCTTTCAAGAACGGTCCTCATCACCAAACCTACGCCCAAGGCGTTGCTCTGACGAGTCTGATCTGCAGGCCGCAGCGGCGAGCCTGGGATGTTATCCCGCTGCTCCTGTCAATGGAATCCACCCACCCTTCAGGCTCAGTCCGGGTGGCCCCATCGTCCCTATCGCGGACATGCAGGAGCTTCCTGATTGGCTTCACTGGACGCACGACGAGAGCCTCGAGTTCGTACGCAACTTCTTCGGACCCCGGGAACAGACCACCGTCATAGGTCCCCGACGAGCGACAACGCCCCGGTCCAAGGCTGGGTATCGGAAGCATCGGAAGACGAAGAAGACGGCGAAGCTGGAAAGGGAGGAGAACAGCGGCCACGACGACGACGACAACAGCGACAGCGACTGGTGTCGACTCGACTTGAGAGATGTCGCCTCCTCCGTCCAGTCAGAACTAGAACCGGGGTCGAACGCGTCTTCTCCCGCCTTGAGCCCGGGCAAACACACCAACGAGAGGGAGGAGAGAGAATGTGTTATTCAAAAGCTGGAGGAACACATCAAAACGTTGAAGCGAGTGCATGAGAGCGGGACCATGTCGCCCATGGCCAAGAAGGCGATGTGGAAGACGTATGTGGGCCAGGTGAATGCCCTGGTGGCTGAGACGAAGATGCCCGTGCCAGAATAAGGCGTTGCGCGGCGGGCGAGGCCAGACAGACATGTTTTCGATGTGTTGGGAAACCGAAGAGCGAGTTTTCACGCGAATATATATGAGATGCTCGGGAGATGGAGCCTGGAGTCCTGGATTCCCGAGTCGCTGGAGGCTGGACAGCCTGGACTCCTGGAGGGGCAAAGGCTTAGGCTGATGGAAATACCCCATCATAAACCATTTACCTGATAAAACCTGTTCTTCTCTCCTTCTTCTTGTTTAATACGAAATCACGTAAATCCCTACATTCCATGTCTGCTTGGTCAAGGCGTTGAGCAACTATTCTAATATCTCGGGCCCGTGGCTTTGGCGTGGTCCAGTGACTCCAGTGGCCGACGCCCCGAGACTCGTATATCCACACTTGAAATCGAGTATGAGTGCCGCCTGTATCAGAGGCGCAAGAAATGTTGGAGATGGCTGATCGTGTTGAGGAACGAAGACACTTTCCCCCCTTTATTTTCCTCGTAAAAAAAGGGGGTCAGGTGAGGTGGGCGGTGTATAGGTATAGACCGAACCCACACCGAAAGCTCACACGTTGACGCTTAGTCATCCACCCCAATCGTTGTCGCGACTTGCTTTTTGGGACCTCGCGACATTGCGACGTGGGTTTTTGGGTCTACGGTCCAATCACCAGACTGACATACCGGGAGTCCAGGAATTTCGACAGCAAAACGACCCATTGATCACGGCATATTGCTTCACATCTTCCCTGCCATTTAAATCTGACTTCATCCAACCGGCCAAGCCGACCTTGCCTTGCACGATTGCCCATCATGACGCGAGCCCAGCAGACCATCTCCCTTGCTCTCCTCGTGAGCTCTGTACGTCGCCCTGCCATTATCCCAATCCTCTCTCTCGCGGCAAAAAAAAAAAAACAAGAGAACAGCTGCTAACTCGGATTTCAGGTTTACCTCGCCCTCTTCCTTGAGCTCGTGCCTCTCCCCCCGGCTGTACAGGAACAAATTGTCCCCGTGGTAAGCCCATTGCATGTCTGTGGCAGTCTTAGCAACTAATTTGCGCTCTTTCCAAGCTACCCTTCTGGCTCCTCGTGTCCTTCGGCGCTTACCTCCTCGCCCGCCTGGGCTACAATGTCATGACCTTCAACGACGTCCCCGAGGCACACGCCGAATTGATGGCCGAGATCGAGTTAGCGAAGAAGGACCTACGGACGAAAGGCGTGGATGTCGATTAAAGGGGAAAGCAAGAGAAAGGAGTATGAAGACGAGAGTAGGGAGGGACACGGGGGCGATGATGGCTGGCCGGGGCAGAGGGACAGAGGGGCACAGGGAAGACGAGGCATGGACCGGCCTGTGGAAAAAGAAGGAAGAACTAATTCCAGCTTGTCCCGTCTATTCTAAAAGTTCAAGAGCCCTATCTATGCTATGCCTCTACCAGCTGGTTCTCTGGTCTGTATAATGTGAATACGGCGTCCTGCATCTCCTATCGATCATTCCCACCAAGCTCATCCATCGTCCCAGCGCTGGCTCCGACGATGCGATCCAAAAACCTAAGGGGTCTCCAGCAAAACACGGATTGACTCCTACAGGGCACAACTGACAGATGCACACATCTCCCCAAGAAGCGTGTAAACTAATCCTTTTCTTCTTCGAAACAGCATCGACGTGATATCTGGATATTGGCAATCATAGTATCGGCCATGGCTGAAGAACACCCACGTTCCTGCCCTGTCCCCTTCATTGACTCGTCTCATCATACAACGCCGTTTCCTTATCCCTAACCCGAAAACACTACCCTGTACCCCCGGACAATCCCCCCTGCTCCGTACTTGATCAACGCCGGCGAGTGGACACATCGCCCACCAGAAGTGACAGTACCGTCCGCACAGCATTCAGAGGGCTTTCGTCTCCTTTGACGAGATCCCCAAACACCTTCTGTACACCTGCCAGTGCCCCGCCGTCGTGTGCCTCGCGCCCTAGAGAAGGCGCAAAAAATGGTCAGCATATTCCCCGTGAGTTCTCGGACATGTGCACCAGTATCTAGTGTGCAATCGCCAAGCGTTCGGTAGTTGAAACTTACATTTCCCGGGCACGCCCAGAAGGACCCCAACCCTACTCACCCCCTCGCCTGTCCAGTCAAACTCGATACGCCACTGGATCCTCAAACACGGCCACCTAGACTCGTCTTCTTCATCGTCTTCAGGTATCGGCACCTCGAAAGCCGTGCGGCCCATGTGGGCCAGCAGAGCAGCCCGCGGAAGTGCACCCGCAGGCTCAACCGCCGCCGCCGCCGCCACTTCTTCTTCACCTTCTCCTTCCCCGTCGTCCGGGCCCTGCCTCCTCGTCCTCCTCCTCGGCCGCTTCCGCATCCGCGTCCGCCGCACCGTCTCGAGCAACCGGTCGCGGTCTCCCGTCTCCCTCTCGAGAAGACACCACACCCTCGCTCGTTCGACGGAGAGGCGGTACCACTCCGCCATCGCCCAGCCCAGGATGCCGACGTTGCGATCCATCGCGCTGTTCTGCTTCCCGGAGCAGATCGTCTCGACGAATGGCCCGAGCTCCGCTATGGCGGCTGGGTCGAGCCGCGGCACCCGAAGCTCGTCAATCCGGAGTGTGTCGGCGTTGACGACCATCTCCAGCTTGGCTGCGAATAATCCGTCGGGTTCGCGGACGGATAGGTTGTGTTGGCGGAGGAGGGGCGCTTCGGTGTCCTCGCGGGGAAGGATCTCGGTGGTCGACGAGAATTCGAACGGCGTGAACGCTTGCAGAAACCCGAGTTCCTCCTTCGCCGTCATGGGTATGGGGTGATGTGAGACGGGAGGCGGGGAGTCGTCCTTGGGCGGCGCAAGTAGAGGTGCAGGGGTGGTGGCACTCAGCGAAAGCCATGAAGTGGGGTCCATCGCCGCATCGAAGAGCAACTGTGAAGGGTCGGGGGGGGTTCCGTCATCCGATGGCAGGAGGTAGCGTTGGAAAAGCCCGAGGAGCTCTTCGCCATTCCGCTGATGGGACGGCCATTTGGATGTTTGCCGTTGATTCTGCATCTGGTGGATTCTTTCGTTCTCCAACTCGGCGAACCGCAAATCTGCCTCCAGCCGTGCCACCTCTGCCCGGAGCTCCTCTCGTAAAGCCTTCTTCTCCGCATGCTCGTCAATCGGTGGGATGCCCCGTGCTGGATGTGTTCCCCCACCACCTCTGGCCCCAAGTGTTCTCTCCTCGTCGACGACCACGTCGGGGTCATCTTCCGTGGAAGCCATTGCTGCCTTTCCCTTTCCCTCCCCCTTGCTCTTGGTCGGGGTGCCTGGATCCCTCGTCGGAAAGGACTGGTGTTTGAGAGGAGAGCTCTTCTTCCCATTGCTGGATCTTCTCCTCGCGCGTCTGGAAGGCGTCTCGTGGATCCCCGATGGCGGGGTCGTGACCAAGGGATCATCCTTGCCTTGTTGTGTCGGTGTCGGTGGAAGTTCTGGTTCATTCTCGGGCGGCACCACGAAAGGAAGAGATTCGCGTGGAACACCCGGGGCTCCTCCGCCCGGGGGAGTGCGTCTCAACCCACGTCGCGCGAAAGGGTCGAGTAACTCCTCTTCCTCCGACCCGGGCTCCGGTGGTGGTAGGGGTCGAGGCTTGGGCTTGAACGGGGAGCGCTTCGGCGCCGCACCTAATCCTCCCAGACTTTGCCGTGCCGCGTTACGTGACGGTACGGGCGGCGCGTCTGACCCACCGGGAGCCTGCGGTGCTGCGGTGGGTGCGCCACGCATGCGCTGCTCGAGGTGCGCGGTCAATGTGTCGCGAAGTTTCGACTCCTTTGGTCGACGTGGCGCGGATCGTATAGGAGATTGAGGCTCGACCGACTCGGTAGTCGTGTCCTGGAGTTGCGCTGTCGTCCCAGCATCGCGCGCGACACCGAGGGAACGGAAACTAACTTCGCTCGCCTGGCCCGTCGACCGTGTCTGTGATCCATGATCGGTACCGCGTTGGATTGCTTCGTGGCTCTCTAGTAGTTCGGGATTAGACCGCGCAAGGCTCGCTCTTGTCGGTGAAGCGTAGGAGGGTGCATAGTTCGAAGGTCGAGACGAAGCCATGGCAGCATCTGGAGGCGCGGGATTCGTCTGGCCGTTGAAGATGGGAACGCTGGTTCGGGGCGAGGTACGACGGCGTTTCGGTGCAGATGATTCTATACTATCGAAGTCCATAATGCTGATGCTTCATTTCCTTCCAAATCACAAACATACCATGGGCGGTACAATTTCCCGTCGAATGGCAACAAGATGTTTTGGTTTCTGGAGCTCGACCATCTTTTGTACCTATGTTTTGCTACAATGCGACGGCGAGTTGAGTACTACCTTTAAGGTAGACGCGTCGGGGATGCCACGACATGTTGACCGCCTTCTACTTTGAGCCTGTATTGCTGTACGGGATACCATGTGACTGCTCATGTGACTTTATGACGTTTTTACCCGTGGTAATAATCTCCGAGTGGCCAATGCAACCTAGTCCAATTCCTGTTCTCCGATATTTCGTCGTCCGTATATTCTACCCAAACCTCTTTGAAGCTGTACTTGCATTCTTCCACTCTTTCCTCTCTCCTCCTCCTTGAGATCTATTGCCGACGGTCACTTCGGCAAACATCTAAGATGACGGCCCCCAGCAGAGTCCTTCCGCGCGTGCGGCCCTTCATCTCAGCTCGCGCGACGCCGCCTCGCTTCGCCTCCGTCTCGACCATCAAGTCGCAAACCCCCCCCACCCCCATCGAGCCTTCCCAGACCCAGGCCATGCCCGCCGGTCCTTTCTATCAGGCGATGCTCGACTACAAGCTGCCGTACGCTAAGGCGGAAGAGCCCGCCTCCACCTCAGCCGCCAAGCAACAGGCGAAACAGGCCGCTCCCGCCGCCGCCGCCGCCGAGACCAAGAAGACACGTAAGATGGAACCCCGTCCTCCCGCCGCGTCAACGCGCAGCTGAACTTTCACCCCCCGCTGAAGCGACCGAACAACAGGAGGAGGAGGAGGAGCGTCCAGCGCCTAGTCCGCCCCCGGCGACCGCCGCCGCCGAAAAAGCCGCCATCATCTTCGGATCAGCCCTCGCCGGCCCGCAATCCCGGGCCGAACGCCTCGCCGAGGCGCGGAGGAAATCGAAACTCGTCGCCGGCGTGTGGGTGCCGCCGCGTCCCGAGGAACCCGACAACTGCTGCATGAGTGGGTGCGTCAACTGTGTGTGGGATCAGTACCGGGATGACATGGAGGAGTGGTCTGCTGCCAGTGCCGAGGCCCAGGGGCGGCTGCGCGAGAGGGGGGAGCGGCGGCGGCGGCGGGGCCAGGGAGTGGCGGCGGCGGGAGGACGGGAAGAGGGCGAGAGGCGCGTCGACATGAGCATGGATGACGATGGCGGCGGGTCGGAGACGAACTGGGTGCCTCCGAAGCCCAAGACGGTGGTGGGCAAGGACATGTGGGACGAGGAGTTGTATGCTAATATCCCTGTGGGTATTCGCGAGTTCATGAAGACGGAGAAGAAGCTCAAGATGATGCATGAGCGGGAGGGGACGACAGGGGGGTGATCCTTTCCTTGTCGCTTGTCGTCTCGTATTTCGTGTGTTCCCGATCGCATGTTCCTTCCATTGATTGCGCGGAGCCTTGCGAGCGGCATACACTCGGCCTTGAATAGATTCTTGTAGATTATAGATGCATGTTTTCAGCTCTGCCGCGCTTTCATCTTCATGTGCAGGATGCAAATGTGTCGTGGTGCACAAGTCGGGTATTTTGTTCAGTGTGCGCCTCGAGAGTTCGAGACGACCTGGCGGCATTGGCCGACCCTCTGGACGTCTTTTCCACTGTAGTGTACACCCGAGTTGGACCGGCCTCGTGGCTTCCACATGATACCAATGTTGGGAACCACGGAGCGACGCAAAGGACTTTTGTCTTGTTCTCATTATTTGTGGTATCGATTCATATCCGTCGTAGATATCCATTCCGTCTACTTCTTTCTCACCCTCCATCAACTCTATTATGCCCAGTGATCAGGCATGGAAGATGCTACTCCTTTGCCCCAAGCACGATGGAAATTTTCTCTCTTTTAGATCCCCGTCTATCTAAGTGCTGCCAAACTCCCTGATGACGCCTGGCTCGTATACGGAAAGCCCGTCCTATAATCTTCTTTCTATTTCGCATTCCGACTCGCGGCCTCGGCGGCTAGCCTGTCGTGTTCGTCAATATCAACCGCCTCCCATGGGTAGTTGATCCATGCGTCGCCGAGGGTACGGGCGGCGATGTAGCGGCCCGAATCAATCATCTCTTTTGGCAGGAAACCCTTCTTTTGCTTGTCCTTGTTCTGTAGGAATCCCGAGTGTCAGTACAAGATCCACGGAGCCACGTGTGAATTGCGTCGAGGGCGACACCAAAGAGGACAGCGACGACACGGCAAGGGGGGGGGGGGGGGGGGGGGGGGGGGGGGGGGGGGGGGGGGGGGCAAGGGGAAGTGCAAAAACGTACGTGAAGGACAAAGATGCTAAACTCGGTCTTCTCGTTGGAGCCGAGGCGCTGGCGGGCGGCCTCGACGTCTTTCTCGAGCTCCTTGACGGCGTATTCGAGGGTGGTGCGCGTGTCGTCGACTTCATCCACAATGAGGACGCGCTTTCCGACAATGTTCTCCATCCCACCGAGGGCGGACATGTCGAGCCATTGGGTGCGGGTGACGCGCGTGCCGGGGACTTCGGGGACGCCCGGGGTGGCGTTGTTGGTGGTCTCGGGGAGGGACTCGTAGAGGGAGAGGCCGATGGCCTGGATGGGGATGTTGGGTCGGCCCGTCTGCCTGAGGAAGGATCGAAGGATACGGGCAGGGACGTAGCCGCCTCCGCCGATGGCGATCATCAGCTGCGGGTTGATGTCGGCGAGAATGCGCGCCGCAGACTCCTGGCAGAGCTTATGGACCTGTGGTATCCGGGTCAGCCGTGACATTCTGGTGGAAGCGAGTGCATGATGCCAAGGTCACGGGCTAGAAGGCAACGAGGGAGATGGTTACACGGGAAACGGATGGTCGCAACGGATATAGAATGGCACAGAGGTTGCACAAGACATGTGAACGACTGGGGGGTTATTCGCCGACTCACCTCATTGTAGGTAACGTAAAGCTTCTCTACTTCGGCCATGATGGAAACACTGGCAACGAGTTCGGCGAGGCTTTAGGTGGGATTTAGGCAAATGTACGGTGTGCTAGGACCGAAGAACGACAGGAGTTGAAGTTAGTGGGTGCTCCTAAGTCCAGGAAACACTAAGACAGAGAAAGGGGGGAGAGATAGAAGGGAAATAAGGAGAAGGTAGAATGGTAGAAAGAACAAGAGGGGGAAAAAAAGATCGCGAGTAGAATTACACTCCACGTCCCATTGCCTGTTGCCCCTCGGTGAAACAGAACCACCCCGCCTTTTTCCACTCCTAATTTTTTTCTTATTCCCCATTTTATTTTGCTATTTTGCCCTCAGGGTCCCAGTGCCCCTCTACCACCTTACGGATTAACGTGTACTACTCACCAACATGACATGACAGTAGTGTACAGTACCTAACATTTGTATCCGCGTAGTCCCCGTCGCTGCCGCGGAAGTGGGTGGGTACCTCTGTACGTACGTTGTACGTGTACAGTATGTACTCGTTTACCCCACGCGTGGCAAGGCGCAGCGGATTGGTTCAACCAGTGGCTTCCCGTAGCGGATCCCAACCCGGTAGGTCGTTGGGTTGGGTGAGTAACTACGTGTACTTTGTTCATAGGTACCTTAGGTAATGATTAACCTGTCGCATCAAAAATGTACCCCTTGTTAAGTCAATATGGTACTTCGTACCTAGGTACTTTACTGTGGTCGGACACACAGAAGGGTACTTCCATATAGAATTAGGTAACTGCCGCAGGGCTTGTTTTGCTCCATTCTGAGTTCTCGGCTCCCCAGATTATATAATCCGCATTATTCCTCACCCACCCTCTTCTTTTTCATCCCCTTCCATCCAGCTTCATCTCCAAACATCAAACCCATCTTTGGCCATCGCAGTTAATATCCCTGCATTCGTCCTGCCAGAAGAATCATCACCCCCACCACCATGATCGCCGAAACCCAAAATGCGACCCGCTGTAGTGCCAACCACGCCAACTTCGTCCTGCTCCCCTGGACCTGCTTCTTGAACGAAGCCGCATCATTTGCATGAGGGAACGTCGTATCCGGCACCTTCTTATCCAGAAACTTGCACAAGGGCCCCCACCCCTCACCGAGTTGACACCGAAGCAACCTCTCTTCAGGCACAAGCTTGGGGATCATGGCGTTATGCTTCGCGTACACGTCGCGCACCCTGGCCCTCAGCTCGGCCATGGAAGGGTTCAGGGTCTCCACGCCCAGCCAGCCCCCTACCACCTTCTGCACCGACTTAGTCAAGCCCGATTCGGCGACGGGCTCGATCACGTCCCGGTAGAGACACGCGGTCCGGCCGAAGATGAGATCCAGGAGGTTCTCCATCGATTTCCACCAGCTGTCGAAATCTCTCTCCACGAGGATCACCTTGGCCTCCGGATACGCCTCGATGAGCGACTTGGCGAATATACTGCCAATGTCGGTTATCCCCTCGCACGACCCGAAAATGACGTCCCATTGCTCCCTCGTCATCCCTCGCTTGTTGTACGTCGGTAGCGAGGGGAAGAGCGCGTCCGCTGCCTCGGCGAAGAAGTCCCAATCTTCCGGCCGTCGAGCCGTGTCGTCGATTAGGTGGTAGACGTTCTGGTAGCCCAGTTGCTGGAGTGCGAGGCACATCGAGTACGATCCCATGCGTGGAAGACCGAGGCTCAGCACTTTCATCGGGTGTGTGCGTGTCCCCATGCCTGGCTGATGTGGCATCGCCTCATTCTTTTCCGTCGTCGTTGGCTCGCTTCGAGTCGTCATCTTCTCCATTTTCTCCATATTGTTTCTTGCGTTCTTGCTTGATCCGAAGAGCGAGGGTGCGGAGCGGAGAAAAGTGAGTAGGTTGCCGCAAGACGTCTGAACCTCGTGTACGCTTCACAGCGTATTATATGTCAGGAACTCACTCGTTGACCCATCCCCTCGTTACGTTTTCATTTTACTCGGCCTCTCCCGGTCCGTTTATTTTCAGCGCGTCACAGCGGACGTTCTTACCACAAGTCCCCGGTAGTGCCGTTGATGCTTATCTGGGCCCCAGGCACTTTTTCGGTTGTTTCGGGTCCATGACGTCCATCTCAACGATGGCTCTGAACTTACTTTGGTGAGCGCTAAAAATTACCGTCGCCTAACGGTTGGCCAGACATTATGCGGGGATCCTACCTAGCAACAACGCGGTCCTGCACAAATGGAACTCCGACGGAGGAATGAAAACGTCTCATGGTCGGGCTGGGTTATGGCTCGAGACTTCTCGTGACCTTGAAGCAAGCGTCATGACGAAGCCCCGCTAGCCACGGAGCTTTTCGTCTCCCCACAGAGTATCTTGGAACTCTGCAAGGAACAAGAACAATTCAGTTGGCGTACCAGTATTAGGTAGGTATTGTTCTGACAGGAGGTAAGGTGTCGTTGGCCGGCTTCGCCGTCCAATCGGATTTGATGGCAATGCGACGACGGTGATGGTCCGTCTCGGAGCCGGAACCCGGCAGGCCGCAATCCTCCTGAGCGGATCGGGTCTGATCCACCGCCAGGAAGATACGATACCATCTGAGCCTCCAGGGACAGAGCGATGTCACAGGACTCCCGGAGTCTTCAGCTTCACTATTTCCGCCATCCGCCATTCCAAGATCCATCATCCCCTCGAGGGATAAGTTCAAAGGCTCGCCAGGAACTTTCCCGATACCATATACCTCCCGTCGAATCAACGAGCAAACATTGCTACCTTGTTGTACCAGGTGGCACAAGAGGCACAAAAGCCGCTCCAATCCCCAGTCCAGACATTGTTTTATATGGCTGTAAACAGCGTATCATTATGGTCCTTGAGAATGGATTACCGACGTTGAAGACAAACAAATCAACCCGGCTTTCGAGGAGGATCCGAGCAGGGAAATTGCTCTACAGGATATACTGCCTTGAGGATTTCATAAGGGGCTAATCAGAGCGGTGTCGTTAGCCTGTCCCTCACGAGAATGAAAGAAATAGGACCAGGGGGAAGCGAACGAATAAACTAGATTAGCTCGTCGAGTTAATGTCCTTCGACCTTCTGTGAAGCCTTTTCTATGCCTCTACCTTATCCAGCAAGCAAAGCCTCGCCGTCTCCGAGTGTTTTCGTGCTATTCTCTGGGCTCAGATGTATGTTTGTTGCACTCCTTGACTCAACAGTTTTGGGGGAACACCTGCAGTTGCCCTCCATCGAGTATGAACCGATGTTGGGGTCGTACGTGCAGGGATTCTTGTTATACTGCCGCATATCGTGAAGGTGTGTTTATCGGATATGGGCTTTCCTGGTTCTCCTACTCCGCTTCCTTTGAGAAACTCCTGTTGAGAGGAAGGCGCTCGCTCAAAGGCGTGGTAAAAATGACATCGTTCAGTTCCGTCTTGTTTGGAGGTTCTCCGTGATTCCGTGAACATTCAATACAAGAAATAACTTCTTTCTTCCCTTGTTCTCGATAGTTATCTTCCTCAAAGTCATCACTCTTAGAAAATTCGACTACCAATCCTTGAGAACCCTGACTACTTTCTTCATCAAAGATCCATACAAGATGCCTGAGCCAGTTCCATGCAAACATTGTCAGAATCCCAACCCTCACAGCCTGACTGGAAATTGCATGGGTTGCGGAGCTCACCCTTGGACCATTTGCAACCATCCCGACTGCGGAAGGCTTCCACCCGTCAAGCATAATCCACAGAAGTGAGTGATCCCTAATAAGCACTATCGAGGAGAGGCTAAATTTCGTGTCTGCCAGGTGAAGGCTAAGCTGTACAGCTCGCTTTCCAATGAAGCATCAACAATACCGTCGGGAATTACGGAATTATGGGATGGATCATGGAGATGGAGAAGATACCCTAGGGACTGGAACTTCGGAATTGCAGAGATATCCTCATTAGGTGATCCGCCACGGTCCACCTAGGGATGAATGGATGGATGCCCCCTGTACATTCAAGCCAAGTCCGTCCTAGTTAGGTTGAGTGTTAACGACGGCATTTCTTCTGCAGACCCAGCTAATAAGATGTCTGAGGTGATGTGATCAGTAGGTCCGAAGGTTTCCCCCCAACTCCGTTCAGGAATCAGGAGGAAACTTGTTCTGCCATGGTAAGTTGGCAACTTGAATGGAAACTCGACGACGTCCGTTACTCCGTTTGAGACATCCCACAGTGCTGCTTGAGTAGATGGTAGTCATGTTGAATACTATGTACAAAAAGAGTCCGCGAATTATAATTTATTACATTAGGGGGGAGCTGACACCGTGACTGACGCCGTGGCGAGAAGACGAAAAAAGCAATAGGTGATATTTCAAAACAAAAAAGAAATTGGGAATTGCTGGAAATTGACAGACAAGAACATAGTTCCCCAGGCCACAGCTTTCGTCGAGAGACAGCTTCCTCAAGTAATACTACATAGGGAGAGCCAGAGAACTGGTTTGCCAGTTGTACCTCGTAACGCGAAGGTAGGTCTGCGCTGGTTCGCGGTTGTTCAACAAGAACACGAGAAGGCTCGCCAAATCACGTGATGATATGGGGCCGGTCGGGTCGGGAAGCGGGATCGCCGACACGGATTACTCATCTTAACAGCGTCAAGCAATGTCATTGTTGACTCTTGAGACGTCCTCTTCATCAACGCCACTCTCATTATTTAATGAAATCACCACCGTTCTTTTCCCAAAACTGACCCGCGAAAGCGCATTGGTCCACTATCGCGATGTCACAAGCCCCCTCACCTGCAGCCTCAGTCGCAAGTGCGATTCATGACGGACGTATCCACGTTCTCCTGGCAGCGGTCCGTCCCCCTTTCCCTCCCCTCCCCCCTCCCCCCCATTTGTCCGAGATTGGGGGAGTTGTGTGACTAAGTCGTTCTGCAGAGCGGATCAATAGCTACAATCAAGCTTCCTCTGATCATTTCAGCCCTGCAACGCCACTCCAACGTCAGGATCCGCGTGATCCTCACCAAAACGGCCGCGCAGTTCCTGGCGGGGCAGTCTCCGGAGCAGCCGACAGTGGAATCGCTCGCGGCACTCCCCAACGTCGAAGGCGTCCACCAGGACGAAGACGAATGGGTCGAGTCCGGGGCAAGAGGGGCGCAGATTCTGCACATCAACCTCCGGCGATGGGCTCATATCCTGGTCATCGCGCCGCTAAGCGCCAATACGCTGGCCAAAATCGTCCACGGCATGTCGGATAACCTGTTGCTGGATACTGTGCGCTGTTGGGATACCACGGGCCTGATCGACGGGAAGAAGGCCAGGATCGTCGTGGCGCCGAGTATGAATACGGCCATGTGGTTTCACCCCATCACTGCGCAACAGATACGGGTCCTCGAAGAAGACTGGGGCGTTGGCAACGACGTCGACGACGCCGGGGATAAGGACGGTCCCGCTGGACGGGGCTGGTTTGAGGTCCTGAGGCCCATGGAAAAGAGGCTCGCCTGTAATGACGTCGGGCTGGGAGCCATGATGGAATGGTCAGAGATAGTGAAGGTCATCGAGCAGAGGTTAGGGCTCTCATAACTTATAATCCTGGGGTACTGGAACCAATTGAATAAAACAAATACATTCATAATATCCTGATATGTACTTTCAGGTTACCTCAGTGACTACCTAAGGTAGAAAGAACATGGGTGATACCATAAAAAGAAGTCCATTGACGCGTTTAATTCGCTGTGTAAGACGAGCAGTAGCAGTTGAGGGTGACTTTCTCAATGCGCACATGAGCCGTTACTAAGATTCAAACCAGACCTGCTATGAAAGAGATTGGCTCATCCCACGGATATACTGTTGCAACAGTCTGAGCCGATGCACCGCTGTGGAGGTCTGGCTTCTCCTTCGGCAGTTGGTTGGAGGAAGAGGGAGAGACGGAGAGGGGAGGTCGTGGGATGATCATCCAACTTGGGCATATCTCCGCTACTCCGGTCCTTTTTCCGTATCCATATCGGAGATGATGGTGGTGGACCGGATGACGACATCCGGAGCACTGCAGCTGGTGCCGGCTGGGCATAGATGCAGCATTCCCCCAACGGCCCCCCCTCCGTGCCGCGTCAGCACATGGATAGTACTTGAATTGGGAATCCCCTCCCTCTCTTATATCCTACGTCCTATGTCCTTTAGGGCCTAACTCCGGCGTCGGAATCCCTAGGATATAAAGAAAACCGTGATGCCTGGTGGTTCAGTCTGTTCTTCGTCATATCATCTCATATAGCAATTAAGCAATACCATTACCGTCAAACATGCCCCTCTTCAAAGTCGCACCGCCACCCCCCACGGAGCTTGGACGGCTCCGCGTCCTCTCATCGACGGCGGGGATCCGGGTTTCCCCGCTCGCCCTAGGCGCCATGTCCGTCGGGCAAGCCTGGTCCTCGGCCATGGGAAGCATGACGAAGGAGGCCTCGTTCGAGCTGCTCGACACCTTCGTCGCCGCAGGCGGTAACCTCATCGACACGTCCAACAACTACCAGAACGAGGAGTCGGAGACCTGGATAGGGGAGTGGTCGGCCGCGCGCGGGAACCGCGACCGGCTCGTCATCGCCACCAAGTACACGTCGGACTACCGGTCGCACGAGGTGGGCCAGGGCACGCAGGCGGCCAACGCGAGCGGCAACCACCGGCGCAGCCTGCACACCAGCGTGCGCGCCAGCCTGAAGAAGCTGCAGACCGACTACATCGACATCCTCTTCGTGCACTACTGGGACTACACCACGTCGATCAAGGAGATGATGGACGCGCTCCACATGCTCGTGCAGCAGGGCAAGGTCCTCTACCTGGGCGCCTCCGACGCGCCGGCCTGGGTCGTCTCGGCGGCGAACACGTACGCCAACGCCCACGGGAAGACGCCCTTCAGCGTGTACCAGGGCAGGTGGAGCATCATGCACCGCGATTTCGAGAGGGAGATCCTGCCCATGGCGCGCTCGTTCGGGCTGGCTCTGATGCCGTGGGACGTGCTGGGCGGCGGGAAGTTCCAGTCGCGCGAGGCCGTCGAGGAGCGCAAGGCCCGCGGGGAGGGCCTACGCGCTCTCATCGGCGACGGGGACCAGACAGAGGAAGAAGTGCGCATGAGCGAGGCGCTCGCCAAGGTGGCGGCCGAGTTGGGCACCAAGAGCGTCACGGGCGTGGCGCTGGCGTACGTCCGTCACAAGGCTGGGCATGTCGTCCCCATCGTGGGCGGCAGGAAGGTCGAGCACCTGAAGGACAACATTGCGGCCTTGAGCCTCCGGCTCTCGGACGAGCAGATCGCGTTCCTGGAGAGCGTGAGGCCGTTCGATTCGGGCTTCCCGAGCAATTTCCTCGGCGAGGATCCCAACGTCACTGGTCAGTCGGTCCGGCTGAGACTGACGTCGACGCTTGTCTTCCCGGGGGCTCGGAGAGAGACGAGCGTGTAGGGAAAGTGAGAGGATGAAGTGGCGCGACACTGTGATGTCTTTCTCTCTCCCGTATCAACGTGGTAACGAGAGACGTGTGATAATTATAGCGATCGATCATCAGGAAGAAGGAGGCTCGGTAGAACCCCAGAGTTAGTAATGAAACCAAATGGCTGGTTCGCTGTGAGACGACGGCATGGCCGGTATTTAAAGGGTTAGTAGATCTCTCGAGATTGTGTACGAAGATGTACGAAGACATGGCAACGCGTTGCCATATCTGTCGAGTTCACGGATGTAGTAGGGAAGAAAGGGAGATGGGGCAGAAGGTAGAGCAAATAAAACGCAAGGGGGAGAAGAGAGACCAAAAAAAAAGAAGAAAAAGAAAAAAAGAGACAAAAGATACATTAACCTTGCAAAATGGAGAGAGAAATAAACAAAAAAAAGAATGACCGACGCAGGACTCGAACCTGCAGCCTCCTGATGGACTATTCATGACTCATTCGAAACCACGATTCGTAGTCAGACGCTCTACCGATTGAGCCAGCCGGCCCCATTTATTGTTTGTGTGAGAGGAACAATAAGCACATGAGGCTAGGCCCCTTCCCCACCTAGACTCACCAGCCCATGATGAATTTCAGCGTCTCACAGAAAGATGACGACTCATAAAGGGCCCGGGTGGACTCGTCAGAGTGCCTGGATAGAAACTGTTACGGGTGTCTTGCGTGACATCTTTTGACATCCAGAAACGCATGTAATCATTTATTTGGTGAGACAAATTTGGAGATGAGGGTGAACTGAACGGTTGTCACTTGTGATGTGAAGGGCCGTTTATGATGGGCAGCCCGCAGTAATATTTCAAAGCCGAGTGTCAACCCCATTCCTCGCTCCGCCGTCACGGCAGCTTTAATTCTGGAACAGGCAGTGCTGCTTATCTCCCGGCCACTCTTCTACAGCAATGTTGAGTCAGGAAGAGAGAGCAGCCATGGAGCCGTGTGTACAGAGAAAAATGTCCGAATCTAAAGGAAGGCGCATTGTCGACTGGGATCCAACCGCAGCCAGATAGCGGTTGCCTAAACTCTTGTTTGATTAAGAATGAGAGCTGGCACATCCGCGGAAGGGAATGATTTCAATCATGAGCTAAAAACTAAGGAGCTCACATCGTTCAAGAACAGTTCTGTGGGGTGAGGACTTGGCTGCCGGGATATCGTTTCCCCGAAGAGCCAATGAAAGTGTATCGTGGTGGGTACTCCGTATCCGTATCTATTTTGCCTGAGGGTCTCGTACCTTTTTTTTTTTTCTTTTTTTTTTTTAACCTTCACGCTGTATTCAGCGGGCGCTTAAAGCATTTGTCTGCCCCTCCCACGAGACTGACTGATCGTCCTTTCTCTTCTTGTGCTCACGATGCCCAAGCCTGCTTCGGAAGGCGAGTGGGGATCACAGCGACTCGCCGCTTCTGAAAACAGCGACTTTACCCGCCTGCACATCACGCCTTTCGACTCGGAACTTCTCCCCGTCGTCGTCCCGGCGAAGGTCCTCCCCGAAGCCCGCGGTATCTCCTACCACACGATTGAGACTTTCCCGGAGAAGCGCTACGGCTACATCGAACTCCCCGCAGTAGAAGCTGACAAGCTGAGAAAGAAGCTCAACGGTTCCGTCTTGAAGGGAGTCAAGATGCGCATCGAGAAGGCCCGTCCGCAGCCTACGGCTGAGCCTGAAGTCGAGGTCGAAGAGAATTCAGGCAAGAAGCGCAAGAAGAAGTCAAAGAACGACTCAGTGGAGGGCTCCAAAAAGAGGAAGATCGACCACAATGTCGTGCCAGGCGTCCAAATCGAAGGCCGGAAAGTCAAGCGAGGATGGACCGTTTCGGACGAGGACAAGATTAAAGAGAAGCGGAGCAGGAAGCTTAAGGACAAGGACAAGGACAAGGACAAGGATCAACATACAAAGGAGAAGGACAAGAAAGACAAGAAAAAGAAGAAGCGAGACCAGAGATCGAAGTACACGGAGAAGGAGGAGTGTTTGCTGAAAACGAAGCTTCCGCATCCCACCGCCACCGCGGCGGAGCCCGAGGAGAGTCCCGATCGCAAGGAGCGCAAGAAGAGCAAGTCACGGTCACGAGAAACAATCCTCCACGAGTTTGCCAACACGACCAGGTTTCCCACGTTCCTCAAGACGACCCAACCTTCTACGACGAGCGTGGAGGCGACCGAATTCGTGGAGGGCAAGGGCTGGGTAGATGCTGAAGGCAACGTCGTCGAGGCCGTGAAGACGCGAGGGAAAGAGGAAGAGAAGCCTCGGAAGAATGCCTCGCCGAACCCAGCAGTTGGTGACGATACATCGAGCAGCAGCGACACTTCGTCAGAGGAAGACGAACCGGCGCCCAAGGCTGTGAAGAGCAAAGCTGATAAGGCCTTGCTCACCGCACAACAAGAGGATGAATCGGACGCCGACGAAGATGAAGAGACGACGAAGATGTCGCAGACAGCGAAGACGTCGAAGCCCACAACGTCGGCCCTCAACCAGAGACAGTCACAGCCAATAGACGATGATACGACGAGCAGCAGTGGCACCTCCTCAGAAGACGAAGATACCGACGACGAAGAGGAAGATGAAGCGCGCGCGGCGAAAGACTCAGCGCCCGAATCCGGGAAAATCACCCCCTCTCGCCCCAACGAAAAAGTCAACCTCACCATCAAGGTTCCGCCTGTTGAAGTCCACCCCCTCGAAGCACTGTACAAGCGCAAAAACACGGGCGATGGCGGCACCAGGGCATCCAACGATGCAGCCACCACCCCCGAGCCGTTCAGCTTCTTCGGCGGCGGCGACATCGAAGACGATTTGGAAGATGCCGACGGCGGACAGGGCGAAAGAGGAGGCCAGATCCCCATGACCCCCTACACGCAGAGGGAATTCGAATGGCGCAATGTTAGGAGCGCTGCGCCTACGCCTGACACTGCCCACCCTTCGCGGGTGAGGAATTTCTGGGCCTCAAATGGGGAAGAAGAGGACGACGAGCGATACGACGATGTGCTGCATCGCGGAGACGAGACCATGGCGGATGCGGACGTAGGTGAGGGAGAGGGATCGGCCGGACCGGGGCCGGGCGGTGACTTTCAGAAGTGGTTTTGGGACAATCGCCGGGATCTTAACCGGTCTTGGATGCAGCGGCGGAAGACGGCGACCAAGGAGAAACGCCATCGGGACAATAAATCGAGGGCGGCGAGGGGGGTGTAGGTGGTTTTTGACGTACATAACACGTATACGTACATACTTACAGCAATAATACGTCCCTGTGACTTTTCTTCCCTTTCTAAATATAGTGTAACGACTAGAGTATATGAATTCCTGTGGCCAAAATTTGATTTCCCTGCTCGTCACCTCGAGCAATCTGATGGAGAGAGAGGTGTGAAGAAGAGACAAGGGTGTAACAGAAAAAAGGCCAAAAAAAGCAAAAGAGAACTGGACGAATTGGGAATTGAACCCAAGGCCTCCCGCATGCGAAGCGGGCGCTCTACCCCTGAGCTATACGCCCTTGTTCTTGTTTCGTGTTGGTTTAAAGTGCCCTATGTGGCTAGCTCCCACGTGGGGTACGTCAACTGCCAGGATTCAGTCGCAATAAGAGGCAGGTTAAATTCAGGGTTTGTGTCAAAGGCAGTGAGAGGAAAAGAAATATATCGAGCAATTATTTGACTGAGGTGCCACGCAAACCAAGACCCACCAGGCACTTCTCCATTTCAACAGGGCGTGAGCGGAAGGATGGACACCCGTTTGCCCCCGAATAACAAGCCTCATGCTATCTATCTACAATTACATCTTCTCTATCGTGGTATTCATACATTAGGAGAAAGGAGATCGTACTTGACGCATCGCTCAACCTGTTCATCTTATTAGCATGGGTGTTTCTTTCCGTGGGGGTGTTCATCGAAGGAGTAACACTTACATCTTCAATGCTCGCTTGGAGGAACCTCCTCGTCTCCAGCCCCATCCAGACGTATAACATGGAAAAGTCGCCCTGCTTCGCCATCTGGGCACCGGACTGGGCACTGAGCTGACGCAGGATGGGTAGCGAACTGCTGAGGAGATCCATCCCCGGGTCGAGGGTCCGGCCGATCCCCTCAAGGAGCAGGATGCTGATGACCACGTTGACAAAATCGCCCTCCATACGGACATGGTGCCCGCGCACCATGCCCAGCACGCGCTGCAGGATGTCGCCGATGCGGATGTTCCCGAGCGCCAGCGTGCGGCTCTTGACCCCGAGGACGAGGTGCTGCATTTTGAGCGCAAACACTTCCTTGTCGATCACCGACTCGGGCTGGCGCGACCGCTCGCACATGAGGATGCCGGCCTTGTAGCCGTCAAACTCGGCCACCGCGCGGAAGAGGTCGAGGAAGTTGGTGCGGTTCGAGGCGTTCAGCTCCGTCACGAGACCCGTGTCGATGAAGACGAGCTGGGGACGGTACCCCTCGGCGTCGATCTTGGCGAGCTCCGCCTTCCAGGCGTCCGGGTCCTTGCGATGCCGGTAAGGCCGCAGGCGCGCGAGAACGTGTTCCGTGACGTCTTGGCCATCCTGGCCAGGGTAATCCCCGGTGTGGATGCCTTCCCCCTGGTGCCACGGCGAGGACCGGATGCTGAGGCTGGGCTGCTCGGCCTGGTAGAACCGCACCATGATGTTGCCCGGGTGCAGGTCGGCGTGGACAAAGTTGTCCATGAGAAGCATCCGCAGGAAGGCATCCAGCCCTTCCTGCGCAATGTCGTGCTGGAAGACGCCGCCGCCGTTCTCCATAAAATCGGACAGCGGGATGCCCTGCGCGTACTCTTCGACCAACACGTTCCGGGTGGTGAAGTCGGTATAGGGATAGGGGAACCAGGCCGTGCTGCGGCCGCGGAAGTTCCTGCGGAAGGTGGCGAGGTTCGCCGCCTCGATACGCAAGTCGAGTTGCAGCTTCATCATCTCGCCGAACTGGGCTACCTCGTCGGGCAGCGAAAGCCACTCCATGGTAGGGATGGCGTTGATGACCGACGCGAAGAAGTGCATGATGCGGAGGTCTCGTCGGACGATTCGGTCCACGCGCGGGTGTAACACCTTGACCGCGACGTACGATGAAGGGATGTGCTTCGGGGTGCTCTTCAATGCCGTTCCGACATTGCGGGCAACTTTGCGTCGAAGTGGAATTGGTTCTTCCTCCCGGCTCAGCTCGGCATCGCTTGCAGCGGCAAGCTGTGGTTTTAGCTTGGCCTTGTACACCTGTGCAATGGCGCCGACGCCGAGGGGCGTCTCGTCAAACTCTTGGAAGACTTCTTCCAGGCTCCGGCCATGGAAGGCTTCGGATATGGTCCGTCGCGTATCATGCATCGAGTGCGCGGGGGCGTTGGAGTGGAGTTTGGACATGATGTCGCACATTTCGTTCGGGAAGATGTCGGATCGCGACGCCGCCCATTGTCCTAGCTGCTTGCTTGTCAGTGTCTTTGGCGAAGGGAAGGTCGAGCCACGGAAGAGAAGGGGGGAGAAAAAGAGGATTGAGAACGGGTCTTGCGCACCTTGATGAATGCCGGCCCAGCCCATTCCATCGCCTGGACCAAGAAGCCATACCACCACAAGGTCCCACTCCTCTCGTTATCTCGATCGGGCTGTCGAGGGCCAAACCAGATAGCTGGGACGGCGACAATGACAGGCACGAAGATGCCGACGAGGTGTAGAAATCGCAGGGCGGTGCAGAAAGGCTCGACGATGTAGCGATCTACCACGATAACAAGACCGTGCCACAGCTTCGAGAGAACCCCATCATCGTGCCTAATCGTCTTGTGCATCTCGGCCCTGCTCGCCTCGAGCATGCGACGCTCGCCAGTCTTGTCTGTTCCCCCATTATCCGCCTGGGCAAGTTCGAAGAAGGCCGCGGTGCCCAAAGCAGCTGCGCCCCCGGCTCGCAAGTGTATTCGCCGCGAAGAGCGGTATGCCCGCCATGTGGAATTCCGGCCAGCTATATTGCGTGAAGTCGACCACCAGCGTCCTGCGTTTGGCTGGGAGACAAACGCCCTGTGAAGAGACGAGATCGGTATGGAAGGGCGGACGCCGGGTCGGGGACAGAACTGGCCGAACACAAAGGCCAGCCTCATATCGATGGGATGACGGAGAAAAAAGTGTGAATGAAAGTGTTCATGTTCTCGGAGTTGAGTCTGAGCGACACAGGGGCGACATCGTCAGGCCTGGGGGTCGCGATGATCATCTAGAACACCCAGGGGTTTGTGTTGGTGACGTATGACCTTTACCCCGTCCCGGCTCTTTGCAGAGGTAAGTCCGCTGTCAGATGCCTACAGCCACCTTATCGGGGCGTGACTTGCGCCATTTCTGTAGACGGATAGGGTACTTCCGACCGATGTATCCACATCAATTTCCCCTCCTTTTACTTTATAGTTAGATATTTCCGCAGAGTATCTTTTACTCTTTTTTAATACACATATATATCTTTTACGTACCTTATTTATATGCTGATAGTTATAAGCCCGGCGTTCTAATAAACGAAGCTATTCCGATAGATCCTATAGCTTTAAGGTAGTTAAAATAGCCTTAAGTCTATAGCGGTTAGCTTAGTATTATTAGCTACGTCTGCCTACTTTATTTTAACTGTTATTCCGTTATTCCCTCTTATTCAAATCGCTTAACTCGCTTAAGTCCTATATCGTTCTATCGCTCCTTATTTAATCGGTCTGTTATAGTCGGTTTCGATAGTTTATTTCCCTGTAGTCCTAGTTAGTTAGACGATGGCCTTAACTGCGGTGTTACCTACGATAGGCTATACGATCCTTACCTTACTAAAAGAGTGGCGTTATTGGATCGAGGCTATTATGCAGATAGCCTACGCTAACCAGGTCTCTGACCTTGTTAATCCAGACCTTAAGAAATCTAAACGTCCTTATAAGCTCGAATCCTCGGAACCTCCAGAGCTAGAAGAAGGTGATAAAGATAATGCCTAGGATCGTAAGTTTAAGCTATAGAACGTAAAAGAGAATAAATATTAGTAATAGTAACGTGGTCTAGCTGCTCTTTATGACTATATCGCAAAGATAGTTAATCCTAACCTTAAAGATTAGTACGCGCGGAAGAAGGAGGTTAAAGATATTCTGATCGTCTTAAAGAACTATCTTAAACCTACTAACGCTGCCTAGAAGTCCCTAGTTAAGAAGAGATAGGAAGAATATATATAAAATATACGGAGGATACCCTATAAGCGTTAGCTTCAGGACTTTATATCGCTATGCCGAGATTCGAAGACCTATAGCATTAGATCTTCTAATACCATAGAGGATTAACTCGACGCGTTTTTTAGGGCTATCGGTACTATAGCTTTAGAGTAGTTAGAGGCGTGTTTTATAGAGATTTTAAGGGAAGATAAGGAAGATAAACCTACTATCGAAAAGGTTATAAACGAATATACGGTTTAGTTACACTATAGGTATCCCTATAGGCTTAATAAGAAGCCTATAGCGTTATCGTTTTATACGACGACGTTCCTAGGAAAGGATAAAGATAGTAGATAGTAGCCTATTAATTAGAAAGGTTAGTAATAATAGAGAAAAGAGGATTCTTCGGTAAGGGAATTTATCTACGATTACGTTAAGATAGGAAGAGCTAAACGCTATTACTACCCGTGGAGTGGCTGCCCGAACGTTAATCCGACGCACCGCTAAAAGGGCTTTACGCCTATAAAGGAGGTAGTAGAACGCTACGACCGCGTTATTAAGAGCTAGAGTGCTTCTAAGCAAAAGAAGTTCAGGGAGTATATTAAAACGGATATCGATAAGGCTAAAAATAAGGTAAAAGAGTCTAAAGCTAAGTTACTAGAGAAAGATTAGTCTAAGGAAGTATCTAATTTCGTTAATAATAGGGAAGAGGGTTCTGATAATAGCTTTTACGATATATATTTTGCCTTTAATTTCGTGGGAAAAGAGGTGGTATCGTCGACCTCGCTGTTGATTTTCTCGCTCTTATAGACTAAATAGGTGGTTAGTAACGACCTGTTTAATTAGTTATTAATCGATTCGGGGTCCCTAAGGTATATAACTAATTAACGCCACCTGCTCGAGGACTTCTAGCCTGCTACCACTATTAGTAGATTTTAGATAGGTGGCGGCACCTCTAATCTAGTAAAGGGGTACGGTACCCTGTGTTTTTAGGTTAAAGATATAAAAGGACGTCCTTATACTCTTATGCTAAAGAACGTGGCGTTTATAGATGGATACCCTATAATGCTGCTAGTAATGCGTAGGTTATAAAAGGATTAGAACGCTGTTTTTATGACCGGCAGATATATCTTAGTAATAGACCGACGTACCTACCTGCCGTTAATTAACGTCAACGGCTAATATACCCTTAAACTGACTAAGGGCACGCTATAATGCTTATAGCCGTAGAGCTATTTCAATAGCTTAAGGGAACTAAAGCCTATAAGCGTGGCCGACGCCCGTTTATAGTATAAGAGGCTAGGGCATACTAACTCTTAAGCACTGGCATAGCTGTTAAAAGGGTGCGTAGAAGGCATCGTGGCTTTAAAGGAAGAGCGGCACCTTTAGTGGTGGACTGCGAAGCTTACGCTATTAGTAAGGTAAAAAGGATAGTATCGCGACGTCCACCTGCCTATAGGCTAATAAGGCCTTTTTAGAGGATTAACATGGATCTGTTTTTAATAGATCCTGTTGCTAACGGCGCCGATACTATTACCCTGTTCTATGATCCCTGTATATATAAAAACGTGACTAGAACGGTGCCAGAGTATAAATATATACTATCCTCGATAGCTAACGTCGAACTCTTCTTATAGAGACAGTATAGGCTGCTTATTAGTGTGATTAGACTCGACGGAGAGAGGGCGCTATAAAAGAAGCTGGATAACTAGTCTTTAGATCGTGGTATTCTGCTAGAAAGATCGGCTCCTTATATAGCCGTATAGAACGCTAACGCCGAATAGTATAGGGGTATTATCTTCGCTATCGCGAGGGTATTAGTAGATGCCTTAGGCTTCTAATAGGATCTGTGGCCAGAGATTGTTATAGTAGCTACTTATCTGTATAACAGGATTCTACGCAGGGATCTAGGCTAGTAAACCCCAGAGGGAGCGTTAAACGCATGGCTATAAAAGGAGGGTATCGTTAGCTTTATAACTACTAATCCCTTAATTACGCACTTAAAGAGGTATAGTTATAAGGCATACGCGTTAACTGCTGACTACCTGCGAGGAAGGTATAGAAACGAAAAGCTCGCGCCGAGGGTATATATCGGTTATTTAATCGGTTACGAAGGTACTAATATTTTTCGGATTTTGGTTCCTCAATTAGAGGATAGGATCCTGCGCACGAGGGACGTTATCTTTAATGAGTTAGTCCTTTATAAAAATAGGGGGAAAGAGCCTAACGTGCCTGTGTCTGTGCAGCTTTTCGATGACCTTAATCTGCCGTTGGACTAGGGCATTTAAGACCCTTTTGGCGTTGTAATAGATATCGTCGATTTCGGTATGCCTGTGGTAACGTAGTAGAACTCCACAATAGAGGCTTTGTAAGAGGGAAGGAGGCGTTAATAATAGCCTTAATCGTTAAGATCTAGGGGGGTGGCCGGCGGTGGTGGTAAAGGATTAAAAACCACTACTAAGGTAAAAACCACCGAAAACGCCTCTGAAAACTAATAGGTTACTGACTAAGAGGTATTACGTGGAACGGCTGCTATGGCTGCGGTAGGCACGGTTCCTACTATTGTGCCTGCCGTTATTCCTGCCGTTGGTTCTTCCTCTTTAACTGCTGTTTTACCACCCTTTTTAAGAATAGCACTAATTTTGCCCTCTTTAATAACCTCTTTTTTAAGACCTGTTTATATACCCTTTTCGCTACCTTCTAACGATCCTGTAATTGAACGTAGCGATTAAGAGGAATCTGACGATACTAGCGGATTTTCCTCTACCTTAGAAGAGGCTATAGGAGAGGCCACCGACGATACCGTCGGAATAGGATTATTGTCGCCTGACTAATCCGTTCTTAAAGAGGCTACTGCCACTGCTACTGCCGCTGCTCCTTAAATAACTAATCTATAAGCAGTAACCCTATCTTTAGTAGCTGAGTCTAATCCCACTATTACTGCTACTGTTACGGCCTAATAACTGACCTCTTGTTTGCCTGCTTTAGCTTCAACGGCTGCCCCCGTAGGGAGGCCTGCTCGTAATCGCCGACTTTCCTCTAGGTACGACGATTACGTCTCCTACTATAATAACACCTTCGAGAAGCCGAAAAAGCCGCTATTATACCGCGAGATGCCTAAGGAACCGTTGAATTGGTCTTAGATGCTGAAGAGCCTATATAAGCTGTAATGGCTTAGGGCAGCCGTATAAGAGGTGGATATACTTAGGTTAATGGGCACCTTTGAAGCAGTAAAGCTGCCTTAGCGTGGGCAACGTACCTTAGACCTTAAATAGATCTTTAAGTATAAGGTTAACCCGTCGGGGTACGTTAGTAAGTTTAAGGCGAGATTATGCGTGCGAGGAGATTAATAGCCTAAAAACCACCTTAACGCCTACGTCTCTACCCTCGTAGGAAGGACCTTTAGGTCGTTAATGGCTATTACTGCCTATTTTGACCTGGAAACACGTTAGCTTAATGCCGTTAATGCGTTCACTAACGCTACCCTTGACGAAGAGATTTACGTTAAGGATCCGCCCGGCTGGCCGCTGCTTTAAGCAGTAATAGGCACGAAGAGCGACGAGGACCTCGAGGCTATTTTGAAGCTATCGCGGCCACCCTCGCGCGGCACACAATGCCCACGTAGGACGTTATATGGCCTACGTCGCTCCCCTAAGCTGTGGTATGAATAGCTCTCTTCCGTTTTAGGAATATTAATCTGCTGCTAATTCTCTTATATAATGGATGCAGCAGCACTTTTAAGTGAGGGATCTTGGCCCACTTAAGTGGTTCCTGGGGATTAGAGTGGTTCGCGACCGCTAATAACGTCGGCTGTGGCTTTCCCTCGAGAACTATATCACCAAAAAGATTAAGGCGTTATAGGTGGATCGTGGTGGGCGTAGGGTTAAAAGCCCTCTTCCTTTTCCTAACGTTTTGGAACTATCTGCTGCCGACTAATAAGCCTCTGCAGAGTTAATCCATCTATATCTGCGGAAGGTCGGTTCTATTAATTACGCGGCCTGTTAGACCCGGCCTGACGTATCTAAAGCTGCTTCGAGGCTTGCCGAATTCAACACTAACCCGTTAAAACAGTATCACGATGCCGTAGACAGGTGTTTAAAGTACCTCGCCTTAACTAAGTCCCTATGCCTTTACTTTAGACTACGCGATAACCACCTATAGCACGCACTTTATTATACTTTAGACGCGGCGTTTAGAGATGACCGTGAGACGCGGTATAGCTCCTAGGGCTATACTATACTGTTATTCGGGGGTCCTGTGGACTAGAAGGCAAATAAGTAAACGAGCGTCGTGACCTCTAGTACTAAAGCCGAGCTTATAGTACTTTCTGCTACTACTAGGCAGTATATCGCGATTAGGCGTTTAATTAAGGACCTGACCTTAACCTTTAAAAACGAGCCTTTAACGATATACTACGATAACGATTAAACGAGGATTTTGCTAGAGGCACTACGCCCTTAGGTCACCTCTAGATTGAAGTATCTAGATATCCACGCCCTTTGGATCCGATAGGTCGTGTAATAGAAGAAGGTCCTAATCGCCTGGATCTTAACCTAAGAGATAGTCAGCGATGGGCTGACTAAAGTACTTCCCCCGCAGAAACATAAGGCGTTTATATATCTGTTGGGGATAGAGGTCCTAAGCTAGGGGGCTTGAGGTAATTTATAAGAGGCGCGGTGCTGAGTTTAAAATCTGTAGCCTAGATTGACCGTTTTTGGTGCCCTTTAGATTGTTATTTGGGCATCTGTTTTTACACGTTTTTGACGTTTTTGGGCATAAAAAGAGCACGCTTTTTAATAAGCCGTTCTTTAATCGTTGGATTGATATCTAGGCCTCTATTTTACCCTAGATTTACGGCTTTAATTGAGTAGAACAGTCAGGATTAATCCTGTAGTTCTGGAGAGGTGTGTTAGATGCCTATAGCCACCTTATCGGGGCGTGACTTGCGCTATTTCTGTAGACGGATGGGGTACTTTCGACCGATGTATCCATATTAATTTCCCCTCCTTTTCCTTTATAGTTAGATATTTCCGTAGAGTATCTTTTACTCTTTTTTAATGTATACATATATCTTTTGCGTACCTTATTTGTGTGCTGATATCCGCGATGAAACGAAATTCGGTATAAGACGATTGAGTCACGTGCCTTATTCAATATAACAGGATTCTCCAATTTCTCCGGAGACATATTCGTTGATACGGTGCGAATCACGCGTCGGCCGGGCTCTGTCGTGTGATCGGCACTGTCCGGGTCCGAAATCCGGAAAAAAAAAATACGCAAACCATCTCCCACATGTGATAGACCCTCTTTTCATACAAGTGCGCAGGCCACATGTGAAAGCAGAAGAACGTGGGGCAAGTTCGTCATCGAATCGAGAATCTTTGTCCCATCGTTCTTGGTCTCGATGTGCCCATTGTCCAATGCAACAACAGGCGCCATTTCTACGCGTTGGCTGGACGCCTGCATAGCTTCGCATGCCTTTCCTTTCATGCCCTCGCGGTCGTCCTTATAAAGAGAAGGTAATTACCATCATGTTACTCCGTAGATCTCGGGGAAGAGGTTTGTAATCATCTCCGTACTTCAAAGAATTCAACGACCCCTGCTCAGTCTGCCGTAGTGGGACCATCACAAGCCAGCTTCCTGATCTGAAAGGATCATCTTCGCCAAGTACCGAGGCTTGACATCCTCAACAATCGTCACCTACGTGGCTGAACCAGCTCAACGTTTTGGTCAATGCTGGGTCCGTATTCGATCAGTGTCCTTTCGTGACGTTCTTCATGGTCTATAAACCGTCAAATGACCTCAAATCGATTTGCTTGCTGAGGCTTCAAGAACTTGATGCTATTTCAGTGATCATGGGTCGAACAACAATGGCTGGTAGCAACGCAGTTGCTCTCGTGCCCTTATCGCGCCTTTCAACGACAAGGTCGTTCATGATGCGCGCCGTTTGGAAGAGTCTGGCGCGGTACGGCGCAGTCGTGCCCCTCATCCTGAACCTCAGGACACTAGCATTGGCATTCGCGCTACTCAACCTGAAGAGCCTACATTTCATGTGGATTGTATGTTTTCTCCAATTGTTCAGTCCGACAGACGCCCCCTTTGCTGCTCACGTCTTTGGTTCTCTTTCGTCTTTCGTTCATTTCACCCCATGACTAACATAATGCGCGAAATCGCAATCCCGACTGTAGATCCGTTTCTTCCGCGCCTTTGTCCGCCGCATGACCGACCCGGCCACGAGCAAGCACCTCTCCCCGCGGTGTCTCTTCCTCCCCGCCATCAACGCCACGCGTTCCCCCGCCTTGGAATGCGACCACAACATGCACAAGTCCAACTCGACCTACTTCACCGACATGGACATGAGCCGAATCAACTTTGGTACCCTCTTCTTCGGCAAGCCCTTCAACCCGTTCCCCGGCCCGACGAATTTCAACATTGCCCTGGGCGGTTCGGCGTGCACCTGGCGCAAGGAGATCAAGCCGTACCAGGCGTACGAGCTGTGGACGCGGATCATCTCCTGGGATGAGAAGTGGCTCTATGTCGTGACGCATTTCGTCGAGTCCGGCGTGTTCGTGCCGGAGGAGTACGTCATGCAGCCGGGAAGGACTAGGAGGAGAAGCGCGAAGAAGGATGGACAGAAGGAGGACGTGGACAAGCTGAAGACGGTGTACGCGTCGTGTGTTTCACGGTACGTGTTCAAGAACAACAGACGGACACTTCCGCCTGAGGAGGTCTTGCGCCGCGTCGGTTTGCTGCCGCAGGATGAGACCGAGCTGGCGGCCGTCGAAAAAATACGACTCGAAGCACTGCCTATCGGACGCCTCGAGACTGGGTGGGATTCGGTTCATTCAGCTTTTGAACCAGGGAAGACTGCCGTGGGGTGGTACAATAGTGCATATTGAGCGACCACGGATTTTTTTTCTTTTCGCGTCTCAATCACCTGTAATTAAACCGTTTATCATAGAATAGATGTACCTAGTAACCTAGATGTCTTAGGCCGTCTAAATGCATGGAAGTGGTGTTCGGCCGACGCTCCGGCCCTCTCGTTCCTGGCGTGGTACCTTAGTGTCGGAGTACTCCCATAAGGTAGTGATGTCGGGGCTATTAATGGGTCACTGAGGTCAAACTTTGTAGGGAAATCAACGCTTTTTAAGATAGGTACGAATATTGAGCATGGAAAATGAACGAGGATGAGTAATCACAAGCTGAAACGGCGTGGCCCATGCGTTCCTCGGCTTAAAGGGGTATCTGGCTGTATCTTTCGTACCCACAGGACAATCGGCCGACGCGCTGGGCTCTTGATCACTCGCAGTCCCACGTCAAAGCATCACGAGTTGAAGCACCCAACAAAATAATGGCTCGAACCCCAGAAACCGTCCCGTTTTCCACGGCGTCGCAGGTCACACCAGTCGGTCGCAACGTATACAGGGCCTTCCTGGAGCCGACATATTGTGTCGGGGCAGGTCAGTTCTCAATTTCTCATATGCATTCTCAGCTTACACTCACCTGTGAGATATGCCCCTCAGAGAACGTCCTGTGTTGACAATGACACCCCTCCAGTCCCCAACGGCGGTTATGTCGCGTCCACCATCGTAAGAGCCGTCTCGGACTATCTAGGCCCGAGGGGACACCCGGACACGGTAGCGGCCCACTTCGAGTTCATCGACCGCACAGATGTAGGGCCCGTCATTATCGAGGTCACCGACATCAAGAGCGGCCGGTCCATTTCAGTGGTCCATGTGACGCTGTACCAGGGCAGCTTGTCACCCGAAGCACCATTCTTCGCCTCGAGCTCCCGGAAGCCCGTCCTGGCGTACGTCACCAACATGGCCATCCGGCTCGAGCAGGGCCTCTCGCTGTCCACGGGCTGGGAGATGCAGCCACCGGCGGCCCCCGTGGACTTTGACAAGCTCAGAGCCGGGAAAGACCCGCGCTGGACGCAGCGGTCGCGGCTCGCCACGGGAAGTTCGTCGGGCGCGATGCGGGACTTTTCCCGAGCCAGCCTGCAGTTCCAGTACTACTTCCCGTCCGAACCCGGTCGCCGCGGGGAGGAAGACGTCTGGCTGCGCTTCGCGTCGGGCGAGAACTTTACGGACACGGCCATCCCCCTCGTCGCCGATGCGCTGCCGTACATCATCGAGGCGTGGCGGCCGCACGAGGACGAGAAGCAGACGCCGTTCAGGACGGCGGAGATGTGGTGGTATCCTACCTTGTCTTTCTCCCTTGATGTCAAGAAGGCGCTGCCGGGGGAAGGAAGCGAGTGGCTTTTCATGCGATGTTTTACAAGGTCGATCAAGAATGGGAGGTTAGACTTGCAGTCGATCATTTTGGATCAGCATGGCGAGTTGGTCGCTCTGGCACATCACGTTAATTTGGTCGTGCCAGCGTCGCGGAATCTGCAGAAACGAAAGACGATAGGCAACAAGTTGTAGTAATTGTAGCGCAACGGCGAGGTTCGGTGGTATAAGACACTGATTTCTTGTCTCTGGTTGGCGTGTTGACTTCCTATATCAACCCATGCGCTGAGTCGATCTTTTTAAGTTGGATGATTACTAATTATGGCGGCGAAGGCCATCATGCTATTGCTATTGGACAGACAGGACCTCCTCGAACGTGAAGTGGACCAACTTGACTGTATTTAGCCTGACGCCAATTCACGTGACTACATATCGTTATCGATAAAAGCCGAAAAAGTCAAAGAAAAATGTCCGGAAGTTTTCGGCGTCATTTCTTGACTTATTAGGTAATAAGTGATGATATCAAAGATATCAACCAGGGCCAACTTTCTTTCCATATACAACCTTCTTTCTGCTAATTTTCTCGCGCCCGACCTTGACACACAGCCAATACTATCGCACCATTTCTATTCCACAAATCGTCAACAACACACGGCATCCTCTTTGAGATAACATGGGCTGGTTTTGGGCAGATGCGCCGGTCGCCACGACACCGAGGAATCCGCCCGTTGGACACCCGGCAACAGGGGGCTTTGATGGGAGGACACCTCCGGTATGCGCCCACAGCCGAATGCATGCTGGACATTTCTCATGAGGTATCTGCATGAGATGGTCGACTGACAGAAAAGTGTAGCCAGGATGCCCCATGCACCAAAAGACCGTCGATGCGCTAAACCCTACGCCTAAACCCGCCGAACCGGTCGATACCTCAACATCCCCGCCCGCATCTTGCCCTGTCAAACATGACCGGGGCCCTCCTTCATCATGCCCTGTAGATCACGGACAAGCAACATCAGCCTCAATCTCCCAGGGTCCCCAATCAAAGTCGTTCCTGTCACAGCTGAACCCTCTCAACTACATGTTCCGGGAAATTTCCCAAGCGCCGGCGCCGAACCAGACCATTGCCCTGCCCACCTCGCGGGAACCTTCCACGATCCCCAGGGGCTCGGGTGACGGCAACTGGGAGTATCCTTCGCCACAGCAGATGTACAACGCCCTCCTGCGCAAAGGCCACACGGATACCGACATCACGGCAGTCGAGTCCATGGTGGCCTGCCACAATTTCCTAAACGAGGGAGCCTGGGCTGAGATAGTGGCCTGGGAGGACCGCTTCGCTCAGGGTCTGGCCAAGGGCTTGAAGATTTGCAGTCGCGGCGAGGAGAACGCTCCCGAGATGGCCTACAGGGAGAAGGACGGCACGGAGATCCCCCCGACACTCAACCGCTTCCAGGGCCGCCCCAAGGACATGACACCCAAGGCGACCATGATGCAGGTCCTCGGCTGGATGTATCCGTCCAAGTTCCAGTGCGTTTCCCCCCCTTCACCCGCCTTCTTGTTCCTATTCCTACACGTCGACTCGAAATTGGGTCGTGTTGGAGTTTGATTCCCGCTAACTGGAACAAAAAATGCAGAACGGAGCCGCCATTCGACCGACATGACTGGTATGTCACGCGCAAGGTCGGCAACGAGAGCAAGGAAATTCGCTACGTGATCGACTACTACTCCGGCGAACCCGAACCCACTGGCGAACCTGTGTTCTATCTCGATGTTCGACCTGCCTTTACGCCTCTGGGCGCCGCGGAACGATTTATCAGATGGGGGACGGACGTCTGGTGGAGGGCGTCCGGCGCTGAGGTTCGCGAAGCCGAGAAGTTGGGAAACGAACAGACGCAGTGACGAGGCGCAACTCTTCCTGGGGATGAGCAACTAAGCCGGGCTGTATGATGATTGACCGGGTGATTGTTGCGCGTGTGAATGGGATCACGGTATGGGCGACGTTTAACTCGGATCGGGAAAATGCCGCCCCGGTATTAACGACATCTCTTCTCTTCTTGTGGTGTCTTTTCTTCTTCTTCTTCTTCTTCCTTCCCCGTTCTTCATACTAATCATGTATCACTATGAGGCCGAGATGGCCTTATGCCAGCCAGCCGATCTATACGACGCCAGGAAGAGCTCACCATGCTCGATGAATCGATCGAATGTTACTTATGCTGTGTCTGTCTTCCTACTTCTTGATTAACGAGTCGGTCTGTGGGGCTACAGAAAAACGTCGGCATTCACACCCTGAAGTCGACGGTGTTGCGCCAAAGGAGTCTGCTTTGGTTGTTCGGATGTCAGCACTGCCGCCCTACAAGCCTTTCACTCTAAGGGTATTGTCAGAGACCAACTTCTTTCTCTCCGCCCAACGTCTTTTGTCGAATCCGAGTTCGAGTTCCTTACCGTCTAGACGCAGTTCCGGGCTTACTGAAGAAAGTGTGTCCACCCGCCTCGCCAACAAAGGAAACAAAAGCACAAAAGGCACAAAAGCGAACATAAAGGAATGAAAGGAAGAACTGAAGATTGTTCTGTCGCAATACTAGGAGCAGCGCCTTGTTCTTTGACTTGTCCATTACAAAGATGCTGTTCTTTCTCTGTCTTGGTCACTGTTCACTGTTCACTGTTCTCAACTGCTTTGTCAATGTCCAAAGATGCGAGATGGTCTCGATGACCTCGAAACCAGAACAAACGCCATACACAGTTCCAATCTAATATGAATATATGATGACCCGGAACAATTATCGAGTGTTGTCTGTGTCTCATCCCTCAGTGCATTCTTCTCTTTACTTTAACTCCAGTTCAGGTTCAGGCAGAGTTCTTCATACGCAGTTACTTGCTTTCTCAGATCTCCCATCAGCAGTCTCGCTCACATCTATCTCGCCCTCACCCGATCAAGACTTACTTTCATCAGAAGGTCTCAGACAGACAGCCACAAGCCATCATGTGCTACCGCGTGTACATCCATACCCTCAAATGCGACGTCCGTCCCCTCCTCTCAGACGGCCGCAACCCCCTCGTGGACCCATACGCACCCCCGTCGACCTGCTCATGCCGTCCCGACCCTCTCCTCTCCTCCCGCCTGCGCTGCCGCCACCACGGCTGCTGCCGCGTCTCGGCAAAAACCTACGTCTGCCCCAACGACTGCCGGCGCGCGGCGCTCTACCACGTCTACATCCCGCGGAGACCGAAGCGAGGCGTGCATTTCTCCCGCGCCCCAGACGAGGACCCGGCTGCCTGGCGCGACGACATGCCCGTGTTCGACGGCTCCATCTTCCCCTCGTCTTCTTCCTCGATGCCGTACTCTTTCGCCGCGGACGCGAGAGAGCCGCTGCTCGCCTGTAGAGCCGAGAGCGCCGACTTCCGCCTCGCGAGGGACCAGCTCCTCGACATCGGCCGGGCGCTGGCCCGCACGCTGGCCGATAGGGACCGGGCGAATTCCGAATCCCGGAGGCTCAGGCGGCGGCATGGCAGGCGGTGCGGCTGGGGGGGCCGCGGGACATCGTGCGATGCGTTTGGCGGGGGTGGTTGTGCGTTGCTCCGGCAGATGGCGAACGCGGAAGAGCATGCTGAGAATCTTGATGTGGTGGTCAAGAAGCTGGAGACGCTGTGGGAGCGGTGGAAGACGTACGCACGGGCGCTGGAGAGGAAGGGGGAGAGGCGGATCGGTGGGATGGAGGAGTGGCGGCGGAGGGCGGGCCGTGGCGGAGAGAGGGAAAGGGAGAGGGAGAGGGAGAGGGAGAGGGAGAGGGGGGCGTATTATGGTCTCATGGGGTTCTATCGAAGGGAGTCCCGCGATGGCAGCATCCGTGTTGATGAGGCTGATATGCGCCGGGAAGCCGGGGAAGGGCGCGAACCCGAACCTCGAGGAGGGTGGGAGTGGGAGTGGGAGTGGGAAAGGGAGAGATACCGCTCTTTCGACCGCAGGGAGGGGGCAGTCGGCGGAGCAACGACTGCGAGGTAAGTCGAGACGACGGGTATCGGTCTCATGATGAGGATACAAGGAGCCATGAGAGGCGGACCTCCCGATGTGGTGTTCAGGACAGATACAACAGGGTGTACAATGTGTATCCTCTCGACCCCGAGGGACTATGTATGACAGGGGACGCCATACGGGACGCGAAAGGAGAGGCTCATGGGTTTGACGAGGCCTTCTCAATTTCTTTTGTCATACGATATGAATACAACTAGAGAACTACACACGATTTTCCTCACTGCCCGTTTCGTAAGATATACGTCGTAAAGGCGTTGTTATCTGCTCGTCATCATTCTTCTAATCAATCCATCGGTAGCTATTTCTGCCATTCTCAGCCTTATATGTCCATGGTTTCCCTTGCATATTAATTACCACGGCCGTGCTATGCTCATGCCAAACCAAGGAGAGAGAGGTATGAAGAGAGAGCATAGAAAGTCGAGAAGCCTTCTTCAAGACAAACCACCTATGCTTCTTCTTCGTCTCGTAAGAAAAAAAAAAAAGAAGAAAACCCAAACCCGGTGTAGGATATGTAGCCAAGATATGGGGGGGGTATATAGAACGCCAAGCGGACAAGAATCCGCGATGCAGAAATAATGCTGCTCCCAAGACAAAAGGCAAAGCCAAGTCTAATTTCCGACTTGCCGCGCATCACATGCATCATGCTTCCCCCGATATTATCGTTTCGTCCGTGGCTGTTGATCCGGTCCGTCCATCGTCATATATGCAGTCATATCATCAATCTGAGGTGCCGTGTTCCGCAATGCAAAATTCCCCAACATAAATGCCCGCAGAGATATCAATCCCCTAGGCAACATGAACACATAGACCCCCTCCACCCCCACAGGGGTAGTGGAGGGGGGAGAAGGGGAGAAGACAAAAAAAATAAAGAGAAAACAATTACCAGGTCCGCATCCGTCCCCAGAGAGAAAGCTTCGGCCTCTTCGCCTCCCTCTTCTCCCGCTGCTCGCCGTCAGTCGCTTCATATTCACGACCACCGCGATTCACGGGCCGCAGCGACACGGGACTCACGGCCCCGTCCCGAAAGTAGCCGCCGTCGTCATCGTCGTCGCTCAGATCGAGACGATAGCGGCGTACACTTCCCGAGTCGTCGTCGAAAGCGACACGCGCCTTGTCTTTCGGCAGGAAACAGTCCGGGACGAGGTGGCGGCGGCACCAGCCCTTCACGCCGCGGTGGGCGGCGTCGATGGCGGCGTACTCGAGGCGGCGCGTGCGGTCGCTCGTCCAGTAGTGCGTCGTGGGTTGGGGGGGCGGGCGGTGGACGGCGGGGCTGCTGCTGCTGGTGGTGCTGCTGCCGTTCGGGGGTTCGGGTTCGAGGTCGAGGCGCGGGTACGGTTTCGAGTTGGCGAGGGCGAGGTCGGTTGGGTGGGCTGGGAAGTGGATGTAGCTGGATTGGTTTTGGGTGGTGACGGGGGGCTGCTGGAGGGGGAAGGGGGAGGTTTGGAGGGCGTGTTGGCTCGTTGGGGCGGATCGGACGGAGTAGGAGTTGTTGTTGTTGTTGTAGTAGTAGTAGGCCGGGGTGGGTTTAGGGGAACGGCGCGTGACGGGGCGGCCGCGGCAGGAAGCGGCACGGGATCGGGAGTGTGGGGTGGATTGGTCGGGCCGTGTGGTGGGGGCAGTGGTGGTAGCCCGCGGTCCGGCAGCTGTGGCGGACCGACGAGAGGCGGTGGACGACCTGGCGGTGGACGACTTGTCGGTCGACGACGGAGACGAAGAGGTAGAAGTCCTGGGGAGGGACTCGTAGCCGGAATCTTGTCTCCTCATTTCGATGGACGAAGGGGGTTCATTCTCCTTCTTCTCGTCGTCGTGGCGAGATTGTGTTCTTGAGACACTCTCCTGGCCCCGTGGCTGGTCTTTTGGAGGAGATGCTGGAGGGAAGAGCTCGATGTCGTAGAAGGAGTGGTAAGTGTTATCGGAGCTCGAGAAGCCGGAGGTGGTTCTGGAAAGAGGGTCGGCGGATGCCATTTTGACTTGGTCACCTGGTTGGCATCCGAACGGAAGGGGCTTCGGAGGCGTTGAAGACGAGGCGATGGCGCAGACGAAGTGAATCGCTGCGAAGGAGGCTCTTCAACTCATCCAGATGAGAAGAGTCTAATCAACTGGACACGGTCCGAGCCGAACCAGAAGAGAACCAGAAGGTCCAGAACCAAAGAGCAGAAAAGCCAAGAACCCACTGGTGTTTCCCTCAATTGTGCCCCTATGGCAGCCGCACATAAAAGAGATGCGGAACGGAGAGAAGGAAAAAAAAGAAAGAAAAAAAAAAAAGAAACTTGAGATTCGGAACAAAAGGGCGGGCTTGTCTTTAGTATAATCAATCTGTTGGTGTGTGCGTCTCGTCTCGGTTCTCAGCAAGCGAAGTGAGGTGCTCTGTTTGCCGTGTTGACAAGCACAGACGTGGACCAGACGCAGGAGGAAATGAGGGTTATCGTTTCTGGGTTGTGGTGAAGTTGCGGTCAAGAAAAGCGTCGTGTCGTCGTTGTGGTGACGATGACGATGAGGGCAAAGTGGGAAATGGGAGATCGTTTCGTCTCTTAGCCCTCGTTTTTCTTCTCCTCTTGTTTGTTTTTGTCTTTTTTTTGGTGTTTTTTATTGTCATTCATGAAACCTTGCCAGAGGGCTTATCCACAGGGCTTTTTTTTTTTTTTTTTTTTTGGTCGTTTTCTCCTTCTTTCTCTTTTTTTCTTCTTCTTTCTCTTTTTTTCTTCTTCTTTCCCCCCTCCCTTGTATGCGGTCTTTGTTGACTTATGTCTGCAAACTCCTGCAGCTAGACGAAAGACGAATGGTGTTTCTGAATTGGCAGCGGGGCGTGTCGAATAGACGCCAGGCAATTGGATAGAGGATAAGGCGGTGAAGGAGTTTTAGGCCAGGCCGGGGAAGTAGAGCCGGAGCGGAGGAGTACGACGAGGGGTGAAAATGCGAGATGCGGGTCGGGTCGGTCAGGGGGTCCAGACAGGGCCGGGGTGTGAAGCGGCAAGCGCTCGAGGAGTCCAAGGCTGTCGACTTATCTTTTCAGTTGCACGAATCTATACGATAGAGATGATGTGATTTTGCGTCGTTTCTTGTCCACGGAGCCGCGAACGGCATGAGGAACGCCACAGCGATGGAAATGAGGGGAAATAGGAGATCGTGGGGCGTTGCTGCAGCACAGCGAACTATCGAAATATCGTGTGCTAGGGAGAGCTAAGGATTCCGTCGCGGGGTCGCTCGTGGCGTCGCTCGTGGTGTCGGTGGATGCGTGGTGGAGATGTGAAAGAAGGGGTGTGGACTGGGGAAAAGGCGGTGGGGAAAGGAAATGTCGATGATTTCTGAGGCTAAAAAAGGCGAGTACGTTGTATAGGAACAGAAAACCCAACACAGAGGCGAAAAATGGTTGAAAGATGATGGGGGAAGATGGTGATTAACTGAGTAGAGAGAGCGAGCGAGAGAGAGGGCGTGAGTCGGCTCCCCATGTGATTGTGAACAGAAAGCACCGATACTGTAGAAGGACGGGGTTCCGTACGTCGTAGGGGATCATATGTCCTTCGTGCATAGTAGCATGTGAAATGCTGGCTGCAAGGTACACGTACAGCGTGCGACGTGGGGTCGTGGCAGTCTGTCTCTCCCTGCCTGCCGGTGACGGTGACGATGGTGTGTTGCTTTGCGTTGCGTTATGCAGGTCGGTCTGGGTCTCTGATTTGGTTGGTGTTACTTCGTAGGGGACGGGGAATAATCGCCGTAAATCAAGACGCAACGGGGTCACGAGTCGAGTTTAGAACCAGAGGGTGGTGGATAAAATACCCATCACGAGTTTCAACACGTAACGTCTGTCTCTCCCTTGCATCTGAATATTGTTAGCAAAAGACCCAGGTGCAGATATACTAACTCCGTACACACAAATGTCCTCCAGTAAGCGCCTATCCATACATGTACCATGGCCGGTTGATGTTCTATTTCGAGTTGTCGCTATCCGTGTCCCTACCCCGTACCGAGTTCTGCGGGCCAATCCATCTTCCACCCTGTCCAAGTCGATTCTCCCACTCCGTATTCCGTATTCCGTCGTAGGGTACAAAGGACGAAATACGAATGGCTTCGTAGGGTGCTTGGTCTCATCACGGACTGCTGTCCTCCAATCGTCTGTTCCCGTGCCGAACCTCGGTACGACGCTATTCGGGTCGCCGTCCTATTGTTAGCGCGTGTGTTGGCGTGTTAGCGGGTACGTAGCGGGTGTTTTTGTTTTGTTTCTGATCGGCGCCTCGTCGCGTGATTCCGTCGTGTGAAATACGTAGACTACCTTACCTTATTAGGTAATTAAGGTACCCAGCACTCCCGTACCGATAGGCGACATTCGAAAGTACCGTACTGCATCCGTTTCCTGTTGCGGAGTAATTGATGGATTCACCAAAACACTGCATCTCTGCGTACAACGTAAGGTACATGTACCTTATATTGATACACTGAATCAAGGTAGTACTTCGTACATCACTTCCGGGACTTCCCCCGGCAGACTCCGGCTAACCCTCTCCCCAGCCGGCTCTTCCGCCCGTCCCGTCGTTACATCCGCCCGAAGCTCCCAAGGTAACCTTATAACGACGGAATTTCCCAAGAAGCCGCCTAATGCAGGCACTCACTTGTTCCGTCTTCTTCAATACTGGCTTCCTTTAATCCTTACTGTGAAGAAACGACTTGTTCATTTCCCGCCCCGTCACCTTCAAGGTCGAATCTCGGCCTCGGCACTCCCATCCTTCTTCTCCTCACTTCCGGCATGAGAGCTGGCATCCTGATCGCCGCCAAGGCCGTTGAGGAGGGCTGTGAGACCGATCTCACGGTTGATCTCGTCCATGCGCTCGACGTCGGCCGCGGCAGTGCCCTCGCTGCCGAAGACGGTGTCCATCTCCTCGAGGGTGAGACGCTTCGTTTCGGGGAGGAAGAACCAGACGAAGGCGGCACCCATGCTGGTCAGGACGCCGAACAGGATGTATGTGCCGTAGCGGATACCTGGAGACGTGGACGTAGCCTGTCAGCACAACTCATGCACGGATGTTTGATGTGTGGAAAGGGGTCGAAAGGCTTACCTTGAAGCATGTCCGGAGTAACCTGGCCGACGACTGTTGGAGAGAATATGATGAGTTGCACGTTCCTTACGAATGTTGAAGGGGAGGAAACGAAGAAAGAAAGAAACGAAGAAGAAAGAAAAGTAAAAAAAGAAAAGTAAAAAGGGGCGGGAGGAGGAACAAGGCGGAGGATTCGTACTAAAGTTGTTCATCCAGTTGCTGGACGTCGCGAGAGAAACACCATAGGAACGGGAGCTAAGAGGCCAAATCTCAGCCGCGATGATCCAGGCACAAGGACCCCACTAGCAATCGAGTCAGTCAAGAGAGATCTCTGCGGAGGGGGCTGTCACATTGAACGGTGTAGTCTGGTGTGGGAGTAGGGAGGGAACACGTACCGAGTAACCAAAGTGGATTACGAAGAGCCAAACCATGCTGTTGAAGGGGAATAACGAGTTAGACTTCAGCGTGAAAGACGGTTGGGGTCTGGTCCATCAAATGCCCCGAGAACATGAACATGAACTTACGCGACGGCGGCCCAACCAGCGGCGGGGTGGCTTTCCCACTGGTTCTCGTTCCTGGCGAAGATGATGGCAATGGTGAAATGGCAGAGAGCCATGCCGATGGCGCCTATGGCCAGGACGGGCTTGCGGCCGACTCGGTCGATGTAGAGAACGGCAGGGATGGTACTGAGCACATTGCAAGTTAGAAAGAAAAAAAGAAAAAAAAGGAAAAAGAAAAAGGAAAAAGAAAAAGGAAAAAGAAAAAGGAAAAAGAAAAAGGAAAAAGAAAAAGGAAAGAAAGTCATGATATAGTCCCCCCTCTCGGGCTGGCGGCAGGGCAGGGCAGAGCGACTTACGCGAGGAACATGACGACCCCGACTACGCCGGTAGCGAGGAGCGAGCTATACCTCAAGTTAACGGATCTGTCCCGCACATGCAAGAACAAAACGTTCGGTATCATCTCATGACCACGGCCGCGACTTACATCGTGTTGTCGTCCATCCCGAGCTGCTGGAAGATTTGAGGCGCGTAGTACCTGAGCAGAGGGGGAAGAATCAGCACACGGCGTCACGAGAGTCCGTCCTCCTGTCTGCAGCGTCGAAGCAGGAAAAAAAAAAAGATGAACTCACAGCACAGCGTTGATGCCAGTCCATTGCTATAGGAAATGGAACATGTCAGCTCCACCGACCAGACACCGCCAACAGACGCCAGAGGGGACCCCAACCTGGAAGAACATGGTCACCGTAGCGGCAACGACACGCTTAAACATGGCCTTGGTGCGGAACAGGGAGGCAATGGCGACGAACTGCAGCTTGAAGGTGTTCCAGGCGGTGGGCTCGACGAGGTTGGGGAACTTCTCGGCGGCGGTGCGCTTCTCGAAGAGGGCCTGGGCCTTGATCTCGAGGAACTCGAGCTCGACCAGCTCGTGGTCCTCGGGGAGGTCGCGCAGGGAGGCGAGGTTCCGGCGGGCCTCGTCCTCGCGGCCGTGGGCGACCAGCCAGCGCGGGGAGAAGGGCATGAAGGCCATGCCGGCGAGGAGGATGAGGGCGGGGAAGATCTGGAGGCAGGTCGGGACCATCCAGGCGGCGTCGCTCTGTTGGCCGCGCTCGGTGCCGCCGATGAAGTGGGTGCCGTAGTCGATCCAGAAGCTGGTCATGATGCCGAAGGTGATGGCGAGTTGTTGGGTTGCGACCAGGGCGCCTCGGACTTCGGGGGGTGCGACCTCGGAGTTGTACTACGTGCATCGATTCTCTTGTTAGACTTTTTGTTCTCTCTTCCTTTCTCTCTCACACACACTCTCTGTCACAAAAGACTTGACACCGGGAAAGCTGGCCGGGGTCATGGGGCGGGGGGAGAGGGCGACGACGTACGGTCGGAACAATCATGGACAAACTACCAACTCCCATACCGGTGATGAAGCGACCAGCGAGAGTAGCCTGGGCTCCGGCCGGGGTGATGGCGACGGTCTGAATGACGACACCGACGATGAAGACGACAGTGGCCAGGATAATGCCGTACTTGCGAGACATGTATTCGGCGATGAAGCCGGACAGGAGAGCGCCCACCCAGGCACCGAGCTCGAGAATGGCCGTCAGCCACCCCTTCTTCGTCTGGTCGGCGTTGGGATCGAAAGGGTTATATTCGCCCATGTCTAAGCAAAGTCGCGTTTGATCAGTTTTCGATATTCCAGAAAAGGGGGAGCACATGGGTGTCAAAGTTGAGACTTACGCTCTTTGAAGGACGGCATAGCGAGCAAGCCGGAGAACATTCTAAGCAACACATCAACTCGTCAGTCGTCACATCCAATCTATGATCTACTTTCCAAAATGCATGTGAGATTCAAAACATACCCCTGATTGTAACCGTAGAGGACACCACCGATACAGGCAAACAAGGCGATGCGGAAGACCTTGAAGTTCGCAACCAGAGCCCGGGGCCCACTGGCTCCCATCAAGGCCTGTCGTCTACGAAGCGCGACATCGTAGAATTGGGTGCCGGTATCACCGCCGCCGCCCATGGTGGATAGTGTGAGTGTCTTTGTCCGTCTCTGGGTTATGGGCTATGTGTTTTGCTGCGATACTCCAGTCGAACAGGGAGAAACGGGGAGAAACGGGAAGAGAACCAGGACAAGCAACTGCACTTGCTTTTCGCGTGTGGTATTGCTCGACGTGTTTTGCTGGTTGGTCCGGGGAAACCGTTTATTCATCTCCTTTCTTCTGACTCGGCCTGTTGGGGATCATCCGGATATTTAAACTGATGAATGAATTACACGCAACTCTCGTGCTCTATATTTCGTCCGTCCCATCAGCGAAAGGATCTGCCCCTCTCCCCCCCCTCCCTCCCCCCGCGTCATTCTCCCCTCCCCCGCGGATCCCCGTCCAACACGCCCGGCCCATAGGTGCAGCATCGCCGAACGCGGGAAGTGGAGAGCTCAACTTCAAACGAACAAACGGCCAGGGCCAGACGTGGCACGAGTCGTCGGATCACGGCACTTGACCGATCCTCGCAGCCGAATTTATGTACAACGTACATTCTGTTCGCTTCATGTTGCCTACCCAGGTGCCTCGGATGAAGCTGGGGGGGGTGGATCATGGAGCTGGGTCGGGAGCTGAGTGAGCCTGGGGGTGGGGATGATTATGAAGGCCCAAGGCCACATCAATGCCGTAACGGAAAGATGTTTAGACCAATGATAGCAGTTGTACAGGAGTAAGAGTTCCAATTTCCCGGAACGGATCGAGTTAAGTCTTTCTTTGATGAGAAGCCGGCGAGAGGACGGAGGAAACCCGGTATCCATCCTCCATCCACCCGGTCGGCATTCCCGGCCAACTCCCTTGACTTGGGGGGCGGGATAGCACAGCAATAAGAAGAAAAAAAGAAGAAAAAATTGGCCTGGAAGACGTACGATGGTCAATATCAACGGTGTAGTGCTGATATGGAGTATACGGTCTATCGTACACGAACCGTGATTTTTTCATTCTATCAGCTATTTAACAAGAGACGTAGTTTGAGCCTCTTGGCGAATCACAAGTGCCGTGATGAGAAAGCTTAGAAAGCTTAGAAAGTCACGCCGCATGCACCGAGGATTGGCATCGGCCGGGGAAACCGGGTCGCAGCGTGCTAAGCAAATCTGCCAAATCTGCCATTTTAGCCTAATATATTACGCCGACTCGGCCAAGCCTCTGAACGAACAGGATTGGCCCAGAGCACGCCGGGATCCCACTTAGAAGCGGACCGGGGAAGGGGATCACCGTATCAGGGATCGCGCTTTGGCGGATTGCAACGAAGCGAAGTCCCGACAAGCTCATCCGGGGTCGCATGGCGCTTCAGTAGTTTCTTGGTCAATGTGTGGGAGGACGACAGAAGAGTAAAGGGTTCATGGTGTCAACATTGAAACAAGAGTGAAAGGCAAAATATCTTCATTGGCACGGCTCGAGCAACGGCGGGGGGGCATCTTATTAGGGCGCTTCAATGTTCTTTACGCCATCGGTTTTAGAGGTCGTCAAGGCCGTGATAGATCCGAGTTAGCTTCATGTTCGGAACTAACCGTTCCTTTTTCTTACTCCTTCTTCTTCTTCTTTTCCTTTCCTGTTCTAACGCCGTCTTATAAAACGTGATGCTTACGCGCGAACATCGTCACATGTTAATCTTCGTCCCCGGATTCCCCCATGGCCTCGTGGGAAAAGAGCTTGACGGTCCCACTGGACTCCATGCATGTTGGCACCGAGGAGCATAAGACGATCTTCAGGATGGGCCCCACGGTCCTTGGGTCTCTGGTCTCTAGATGGGTGCGGCAGCGTATTCTAAAGAGTAAGAGTAAAAACTCCGAGTAAAAAACTCGAATGTTCCATCATTTCATCCATTAACATCATAGCTCCATAACGCTTTGTTATACATAAACTTGACCGCTGTTTCAACAACATCCAAGAACCGCGCCTCGTCCACCTGGACATCCATGAAATGCCAATCCCCCCTCTTCTTCAACACTCCCGTGGCCGTAGACGTATTCGTGCTATTATCGCGTCCCTGAGTCTCCGTCTCCACACCCTTCAAGCTGTCCATTTCCCTCTCCTTCCCTGGCTCCTCCTCGGTATCCTTATCAGCCTCGTCCACAGGCATGGAAACACCGGCACCATGGATACGGAAGTACCCCAAATCGAGCAAGTTCGCGACGTTCCGGTACCCCTTCTGATCCAGGCCGTCCGGCTGTATTTCGACCACAGCACCGGCGCCCCTCCGCATGAACAGGACATGCGTCAACCCCGCGCCATGCACCCCGACCAACACATCCGTCTCGCGCGCGACGCGCAACTGGTCCGGGAACGACAGCGCCGCAAAGTCCACAGCCTGCACCCTGATGTGCAACCCCCTCTTCCCGAGCGCGGCCAGCAGCGCCGCCTGGTCCTTCAGCCGCCGGGTCTCCCGCCGGTCGATGAGCGTCACCACGATGGGCTCCTCGCCGCCGCGCACGGGGGGGTCCTCGACGCCGTAGAAGCCGCGGATGCGGGACGAGAAGACGTCGACGAGCGGCGCCGCGTGGCAGGGTTGGACGTGCCACTCTTCCCGCCAGAGAGGGTTGCTGCCTCCCGCGAGGGGCACGATGATGTTGGCGTCTCTCCTCACGGCGTCGACGGCGGCGGCGTCGTCGTCGTCGGCGTTGTTGTTGCCGGCACGGGAGAGGAGGTGCGCGAGACGGACGGGGCGCCGCCGGGCGAAGAGCGTCCAGAGGTCGAAAAAGGGCCCGTCTTCGCGGCTGTCGAGGATGACGACCTGCGTGTCGTCCGCTTCGTCCGTGGCGAAGAAAGGCGCGCCGCCTCGGGACGGGTCGCGCGACATGCGCAGCACGTCGAAGGTCATGTAGGTGGAGAAGATCTCCATGAGGCAGTGCCAGGGGTTCGTTTCACCCTCGCGCTTCAAAAGAAGGTATGTCTTGGGGGGTGGTAGGACGGAAGAAGGAGCGCCGTCGGACGAGTCGGACGATGCTGGAAGGTGCATGTGCTCCGCGTCGAGCGCTTCCGAGACGGCGGTTTCGCCGCTGCGTCTGGCGAGACCGGTCTCCTGTCGGACGATCACGGCGTCCCGAAAGACGTTGCGGGGCCCGGTATCATACATGTATCCACGAAGTCGGTTGAAAGGCAAGATGCCTTGCTCGACCTCTTCCGGCTCGAGCTTCCGCAGCGCGCAGTCGAGGTGGAATTTTCGCGTTGCGGGGTCGAGGACGGCGCCGCGGCCGATGCAGAAGGAATCGTCGGGTTCATCGTCTCGCGCCTTGGTGTGGAAGCAGGTCAACGAGGAGCGAGACCCTGGCGTGCAGTACGAGCCTGTCCGGTTGCGAAGTCCTTCTAGGTACGCCGTCGAGAAACGAGTAGCGCAAGTGTCTTCGGATCGGTGTGCCGGGGCGCGGTAGTCCGACGGCTCGTCAAGGGGCTCGGTCGTCGGGGACAAGCCAGAGGCCGCTGCGTGGGGCCACTGGGAGAGCTTGTCGGACGGGTAGAGGTGGTAGGCGCGGTATAGAAAGGTCAGACTGAACACGATGAGGACGGAAGCGAGGACCGGGACAAGCCTCCTGTGGAGATGAGTTGTCACCAGCATGTCTGGCCAGAGACAAGGCAGCCCTAAGAAGCTGCACGAAGCAATAAGCGCGACAGCATAGGGACCTGGACTAGACCAGGGGGTTTCCGTGTGAGGCACCAGAAGGCATGGTCACGATAATGAAAAGAGACGATGGGAGAAAAATATTCTCATTCACGTTCGGGGACCCAACCCGTGATAAGTGAGACGGACGGGGGCATTCCTAATCATGCCTAATCAGCGGAACCACCCACCCCTGTTCTGTTCTGTCTCTGTTTAGTGGTGCATGGGGGCCAAGTGGCAAGGGAGGCCAGGGGTCCAGCGGTCCAGCGGTCTAGGCGTCTAGGCGTCAGCATCACCAACAGTCGATGTGCTGATTTTCTCTGGGATAACTCTGTATGCGCAGAATCTGGCTCGGTGATCCAACGTATGTATCCCTTATGAATTAAATGCCTGGATCTGTAAGAATGAAGCCTAGAATCAAGCTGCTTCGGTCTCAGAAACTCTTTCCTTGGAGCTTTTAAGCTTAGAACCCCAGCCAAATATGGACGGCATAAGCCAAGAGGATTCACCTCGCTTCAGCTCGCTACCAAATTTGGGGCTGGACCCGCCGGCATCTGCACTGGGTCAATAGTTTGTGACCAACAGTGACGACTGGGTCTTGGCGAGAAGCTCCCTTGCCTTGCAGACGCGCGCGCCCTACACTTACACTTCACCAAACATGGCAGTTGGTGATTATGTACATACATAGGCGCCCAGCTCGCAGCAGTGGGTTACTTCAACCACCCTACTGCTGTCTCCGTAAGGTAGGGCTCAGTTGGTCAATCGCAATGTTGCGATGCGTAGCCGCTACTGACGATTCCTTCGCACATTGGATTCTTTTCCCCGAGGCATGATTGCGAACCTCTGGATGGAGTTCGAGGCAGACTGTCGAAGTCTGCATAATAATAACCGATTACTTTTTTCTTTCATTTCCCCCCCTTTTTTTCTTTACTTTCGACGACGAAGAGACACGTAGTTTCCTGGAAGGGCTGTTCGAAAAGTGCCGTCTTTTGACGCCGCCAGGGTCCATGCCTTGAGGAACTGACAGCAAAATATCCAGGGACGCCTGCAAGACTAGTATCTTGACTCTTTTCGTCTCGATATGCACTTTCCCGCTGTCGCACTAGGGAAAGAGAAGCAGCCGTCGGTCGAAATTCATCAGGGCCCATGACCCTTGAGTGCGAAAAAGCGACCGGATCACACTTTGACGTTGGAGCACCCAGAATCGACAACGCCGCGAAAGATATGTATTAAGCACTCCGGCTCCGTGGGCCGTGTCTATCCTGGAGCGATCCAAGCTCCGACCGCTCTCCCAGGTTGGTCTCGGTAGACTACTGCGTCTTCTGCTTGGGCGCGCCTTTTAGACGTCGCGAGATGGTCAAAAAGGTAGCGCTGACGACCATGAGGAACTCGAGCCCCAGCAGGCCGACCCACAGGCCGTTCAAGATCTTCTCCTCGTGGCCGCCGAACAAGAAGAAGTTGCTCATCTTTTGTTTGAAAACGGGGTACGCGCCGGTGACGAACAGGAGGGCTTCGAGAACGTAGAGCGAGAACCAGAAAGGACTGCGGACAAAAGAGGGAGAATGGGTCAGTAAATGGGTCAGTAAATGGGTCAGTAAATGGGTCAGTCAGGCGACAGATGGATAGGTTTGTAAAATAAAATAAAAAATAAATAAAAATTGGGGAGAGTAGCGACGCACGCTCGTTCAGGAGTCAACCTGGTCCATTGGAATCCGTTAGGTTCGCCGGCTTGGGATGCTTGCACCGCCATGAGGATGCCTCCGAGACAGAATATCCAAAGGGCAAACATGCGGTGCAGCGGCTCCATATGAATAACCCGTTGCAAGAGCGAGTCGACGAATTCGGCCACGTCCATCTTGGCTGCTCGGCGGGTTTCTTTGTTGCGTCCTGCTTGTTTCGGGATGGGCGCGGGAGGCGGGGGATTCGAACAAGACACGTAGCAGATCGAATCGAGGCCCGCCGGTGATTGTCGCAAGGTGCCGCACGGAGGAGGGGGGAGGCGGGGGAAGGCGGGGAGGGAACGGAGAGAAAGGGGAAATGGTAAAGGGCGATGGAAAATGGTGGATGTCGATGGTCTTTTTATTTAATTTAATTATCTTTTTCCTGACCCCGGATTGAAACGATTATTAATCAATGCGACGCTGCTCAGCGGAATCGAGTCGTTGGACCTGTGACAACTCTACTCTTTGGTAAGCACTGTGCCAGGTGGTTTACTCACTGTTGTGCTTTCCCGGCTGCTCCTCTCCCTCGTCCCTCAACACCATAATGGGAATCGTGGCTTCTCGGAACACTCCGTGGCGGTGGTCTGGCCTGGCCAGATTGCGCCTGAAGCGATGGATGATGGTCTTTTGAAGGACTCGGAAATTCCACCTCCGTGTGGAAATTAGGAAGTACGAAGTAACTTACCTTAGGTATTCGTAAATCGCTGATTGCCAGTATCCGTGCGAAGTAATTGCCTTGCAATACCTCGTGGACGGACTACAAGAAACCCCAGACGTTTCGGTCAGTCGTTCGGTGAGATTGAGATTTTGGAACTTGCTCTGGGGTCTTTTTCTTCTTTTTTTCTTTCTTTTTTCGTTCCTTGGCCGTGCAATGGCTTCAACACCGGGGACAACGGGAAATACGGGGTTCTTTCGGTTCGCAACAGATCCAAGCACCCAATAATTTGGAGGAGGAAGATAAGAGAAGCCTGTGACGTCCCTCCGACGACAGAATTGGGTCTCAGGACTGAAGGGGAGCCCACTCAGCCAGCTTCTTTCACATGCACGCGCTGCCTCCCCAAGTCCCTCCCCCCCGTTCTTAAAGCTGTGCCTGCCTCGCTGAAACACCGAATGCGTAGCGTGCCTCACTATAAGTGTACGAACGAAGTATTCGTAGGCATGTTATTAAGACAGTCGGGTGCTTTCGCAAAGTTAATAGACAAAGAAGACGAATGCGCTCCTAGGTACAGAGACACCTAGACGGGTCTACGAAGTATTATTAGGTTAGGTGGCAGCTGACAATACAGGTACCCCGTAAGTACAGTGTATAAGAGCGCTAAGGTACACACTCTGTAAGTCCACTGATGAGCCACCGAGAAATGACGTATGTTGTTTCGCCCCTCACCATGTCCCTTCGCAGGACCAGGTACTGGCTGTTGCCTGAAGAGATTGAAACACCCGACGCCTCCTCCTGGCCCTCGTGTCGTGATCAAACCCCATTATTACACCCCATTAAAACCCCTCCCCTTCCTTATTGCACCTGCTATTACCCCGCCGCTGCGCTGCTTTGACACCAACTCTGGTCCCATCCCTTCCTACAACCCAACGGAAAGAAACTTTGCCTCGAACAAACCGAACAAACAACTATCAAATCTGTCCGTCCTACAGAGTAACTACCATAACAGTCCATTTTCTTCGACATACCCATAATCGTCACAATGTCTGCCAACACCGTGCACGTCAAAAACATCGCGTCGGCGACCGAAGACAAGGAGATTCGCGATTTTTTCAGCTTCTGGTAAGTCGCCTCTCTCTCTCTCTCTCTCTCTCTCTCTCTCTCTCTCTCTCTCTCTCTCCTTCTACGCCTCTCGCCACCACTTGTATCAACCACCAAACGCAGTCGTATTGACAGCGAAACTTGCAAATAGCGGCAAGATCACCGATCTCCAGGTCACCCCCTCGGGAGACACCAAGGATGCCGTCGTCACCTTTGAGAAAGAAACAGCTGCCAAGACGGCCCTGCTCCTGAACAACACCCAACTGGGCTCCTCGCAGATCAACGTCACGAGCGCCACGGGCGACCAGTCCGACGACGGCTCGCACTTCGCCAACACGGACCCCAGCGTCAACCGCGACACGGACGACATCGCCCAGGAGGACAAGCCCCGCGCCCGCATCCTGGCCGAGTACCTGGCCCACGGCTACGTCGTCGGCGACGTCGCCCTGCAGCGCGCCATCGAGCTCGACGCCCAGCACGGCATCTCGAAGCGCTTCCTCGACACCCTCCAGTCCCTCGACCAGAAGTACCACGCCACCGACCGCGCCCGCGCCACCGACCAGACCTACGGCCTGACCGCGCGCGCCCAGGGCTTCTTCGGCGGCCTCAACAGCTACTTCGAGAAGGCCGCCAACTCGCCCACCGGCAAGCGCATCGTCCAGTTCTACACCGACTCGCAGCGCCAGGTCAACGACATCCACGCCGAGGCCCGCCGTCTTGCCGACCTCAAGAAGGACCAGCACGGCGGCAGCGCCTACAAGGCCGCCGGCCTCGAGAAGGTCTTTGGCAAGGAGAAGGAGCAGGCCGTGCCGCCCGCCACGGGGGAGACGGTCGGCACCATGGCGCCCACCCAGCCGGACGATACCACCGCTGTCCCGCTGTCCAAGCCTGGGGCCGCCGACGAGAAGGCCTAGACAGGAAAAAGCTTCTGTGACGGCCATCGGGACATGAGGTAGTATCACTGTATGCTTTGTGAAGGGATATGATTTGCTTTGGGACCTACGTTTCGGTTGTGCGTCTGCGCGCGTACTCTCGCATCGTATGCCGGTTTGGCGTTAAGGATTTTGCGTTTTGCCATTATTCCAGCAGAGAAGAAAAGCTTAATCACGTCGAAATCATAACACAGTTTGAATTCATATTCATTCCAAAGTTTTCAGGGACGGTAGACGTGGATTGTGCTGTGTACATGCCTATGTTTCGCACGGGATATTTATCACACTGCAAATGGGCAATCGATCTTGTTGACTCGTTGAGCACTGTAATTGATATTGCTGCTACATTTGTATCGTACACCTCCGCATGCTCAACCATCCTGCCTTTCATGTTCCAATATTACTACGCTCAAGAATATATGCCGTATTTCATCCTGCCACTCAGTTTACTTCTTCTGGAACTTCTCCTTGAGAGAAGCGTCCATAGGACCCGCCGGGTTTGATGTGAGGTGCTGCGAGCTATTGTCAGTGCATCGTTACAACAATGGAGAGAACGGGGAACGGGAGGAGGGAGGAGGAAAGGGGGGGTTTTTGGGGGGGGGGTCCAACCTTGAACTGGTCCTTGTTCATCTGGTCCTTCTGATCCGTCTGGTCTGTGCCGTGTCCAGAGGCAGGGGGCGCGTTGACCTGGGCATCAGTCTGGCGCTCGGGAGGAGGTGATTGACGTCCCTCGGGCATGATGTGTTGTATTTAGTGGTCTTTGGTTTTAAGAGGGTCGAGTTGTGGAATTCTGATGGCTGGGAGAGTTGTAGAGTGAGAATGTGAGATTATAAGATTGATTTGGGCTGTAACAGTAAGGTAGATGGGTCAGAAAGTCAAGAGACAGGACTGAGAAGATTATATATACGGGATTCAACTGTCCCCTTGGCCAAACCTGCCTCATCTTACTCATCCACTTGGGTTCTACAAGATACCTTACCTTTAGGTGGATGGCGTAGGCGCGGTTGCTTCTTCGGAGTTCGTTTACATCACTGCAGTTCTCTCCCTCGTCCGTAACATCATCCATCGATCAACCCATCGACAACGTCATGCCGGCGGATGACGTCATCTTGTGTACGTTGTACGTATTTGAGGGACCTGTGGTGGGACAACAACGGATTGAGGGGTACTGCTCCGCACAGTAAGTTACGTGCGATAAGATGCCTATATATACTGTGACTTTCTAATGGTACCGCCACTGCGTCCATTACCAGCACGGCTTTGCACTCTGATTCTCTCTGAAGAAGTACCTTATCTACCAGAAGCAGTTGACCACTTGGTCAATTACACTGTCCGACGTGCTGCAAGAGCTATCCCCCATTTCTTTCCGCTTTCGGTGTTCATGCCCCTTTATGTTGTAGTCTCGGTATGCTTCGACAGCAACGTCACGTGAGGGAAATGGAGGGAAGAACGACCGTTTTGGAGCCACCAACTATTCAAATTTATTATAGATTCATGATACTATCTATGCCTCAACTCACGCCTCGCCTATACAGGATACTCACAAGCCATAACAACGAAACATTCTATGAGATCAAACAGCCATCTATTACAAGTCAAGCTAGGTACGAGCGATTAAAATATTACACCCTCAAAGGAATGAAACACATCCGTTTTCCATCCGACGACAAAAGAAAATATTCACCCATAGTCGCCCAAAGTCGGGTGTTGCAGCAGAGCAGGCCAACATCATTGATGCCCTTGCCTGCTTGGTCTCTTTACTTCTTCTTCTTGCCTCCGAGCAAGCTGCCCACGCCCAGACTGTCGAGGAGACGGTTGAGACCCAGCGTTCCTAGAAGACCGTCGACGAGGCCACCCAGTCCAAGGCCACTCAGCTGTCTATTGTCAGTTTCTTTCCATCAAACACATACAGAAGTAAAAGTGGGATAATGTCCGTGACTTACCAGACGACCGACGAGGTTCAGTACGCCCGCCAGCAAAAGTCCAACTGCCGCTAGGATCTGGAACAAAGGTTCCGTCAAGAGTCCCCAGAGCGGGTTGAGCTCCTTCTTCGCGTGAGGCATGTCTTCAATCTTCCTCTTTGCCGAATCGATGCACGTCGTGACCGTGCCAGTCAACTAGAACGTTCGTTGTCAGCTTCTTGCGCCCTGGTCTTAAGGTATGATTGCATCTTACCTCCTTCAGCACATCGGCAAGGTGATACTCGCCCGGAGTAGCATCCCGGCTGCCGGCCTTCTGCTTGGCATTCCGCTGAATGCGACCGTCGGGGTCCATGCCACGGATCGATCCATTCATCTCGCTGAGGATCTTTCCTCCCTCTTCGATCAGCGGCTTGACCTGCTTGACGAGCTCCTCCTCGTCCAACTCCTCCTTGGGCGTCCGCTCGGCCTTGTCAATCTTGTCCGTGATCATGTTGCAGATGGGCCGGATCTTGTCGAGACCCTGTTCGATCACCCCGGCAAGGTCTTGGGCCAGCTTCTCGTCCTTCTCGGCCTTCTCCCGCGCTTCCTTCTCCTCGGGGGTCTCCTCCGGCGCCGGGATGTCTTCCAGCAGCGACACGTGGCCCACCGTCGCGCCCTTCGAGTCCACCACGTCGTTATCGCCGTCGATCTCCTTGCCCGCGCACACGTTGAGGTCGCCCGACGTCAGCTTGCCCATCAGGTTGTGGTCGTCGTCGTATACTTCTCCCTGCTTGTTGACCCGTCGTCCTTCCATCGGACCCTTGGCCTTCTCGGGGGGCGCCTCGGGCTCCCACCGCTCCGCTTTGCCGATCGAGTTGCCGTTGCGGTCGAGCACCTCGCCGTCCTCGTCTACCAAGCGTCCGAAGAGGACCTTCGGGTCTCCCTCCACCAACCTGCCGACAATATCCTCTTGTTTCGTCATGACCATGCCGTCCTTTCGGACAGTGCATTCGCCGAGATCGGCAAACGGGCCTTCTTTCGCCCCTTCTCGGTCGGCTGATTGTAAAGAACATGTGTTAGTTCCTTTCCTCCCCACCCTGTGAAAGCCAAGGCCAAGCAAGTTAGAAGACCGTCGTAGCACTTACCCTCCGGCACGAGATCCACTGTGCCCAAAACATCGCCCGTCTCGGAGATGACCTCGCCCTTTTTGTTGCACATGCGACCCCTGAGCTTCTTGATATCACTGCCCTCCGAGACGCGGCCGAAGATGTTGCCGCTGGAGTCGACCGCGAACCCGGCCTTGTTGATGCGCTTACCCGCCAGGATCGACTTGTCGATCTCCGCCTCGGGTTCGGGTTCCTCGGGCTCCCACCTCTCGGCATGGCCGAGGACGTTTCCCTGGCGATCCTGGACATCGCCTTCCTCGTCTACCGTCTTGCCCTTCAGCTTCTTCGGGTCACCGTCCACCAGTTTTCCGATCACCTCGCCCTTGCTGACGATGTCGCCGTTCGACTGCACCGTCGCGTCGGGGAAATCTTCGAAAGGCGCCGGCTCCTTGAACTCCTCCCGCTCCTTCTCGGGGATGACTTCGCACTCGCCGATGACCTCGCCGGAATCGTTCCAGATGCGTCCGAGCTCGTCCGACTTGCGCCCGACGAGCTGCTTGACGACGCCGGACTTGACGCGCCCGATCGCCATGTTCTTGTCGTTGACCAGGTTCCCGCCCTTATTCACGCGCAGACCCTTTAGGACCGACAGGTCGGCTTTCACCTCCTCTTCGATCTCCCGCGCGATCTCCGACTTGAGCTCGACGCGCCCGATCTCGGACCCTTCGTCGTCCCGGACGGCGCCACCCGGTGAGATGGCCCGCCCGGCGAGGTCCTCGGGCTTGCCTTCGACGACTTTGCCGATCGACTCGTTCTCGTAGATGACTTTGCCTTCGTCGTCGATCTCGGCGTCCTCGAACCGTTGGAAGGGGGCGGGAAGCATTTCGCCGGGCACCTCGACCGTCTCCATCTCGTCGAGTTGGGATTTGGCGGCCTCGGTTAGGGGTTGACCCTCCTCCTCGGCGGCTCCTTCAGGGGCTTCTTCCTCGGCTTTCTTTTCGAGTTCTTCCTCGGGGGCCTCCTCCTCTTCTTTCTTCTCGAGTTCTTCGGGTGCTTCCTCGGCCTTCTTCTCGAGTTCTTCTGGCGCTCCCTTAGCCTCCTCGGCTTTCGTCTCGGCTGCCTCGGGTACGCCTTCGGGGGCCTCGTCTGTTTTCTTTTCGAGCTCCTCGGGAGCCTCTTCTCCCTTCTTCTCTAGCTCCTCTGGTGCTCCTTCGGCCTCCTTCTCGAGTTCTTCTGGCGCTCCCTTAGCCTCCTCGGCTTTCTTCTCGGCTTCCTCGGGTGCTCCTTCGGCAGCCTCCTCGGCTTTTTCAGACACCCCTTCAGCTTCCGGCGCTTCCTCCGCGACTTCTTCACCCTTCTTTTCCGGCGCTTCCTCCGCGACTTCTTCGCCCTTCTCTTCCGCCGCCTTAGTATCCGGTCCGCTAGGAGCCTCAGCCTTGGACTCGCCCGCCTCGCCCGCCTCGCTCTCCGGCGGCTGCGACCTTGTCTCGGCAGGCTCCTGGTCCTTCACCTCGACAGGCGCAGCCTCGGCCGCCTTGTCAGTCTCCTCGAACAGCTTTTTCTTCGCCTCCTCCGTCATCTGTTCCTTTTCTCCGACATCTCTCTCCTCCGGCTTTTCGCCCAGCACGCCGCCCAAGACGCCCTCGGCGCCCTTTGCGGCCCCTTCGGCTTCTGATTCTCCCTTGCCGCCGAGCCCCTTGAGGGCGTCGAGGACGGGAAGTCCCTGGCTAATGGTCTTGACAGTGCCATCAGCAGGGTCGACCACGGCCTTGATGCCCTTTGCGGCGCCCATGAGACTGAAGCCCCCGTCCTCGGTCTTCTTGTCGTCGAGCGGCTCCGCATGACCTAGGACACCGCCTTTTTTTCCGATGATGTCCCCGGTTGCGGTGACCACGCTTCCAGCTATGATTTTTTTCCATCTTTTGTCAGTTTTAACCCTTTTGAGTGCAAAGGTGGGTGGGAACTCTGCTTTACCTAGATCGCTGGCATCTCCTTCTGTGACCTTTCCCACGGGGCTTCCGGATTCATCCAGTACGTCGCCGGATTTTCCGATGATCCCAGCCACGAGATTCTCGCCTTTTTGTTGGACTTCAGTCTCTTCGGCTATTTTTCTTTTGTCAGTCTCACTACCTTCCCGGCAGATGGGTAAGTAGAACTTACGGGGGTTGCCCTGCTGGGTAGGGGCCTTCTTCCCTTTCTCGACCGCTGGACTCGCCATGGCGTATGATAGCGTGGATGTGATGTGTCTCGAGTTGAGTTGAATTACAAATTGATAAAGGAATTTCGTTTTGTGGTAAAAGATTAAAAGTAAAGGGTCTGCAACTTTGGATATCCTATGGTTGCGTACGTAAATGATTTTCCAGGGGCTGAACGTTTTTCTCTCTTAACTCTATATTACTAGACAGAGCTGCTTCTTTGAAAACAGTTCTTCCATTTACATCCCCACGGCGTCTTATATTATCGACCCGTTGGAAACTTTGCGATGCACCTGTTACGTCAAGCCACGCCGGGCCCAAAGTTTCTTTCCCTTATCCTCTCACCTTACGAGAGGTAATAGTGTACAACG